CTTCGTAAAAGCACCCAGTGATAGAAGGGCGGTGTTGTCATGTCGGGTTGAATCGTACTGCTGCGTAGGATTCCGTGCGGTTGTGCCGTGCACAGCTGTGCTATGGTTTGATGTTTTTTTTATTGTGGTTGTGTTGCGCCGTGCGGTGTTGGTTCGCCACGACATCCGACTTTGTTTTCCTCCCGTGTGCTGGTAGCCAGCTTCAGGAAGCGGCTCGCGTCCTCGTTATCGTGAGCCCGCTCCTGCAGAAGCTGCCAGCACGCGGAAGTGAAACGTCGTATGTCCTTCACCCCCCCCCCACCCCACACATCCCAATTAGCACGGTTGGCTACATATGGTGCAAAAGAAGTTCTACATGTCCGAGCAACACACAGCGGTGCAACCCGAAAACGCAGCGGTGGAATCGGGGTGGTGGGGGGGGGTTGTTGGGAGAAAAGGTGAAGGTTGTTGGGTTGTTTAAACAGATAAATAATCTTCCCCTGGCCAAGGGTACAGGTTGTCATCGTATTGCACCATGCACTCGCTGGCTTTGGCGCAAGGCCCGTGCTCTTTGCCGTCTTCCGACTTTACTGTCACGCTCCCGGAGGCGGAATATTTCTATCTGGTTCCTGGATAATGAGCAACGTAGAATTTTTTTTTTAAGTGTTTAACTGGCGACTGGTTGTTATAAATTTCCACGTGATAAGCCACTTTGTTGACCTATCAATCGTGGCCAGGTCACTTCTGAAAAAGAGATGTATAGCTAAGTGGGCCTTACCTGGTAAAATTAAAAAGATGTTGATAGTAGCTTTAGTTTCAATCAGACCACTGGGCTGTCATTTTTGGCAGCCTAAATGCAAACTTTTTGTTCAGATTTGTTCTAGTTGTAAGCATAGGATTGCCTAATATTCGTGGCAAATCTCAAGTCTTTTAGCCTTTCTACAATAACATCATTAGAAAAAGGCATCTGCCACTGTCACCATCATGCATGTACAACAGATTTCTTTTTTTCCTGCCAAATGCCCCTGTGGTTCAGCCCTGAGAGGTTTCCAAGAACCAAACTGCGGCAAGGCAACATGGCACGATTGGCTTGCTCCATATCCAGATGCTGTCAAAGTAGCCGAGGCATTTTCTGAGTACAAGTTAAATGCCCCGGTGTGGTTGGAGCTTGTCCCATTCATCCCAGAAATATTTGTTTGGTTTATGACTGACGGACCTTGGCTGGCTTTCACCACGATGTCACGGTGACCTTTCGTCATGGTCTCCGATATCAAAATAGGAGGCTTTCTCATCATTAGTAGCTCCTAAATGTACGAGCATGTCTCGCATCTGAACTCCGTCTCGTCATAAACAACAAATGCTTTAGTAGAAAAACCCATCGCATAGCCATGATTAGCCCATTGCTGGATGAAGGCCCCTCTCCCCGGGCTCTGATCATGCGATGTGAACAATCCAAGCAACAGCTGATGTCGGCTCAGTTGTTTGGCCTGCTTTGGCTGTCGTTCTGTCATTAGCTTCAAGCCGCTGGAATCAATCCCTTCCAACAACATGTCCTACCCCCAAGCCCGCCGAACCTGCCTGTGTTTTCTAATCCAACGTGTTCCTCTGTCTCTCTCATTTGCCCATAACTGATGTAAATATTGATAAAAAAAAAGCACTATGGTGTCAGAAGTCTGGTAGAAAATAAACCTTATACTCTTAGTTCTTTCGGGAAAGTCACGGAGGTAAAAAATGAAATAAAAATTAATAGAAATAAAAATAAAAATCACGACGTTTCGGAGGCAACACAAGTCTGCGTCATCAGGTGGGACCATCACAGCCAGATTTGCTGCAGCAAACGTGATTTTTATTTTTTATTAATTTTTTTCATTTTTTACCTACGTGACTTTACCGAAAGAACTAAGGGTATGAATCATTGCACTCACGAAAGCTTCAAATCTAGAATTAAAAAAACCTATTCAAGTTGTCCGCATCGTGATTTGTCGATGTGCCCAAAACTGATCTCGTGATGGCTTCAGCCTTAATCATTACTCAGAAACGTGAACTATTTATATCCGTTGGACATGTTCACACAGAAATAATAATTGTAATTTAACTTGTTTTCACAGGGAAGACACGCCGAGTGTTTAAACTTTTACGTGGGATATTTGGACAATTTTCTGAGCATTTTTTTTTGTACGTGTGTTGGAACAAAACATTCCACGGTGCCTGGAGAAAATCGAGTGCGATGGGTACATCAAAATCCTCTCCATGGATAGGTTCAAAACTTACCATCTCTACTACCTCACAAAAAACGGCATCTTATTTACCAGGCATAACTGACAACCGAGATGACTATAATATGAATGCTTCTTGAGGGCATCCCCATCCCTTACCAGTTATTTATCTATACTTTGGCATAATCAAGGGTTTTGTTGAAGTAGTAACGAATGTCACGTTCTATTTGTGACAGCTCGCTAAATTTGCCGTGTCAGGTGGTGGCGGGTTTAACGACACATTTATATTCACTCGCTCTAACCCAATAAAAAACCTTTATGGATAATATTAGTTGCGAAAGCCTTCTACGTGTGAAACCTACTTTAGCACTTTAGACAATAACACTGCCGTAAAACAGAAAAAGATCTCTGCTGCGAAGAATGAACATTGCCCAAAATGTCACCTATTATATCTATTTTTTTCTCTCTCGATTGGGCAACGCTATTTTACGAATCTGTGAGCGGCCTCCTGTTTATTTGTGCTCGTGCGCCCATTGCCCAATGCAGTCGTCACCCCTTTTTACATTTTCGAACTCCTTTAAATACTCCACCACTGACCGGTAACAGTGTAAAGTATCATTTCGATTTAAAGCTTTCGTGACTGCACGGATTCATCTTCTTGGTTCTTTCGGTAAAGTCACGTAGAAAGGAAATAATAAAATAATAAAAATGAAACATAATACAATAATTCTCACGACGTTTCGGCCACAACGCAAGCAAGCCGTCCTCAGGTGAAGAACAGGTCTGTCTGAAAGACAGCGTCTGAATATTCAGACGCTGTCTTTCCGACAGACCTGTTCTTATCTTATAATGTTTTATTTTTATTATTTTATTATTTCCCTTTTACGTGACTTTACCGAAAGAACCAAGAAGGAAAAAAGTGTAAAGTATGGTCATATTTTTATTAAATCCACGATGATCGATTTGTTTTAATTTCGAGACTTGACACATGATGGGTGTTGTCATCCCCCCCCTGCCCGCTCCATAGCTTTGGCAACACAACATACCCACAAACGTCCACACACACACACACACCCCTTTTTCTGTACCTTCCTCTGCAGAGTGCAGACTGCACACAAAGGCATCGACTCACTCTCTCGCACGCACGCGGGCACCGATGTGGCTCCGAGTCGAGGGGTGGGGCACTGCTACTGCTGTTGCTGGGCGTTGAGGCTGTTTTCTGGGCTACTGCCCCCCCGGTGGTGTTGTGTTTTTTTTTACCCGGCAATCTGCCCGCCGTTTCTTAACCCCATCCCACCTACGTCGTCAACGGGATGAGGTGTACACCTGCAAGCTGTAGTCAAGTTTCAAGTTTCATTTATTAGGTATAGCCCTGTGAGCCATTCGGCTCTTGAATCGGGTGCAACCGCAACAAACAAAAAAACAAAAACATGAACAAGAAAACATCTTAAAGCGACTATGTGCAAACAGAAAATCCAAGAAAAGACAGCAAAATATTGCAGAAAAAGCACCGTACACCAACACTGTGTGCAAAAATCCCAGTGGGGGATGCAAGTCAAACAACAACAACCACAAGACAACTTAGATTAAGGCCATCAGTCTAACTCTGTACTACAAGAAACAAACATGGCCAACCCGAAAAACTTTTCAAAAATCACCAAAATAAAGCCATAAAAGAAATGAAACAGTGATCATAGGAACTGTGACCGAATTTCCACAATAAACGTCAACAACATGTACCACCAAACTCTGCAGCCATAGCTGGCTGCATGAGTCACTCCACAACAGCAAGAGCATCAGTCGGAGTGTCAACATTTTTCAATGCACCTTTAAGATCCGCACACTAAATCAAAACACAGATCATACACCGTTGGCCAAGGAGAACAAGGCGGCAGCCCACCCCTGCCCCTCCATAGGGGTCTGCCTCGCAGACGTTTCTGCCAAACAACCAAAATAGCTTTTTGTTGTTTGGCTTGATGAATCTTAAGTTGGGACGGACTTTCGCCAGATCGTAAGAATCCTTGTTTCTTGTTTCAGCTCGACTGCGGGGCGGCAGGTTCGACGCAGTGTTGGCACTTCCGTGGAAGTTGTTTTAAATGGAAGTGTATTAAAAGCTTTCTTTGCCAGCTTTTTTGATTTTCCAGGAACTGAAACTGGATATCCATTATTTGCCGTTTGATATCACATGGCGAGCTATTTTGGCATCGACAAGCTTTGTCAATGATGTCATCTCGATCTTGATCACAACTTGTAGTTGCACGAACCATGCGTGTGCATGTGCCCGGCAGTATTAAGTGTCTCTGCTTGTAAGGGACACTTAAAAACAAACCCCACAGATGACCTGTAAACAAGTTGTGGCCTGCCCTGGGTCAAAGTAAAATTACACACGGGGAAGGTGGCGTGACTGTTTACACACCCAATTGACGTCATATCCTGTCATGCCCTGTCTGCTCAACAACTACGGGAAGAGCAAGCGTTGGCTTGCGGGAGGCCTTCATCTAGCAGTGGAGCGGTCACGGCTGGCGATGAGTGTCGCTATGCGGCAAAGTGTCTTATGACAGGCTGGTCCCTTCCAGGGAAATGTGGAATTTACGTTGCTGGCTTCAGCTTGCCATTAGGAAATCGGCTCTGCTCCATTGTGCGTTTTGAGCAGACTGATACACTTGGTAACCTTTTACTGCTTTGCGGTAAAGTAACACGCCTAGAGCGATGTGATCTTCTCTGGCGCAGGAGTGAAATGGTTTGGTTTTGTGCGTGACACAAGACCTCGCTAATGAATTGGCTGCTTCGCGCGTTTCGCCCCAGGACCTGGATCTCATCGAGGTGCTGTGGCGTCAAGATGTGGACTTGGGCGCGGAGCGCGTTGCCTTCGACTCGCTACATCGCCAGCGGCAGGCCAAGGAGGAGCGGTTCCCAGGAGCCGGTGGCGGTGTTGATGGGACGAACGCGGAGGCGGTAGACGGGGAGACGGGCGAGGCTCTGGAGGGGGGAACGTCTGATGAGCGGCTCGTGCGGGTGAGCGGGTGAGCGGGGTGAGCGGGGGTCCCCTTGGGAGTCGTGCAACAACAGCGGGCTGATTTTCCCCGATTTAAAATTGGTGTCTTGCGCCCACGGTTAGGAATTTGCTTTTTTTTAAATGCGTTGGCAAACTGAAATCAGCTCTGCGTCACTTCTCATCTCGGCCCATTCCAATGCACCACAACTGTAGTCCGAACCAAGGAGACACCCACAGGTGGCAGCTGTCCCTGGGCTGCACAAGGTGAACGACTGGACATCTATGCAAAAGAGCTTTATAGCTCATCAGATTCCTCCAGTAGATATATAATAATTTTTCTGATTCTGAATGCTGCCGGCTTGTAAAAAGTGGGCATGAGTCTGCCAGTAGGGGGGTGATGTTGCGATTAGATTTTTCCCAATGAAGTAATTTTGTGATTCAATTTATCAAATTTGTCAGACTGCGCATCATTCTTTGGTCAACACACCTGCGGTCAGTTTAACATGTAGTCGTGGAAGGCTTTCACGACCAATATCTATAATAAGGGTTTTTTGGGGTTACATCGCGTAAATATAAATGTGTCGCTGAACCCGCCACCACCCGACAGCCAATTAGTAAAGTTTGTCACCTAAACAAAACGTGCCAATTAGTTACTACTTCAGCACACAGGTGTGTTGGAGAGTAAGCACACAACATTTACACCCGCAGTATTAACCAGGGCCGCCGCTGGGCCTCGAACTGCAAAACCTCCACATCAAGCGGCACACATGATCCAGCTTGGCCATGTACCCGCTGTAATTTGCGCGTGTGCGAGACACAACAATTGGTTAACATTTACATAATGTAGCTAAAGTGAAAAACTGTGTTTAAAATGACAGTGGTTTTTTTATGCAGGTATTATTAAGTGGGATGGGACCATCGATTCACTCCACTTGAGTAGTTTTTGGTTTATTCATAACTCCATCTATGGACCTCGAGGTCCCTACGTGCATCTGTGGGTCACTGCCTAAGTGTTTGTAAGTCTACGGGGTCTATGTATGCCTCTCAGTGTCCATGGGAGGCATTAACTTAGCTTCACTACACTTCTACTATACTTTTAAGTTGCCAGGTAAGGCCCACTGAGCTTTATAGCTCTTTTTCAGAAGCGACCTGGCCACAAATGACAGCCCAACGAAGTGGCTCATCATGCGGAAATGCATAGCAGCCAAACACACTGAACGCGTGTTGTTTAAAAATGTAGAGGGACAAAAACCGGAGGACCCAGAGAAAAATCCACTGGACCACGGAGAGAGAGACGCAAACTCCAAATATACAGCATGTGTCAGAGTCGGGCTCGAACCCACGACCTCCTGTACAGCAGACGAGGTAGTCGGCTGTACTGGTTCAGTGTCTCTGACCCTCGAGCCACCCATGCGACCTGCTCAACGAGGTTGAGAGTCCCTCTTAATTGCAATTCTGTTTAGCAAGACAGTTGACACTTCATGAGATGAGCCAAACACCCCTTGTGCTTTGAAACCGAGCCTGGGGCGTGTGTTGCTAATGAACGAGCGTCTTGCCCGAGTCGCCGGGAACACGGCCGATCGCATCAGATCCTGCAAGTTAATCGGGGCTTGAGCCTCGATGGTGCTTGGATGAGAGACCATCTATGTATCAGGAGTTGTAGGCGCCCGATTCGTATATGGCACGGTTGGCTACGTACCGTGCGACAGAAGTTCATCATGCGCACATTCATAGGCAACTGTGGGTTGCTATGATGTGGGGCAACAGAGGCCATTGCAGCATTTAATTGTCATATCGCATTTCCTTTTCTCCCAATGTCCGTGCTTCTCGTCAATTTGCCAACCCCGCATCGGTAAGAAACGTGGTCAAGGTGTGGTCTAATAACCCACGTGGACCCGCACGCCGTGCGAAGGCTTTCATCCAGCAGTGGACTGGCTCGAGTTCTGTACGCAAGATTTTATTTTAGCCGGGTCTTGTCGATCGAGTTTGGCGACCCTGAAAATGTTTCCTCACCTGGTACACTCCATCCAGTATAATTCTGTGTGGCTGTGGCTATTTAGAGACACCGGGGAAATATTTGGGTGGGAAATTAAGCCCCGGGTGTGTGTTGTGCCTGCACACAGTGTCTCCAAAGAAATGGCATCCTGTGTGGCAACGTCACAATGTGTCGGTGTGTTGGTGCCACTCCCACATAGGGAGCGGTCGCGCAGTGGTTACTGCGCTCCACTAACAAACCCGGTGACCAGAGTTTGATTCCTGCTCACGACCAGTAACTTTGGCCTTTATCTGAACCGGTCCCGGGTCTCCCCTAGGTTGACTCGACTTCAAATGAGTACCATCGCCACTTGGGAGACCGGGCGTGGTGCTGGCCACCCACCCCACCTCGTGTGCCGGCCTTCATAGGCGCTCGCTATAACAGCACTTTCCCCAACAGTCTGTTAATGGTATATGGCGGGGGGGGGGGGTCTTTGTCTCGTGTCACTCCCACAGCCCGCGACTTTGCCGAGCGAAACGTTTAGTCTGGACGAGTGCCTGCAGTTGCTGGAAGCGAACTTTCCCTTCGGCGAGGGGAGCGAGGTGAGACGCTGCGTGCGATGCCAGATACGGGCTTCGCGTTCTTCACCTTCCTGAGGCTGCTGCGGCGGCTGCTGTTTTAAACCTAAAAAAGTTTACTATTTTTATTTTAGCGGGTATGTCCCACTGAGCCCGGTATAACCGGGTTTTTAACTTAACCCTGTTATTTGCAAGAATGCCTGTGGCATGGTCGAGCGATTAGTGCGTTTGCCGCTCGTTGAAGAGGTTAGTGGTTTGAGCCCAGCGGGCCGCCCTGGTGAATTATTACCGCGGGTGTCTTAAACTGAAGAAATGCGCGCAGGCCGATTCGCAGTGGCCGTCAAAGATCCTGCGACGTTCGTCAACGAGAGGTGGAGAGCGTTGAGCAGCGGCGCGCTCCAAATTGACCAATTTGGAAAATGATCACGCATGTTGCTCGACTGGGTAAAAGCCGCAAAGCAACGTGTCACCCCCCCCCCCCATATTTGTGTGTGAAACCTAGCACCTTTGTGGTAGCCTTGCACTATAAGAACTGCAAGAATGTCATATTTACTCGATTATTATATTATATTGCTATTCATAGAAATATATATAGAGATAGCAATGCAGAATAAAGCTTTAAAAAAACCTGCCACCGAAACCGAATATTACAGGTCAATTGAGCTCTAGGAGCGTGATTTATTAAAATAGATATTCATTTTAGGGGGCCCGATAAAAAAAAAAGCGCGACACGCTATTTTAGGTGACGCACTACATGTGACCTGCAATCACATGAGGGGAGGATATTGCGGTTCACCACCAAGTGTTTTAGTGTGCAAGGTCTTCACGTGACTCCCCCTGATTGCACGCAAGAATCCATCAATCTTCCCCCCCCCCCCCCCCCTGGCGGTCGATAACGCCTCTGATTTGTAACCAGGTGTGCTGGGAGCCCTTTGCACCACCCAGAATTTTGAAGGCATTTCTCTCTTTAGCGCCTCTCAACGGCGTCGCCAAATTGCTGGTCCTTGACCACACTCCACGTGCCGTAGGGGGGGGAGGTGTAAGTCTCATTGGGCGGCCGATTGTTGATTTTGAGGATTTGGCTCGACATTGGGCCTGTGCGTGTTTTCTTGAAACCACCTGCTGGGGGCAACGTGGTTATCGGCGGCGTTGCGGTCGGCGCACTGCGCCACGAATCTACTCTGTACGTGTGTGTATGTTGAACTTCTTTCGCAATGTACGTAGCCAACTGCTAATCGGAGGTGCGGGGAGGGAAGACAACAAACTAAACACGAAAAGCAGTTCTAAAGATATGAGTTTTCAATCTTTGATGATTTAATAGTCCGTAGCTCCAGTGGCTTCCTAATATCAGACAGAAGAGACCCACAGAGAATTTATTTCGCATCGTACGTAGGCAACTGTGCTAATTGGAGGTGTTGAGGGAGGGGGGGGTAACAAACCAAACTCACAAAGCAGTTGTAAAGGAATGAGTTCATACTCTTAGGTTTTTTTCGGTAAAGTCACGTAGGTAAAAATAAATAAACCGTAGGTAAAAAATAAAAAAATAAAATAATAATAGAAATAAAATAATAAATCACGACGTTTTGGAGGCAACACAAGTCTCCGTCATCAGGTGGGACCGTCACAGCTAAAATTCTAATGACTTTGATACAGTAAATTTTAGCTGTGATGGTCCCACCTGATGACGGAGACTTGTGTTGCCTCCGAAACGTAGTGATTTATAATTTTATTTCTATTATTATTATTTAATTTTTTTATTTTTTACCTACGTGACTTTACCGAAAAAACCTAAGAGTGAATCCTTGCAGTCACGAAAGCTTCAAATCTAGAAGCAATGAGTTGTCAATTTACATTTAAAGGTGCATAGCTCCCCGTAGCCTCCTATTATATCGGAAGAATTGCAGGCCATGGTGGCGAATATTTGAATGAGTGCAAGGGCCACCCCAACCCCAGGTCAACTCGGCCTTAAGTAAATACCTGGTGCAGTGTGTAAACACCAGCACTGGTGGTGCTGGCCACCCCTTCATCCGGCCTGCCAGCCTTTAATTGGTGCTTGCTACAACGGCACTTCCCCTAATGGATGGAGTACGTACGGTTGGCTACATGAGAGATCTTGGTCTTCTTTCCCCCCCCCCGCTGGTTCCGCCCCCCCCCCCCCCCCCCCCACCTTCTAATGACGAATTTAAAAACGGACATTAAATTGCAATGAGTCGTGTTCAAATTGTATCGCCGTTACAATATAAGAAAGGGGCCTTGAGTTTTCATGTTGGCAGCTTTCAACGTAGTTGTTATCAAGGGACCACCGTTTGAAGGAATACAATTCTGACCGATGGGCTTGGAAGATTAATGATGAGAATTTTACGTGGGGTTGGTTTCTTGACTGTGCTCTGCCGAGGCCATCAGGGTCATTCGTGAGTTGATCGACGTGGCCAGGGGGCCCTGGGCTCGGAAATGTTGAGCCGGCGTCGATGAGATTCCCAGTTCAATTCTATGTTTGTGCCGTCCAACCGTGATTAAACGGGGAGCGAGCTGATGGCGTCATCCCAAACTCAAGGCCCCTTTCTAATATGACGTTATTGAGACCCATAGACTGACATACAAACCTTTAGACTTGCATATTCATAGGCTTAGATAGACCCATAGACTTACACTTACCCCTATACCCACAAACTTAAAAAGGAAACTCATAGACTTACACAGACTTCGATGCACTTGTTCATGTAGATACTCGTAGGCTTACGGAGACCCATAGGCTGAGATGATATAGAGATCCATAGGGCTTCCATCTGACCACGTTGCGATTAGACCGGCTTCTCAAGTGTTAACGAGCCGACGGTCTCAGCCTGATCACCAATGAACTGCCCAGCAAACAAATCCAGTAGCAGTGACTCGAAAATTACTGACAGTGGCGGCGATGGTGGTGGTTGTGTGAAGCAGGTTGCCGTGCCACCGCAGCAGCAGCCGCCGCGTGTTGGCCTGGCCCTGCCGACGATGACAGCGGCGGGGGTGGCCGATCGGGCCGCCCCTCCTCGCTCGACCGCGCTGGACCGGCACTTGCAGGAGCTGCTCTCCCTGCCCGAGTTTGAGGTGAGGACGGGCAGCTCTTCGGGACGTGACGGCACGCGTCCTTTATGTCTTAAATGTCATCTTATACCCTTTGCCGTTCCCCGCTGAATCTCGGAATGTGCAGGGGGTTCGCGTGAATTATATTTAGGGAGGCATAGCGCCATTGTTTTTAAAGACGCTGTACTGTGGCACGCGCCCTCCCGCATGGCCTTGCGGGATCCTTGGTACGTCTTCAGATCGGAAGACGTACAGATAAGCATATTCTATTGAATGTACGTACGTACATGTACGTCATCAGAATGGGAAAGGTTTAATTATCATCCGGGAAACCCTCCGTGTGGTTCCGAGCTCCAAACTGGGTGCGCCTCTCTCTCTCTCTCTGTGTTCCGGCCTAAATAGGCGCTCACCGACCGCACTTTCCTCAGCAGTCTGTGTAACGCCACACGCTGCGTGGATCTTTGCGTCCGCGCGCAGGCGCTGGCGGCCACCAACGACAGCTTCCCCGACGCCTACGACTCGGCGCTGCTGCCGGAGCTCGCCGGCGACGCCGGGCGGGGCTCGCTGCTCCTCTCGTCGCTCAACGCCTCCTCGTGCCCCATCACCCGCGACGTCAGCCTGCACGACGCCGCCGCCACCGCGGGGGCGGCCGCTCGCGACGAAGCGGCCCTCCTCGCCGCCGCCGCGGCGAGGAGGGCCGCGTCGTCGCGAGCGGCCCCCGTGGCCCGCGGGCCCTTCTCGTCGCCGCCGTCGTCGCCGTCGTCGCCGCCGTCGTCGTCGTTCTTCTTCAGCAGCAGGCTTCGAGGCGCTCGACCCGTGCCACTCGCGCAACTTCTTCCGGCTCGACTCGTCCGACGGCGCCGACGTCATGGACATGGAGCTGGGAGCGCCGCTGGGAGCGCCGCTCGCCCCGCGCCTCTCCTCCGACCTGTCAGACGAGGCGCTCACGGGGCTCCTGGACCCGGCCTTCCTCGACGAGCTCAGCCTCATGGATCTCACGGACGAGGAGGGCATGGACATCGTCGGCCCCGCCGCCCCCCCCGCGGCCGGCGGTTGCTCTTTTTCCTCCTCTTCCCCATCGTCATCGTCATCATCCTCCTCTTCCGCCTTCTCTTCCTCCTCTTCCTCCCCGACTGGAGGGGTCGTCGCCGTCCCGACGCCACCCCGTTCCGACTCTCTGCTCTCGGCGTGCGACGGGATCTCCGGCTTCTTCGGCGTCCCCACGATGACCAGAGAGCAGAGTGGTGCCAATGCTGGGCAGCAGCTGCAGCAGCAGCAGCAGGGCGAAGCAGGGGAGATGCTCGGAGCGACTCGGCGCACAAGCCTCTGCGCTGAGCTTGACTCCGACTCGGGCCTCTCTCTCGGCTCGAGTCCCCGTGCCTCGTCACCCGGTTCGTCCATCACGGCCGGTGACGAGGAGGAGGACGAGGAGGAGGAGGGGGCGGTGGGCTACAGCGACGGGGAGACGATGGATGTGGACTCGTCCTCGGACGACGAAGACGACGACGACGACGAGGAAGAGGAAGAAGAGGAGGGCGCCGTCGGGGGCTACCAGCCCGAGTACCGCAAGTTCTGCCGCATGGACTTCCGCAACCCGGACAGCTTCCGCTCGATGCCCTCGCTCGACCACGTGCAGCACAACCACACGTACAACCTGCAGGCCGGCGTCACGCCGGCGCAGCAGAAGCAGCAGCAGCAGCAGCAGGGCAAGCTGTCGTCCGCACCGTCGCCGGCTTCCGCGTCGAGCAAGGACCGTCCGTCGACGCGCCTGTCCCGCGACGAGCGCCGCGCGCGCGCCATGAAGATCCCCTTCTCCACGGAGAAGATCATCAACCTGCCCGTGGAGGACTTCAACGCGCTGCTCGGCGGCCACCGGCTCTCCGAGCCGCAGCTGGCGCTCGTGCGCGACATCCGCCGGCGCGGCAAGAACAAGGTGGCGGCGCAGAACTGCCGCAAGCGCAAGCTGGACACCCTGCTGACGCTGGAGGGCGAGCTGGCCGCGCTGAGGCGGCGCAAGGACGAGCTGCTGCGCGAGAAGCTGGAGAGCGGGCGGGCGCTGCGGGGGCTGCGCCTCAAACTCGGGGAGCTGCACGCCGAGGTGCTGGCTTCGCTGCGCGACGGCCGAGGCGCCGGCCGGAGGCCGCTGAGGCCGGCGGAGCTGCTGCTGCTGCAGCGCGTGAGCGAGGCGGGGGCGGCCGGGGCGGCCGGTGACGACGGCGGCGCGGCGGAGGCCGCGGGCGCGACGGCGGTGGCGTCGCGCGACCGGGCCGCGTCGGCGCAGAGGCGCGCAGGCGGCGGCAAGAAGGGCAAGAAACAGGAGAAGAAGGAGTAGGCTGGGGAGGGAGTGAGAGCGGTCGGGTGGCAGAGAGAGGCCGATTTCATACAATAAGCTGAACGGCATTGTGGGTGTGTAGAGCCGCAATACCCCACCCCTCCTCCCCGCGCGTGCCGCGACAGGGCTCGTGCGCGTGTATGTACATACATATATGCCTTCATCCAGCAGCGGATTGATCACGGCTCACGGCGATGACGCTTCATATATGCACGGCGGTCCCGCTTCGGGCGGAAGTGTGACTGCTATACGAGATATCGCAGCTGTATCAGCGCCACGGCAACTGTGCGGTTACTCCCGGTTTTGCCCTCGTTAGGGATCATCAGTACAGCGTAGCCCTGCTTTTACCCTGCTGCCACGATTGTGCCTAGGGGCCATCGTCATAGAGAAGGGGGGGGGCCCTTATCCTGACAAACTGCGAGGGTGTGGAGGGGGCTGTGTACAATATGGGACTGGCGCAGTGCGGGGGAAGGGGTGGGCTTGGTGAACATGGCTCTGGGAATCCCCCCCCCCCTCCCATTGAGTGGGATGCATGCGAAGGCGGAAACACCAAAAATGCGAGAGAGCGGGCAAGGAGAGACGCGTTGCGACGGCCCCGTTGCGCCCGCCCCGTTGCACGTGTCGCTTGCAGCTCTGACGCGGGGGGGGTGGCGGGGGGGGGGAGTTCCCTGATGGGCGGGAAGGGGACTGTTTGGCTTCGTCCTACGTTCGGGCAAGCGCAGAGAAGGCCGGCGTCATGCCGTCGCGTCGCGCTCCGCTTTGGCACATTGATGAGCGAGTGGGGAGAAAGAGCGACCCGGCTGTGAGTGAGGACGTCTTGGCTGTGCGAGAAAGGGGGATGCGTGTCCGTGTCGTTGAACGTTCGAGTGTCTTTCATTGTGAGTGTGTGTGCGCGCCTGCGTGAGTGTGCACCTGTGTGTGTGTGTTGTGCCTGTGCGGTAGTGCAATGGTTAGCGCTACGCTGCGCTAAAAACCCGGCGACCAGAGTTCCACTCACGGCCAACACCAGTGACGATTATCTGAATCGGTCCTGGGGCCTCCCCTAGGTCGACTCAGCCTCAAGTGAGTACCTGATGCGATGTGTAAACATTGCCACTGGGGAGACAAAGGTGGCCGGGCGTGGTGCTGGCCACCAACCACCTCGTGTAACGTGCCAGCCTTCATAGGTGCTCGCTAAACAGCACTTGTCCCAAAAGTCTGTTAAGGCTACACGGAAGATTTTTGTCTTGTCTGACGAGCATGCATGAGTTTGTCTTCATAGGGGGAGCGGTGGCGTAGTGGTTAGTACACTGCGCTAACCAACCTAGGCCCCACCCGAGTTCGATTCCAGGCCACAGCAATCACCTGTGCCGATGTTGAAAACAAACGGCAGTCCAGGCGTGGTGCTGGCCACCCAACCCCTTCGTACGCCATGCCGGCCTTGATATGTGCTCGCTTGACAGCGCTTTCCCCAACGGCTAATGTAATGTTACAACAGGAAGATCTTTGTCCTTGTGTGTGTGAGCGAGCGTTGTGTAACATGTGAAGTCTGTGTTTCACATTGACGCACGTACACACACTTCGTGTATGTATGTGCGCACGTGCACACACTTTGTGTATGTACGTGCGCACGTGCACACACTTCGTGTATGTACGTGCGCACGTGCACGAGTTTGAATGAGGGGTCCGCACGAATGCGTGCGCGTGCGTGCGTGCGCGCGCGCCACAGAAACTGCCTGATAAGGCTTGAAGCCAGGGGCTTGGCAAGTATGCAAAAACAGCACCAAGTACAAGAAAACGTTAATTCTGTTTATTGTTCTTTAGTATCGATGCAGTTTGTGTTGGGTTTTCTTTTTGAAGGATGAAAAACAATTCTCTCCGTAAAGAATCTCTTCGCTTGTCCCTCCAGTTTGGAATCTCGTTAATTCACTCGATATCGCCTAACTCGGGACTTTTGTTACTGCTCTTGCAAAAAAATCACTTGCGATTCTTTTTTCTCCCTGGCCGATTTTTTTAATTTAATGTTCCGTTATTTTCAATTCGTTGTGGCTTCCCACTTGACAAATGATGAGTTTGTGCAGTGCGGTTAAGTTCCCTCGTGTTGTGCGATGATGCATAATGCTTCAAATGTATGCGTTTTTATTTTTTGTAAATATTTCTTTGCTGATTTCTTAGGTCATTCGAGAGTAAATTATACTGTCATCAGGGATGCAGTTTTGTTTTGAGCGTTTTTTGTATTTGGGTTTGTGCCTGCGCGAGTGCGTGCGTGTCTGCGTGGTGAAAGTCCACTGCTTGTTTAAATGTAAATACGCTTTACTTTTAGTTAGGTATATTATTGCACTGTTGGCCATGATTTATGCTACTGATAAATACTTTTCTGAATACAATTACAACCGCAGTACACGAGTATTCCTTGCTATGTGGCATTTTGGAAATAAACCAAGGGGAATAAAACGTTATTTAAAAAAAAACATTGTCTCATTTCGTAAAAAATCATTGTAAATCCGTATACTGTACATAAAATAATACGATGTTCTTGTGCGTCCGTGTGATAGGTTTATTGAGCATGGTTGAAGTCGTTGAATTTGCACAGCCAAGTTAGGTTTGGCGTGGAGTCTTGAGATCGTTGGGCTTACGAAACTATTCAGGAAAATCGCACAATTAAAAGAATTGCAAGCAGCACGTGTCATTAACGCTGCCTTGTCATGATACGATATTTTCCCCTCGTTATTAACAAACTTGTTATCCGCGATTTCTGGCTGTCGCATCTGGATCTCTGCACCACGACTGCGTCGAAAGAGAAGAAAAGTGATGAGATGAAGTGACATAACGGGAACTTAATTTACAAACAATTATTTAATGTATTCTTGGTTCTTTCGGTAAAGTCACGAAGAAGGGAAATAATAAAAATATAAAATACAAATTCTCACGTTTGACTGCAACACAAGCAATCATCAGGTGTGAAATCTACAGCAATAAATTTTTTTCAAATTTTCTTGCTGTGGATTTCACACCTGCACCGCTTGTGTTGCAGTCGAAACGTCGTGAGAATTTTGATTGTTTTATATTATTTTATTATTTCCCTTCTACGTGACTTTACCAAAAGAACCAATAATATGAATCCCTGCAGTCACGAAAGCTTTAAATCAACATTTATTTTCATTATTATAAGCGATGTTTTTGTGTTATAATTTTCATTTATGTTTTAAATTCGTAAAAAAAGTAGGTTTCGTAGGCTAATATCGTGCGCGAAATTAGCTACTCGCGAGCATCTTCGGAACGTGGCCCTCGCCAATGACGAAGGGAATACCGTCCGTGAGGCTCGCGTGTTTAGCAGTGGCCGTTAGCTGCCGCTCCGTTCTTAGTCTCGACCAACCAGCCATCATCCCTGCTCGTGATGCCTCCTGCCTAAACCCACTTGGCGTATCACTTTTCACGACCTCTAACTTAAAGCTTTCGTGACTGCAGGAATTCATATTCTTTGGGTCTTTCGGTAAAGTCACGTAGATAGGTTCAAAGGGTTAGCTTCTAACCCCCGCTCTTCCTGAACGCTTGTTTTGCGATCGAAACGTAGTTTGTTATTTACTTTGAACGTATCTACGTGACTTTACCGAAAGACCCAAAGAAGAGGACCTCTTAACTTGCTAACTTTCTCAAATCCATGTTCATTTCTTGATGCACAAATTGAATTTTTTTTGTTCCATTTTCTATGTCAAGTTAGCAGAGGCCAACCAACCACATCGAGTGCACACCTGGTGTCGTGAAAGATTTGAATTTGCTCGGCAGTGTTCGTGATGGATGCGGTAGATTGTGAGTTGTGTTTTACAAAGCACTTTTTTTACACAAGTGACTCAACTTTTATCGGCTTCTCACGAACTTGCAATTTGTGTCGGTTCGGCAGGCGAGAGCAGCCCACGTCTGCTTCCAATTTGCTTTTTCCATAGATATAGAGGCGGCACGGCATGTCATTCTGGAAAATACAATAGTAACGCCATCTCGCCTCGAGTAACATCAAGTTTTCTTGAAGGTAACACATTCCTGCGGAGGGAGCTGGTAGGAACGTTGGGTTGCTCGGTCAATGGCCAGGGTCAACGGCGGCGTGTGTATTCCGCAAATATGCCTGACTGTGAGGGTGGGCACAAGCCGGCGTGAGTAGGTTAAATGTTGAGTTTTAGAAGGGCACCACGGGGTGACCAGCCCCTCCCCACCCAGCCCCCACAAGAGGTGACGCACGTAAAGCTGAAGAGACAAGATATCACCTGTCCCTGGTACTGGCTAAAATGCCTCTTTGGGCTCGTCATAATGTTGGGTGAATTTAATGCCCGAGTCACGCAGGCACTTGGACTGGAGTAGTTGGAAGGCATGGGCCAGATCCACTCAACAACGGGAGGCTGCTGGACTTGTGCAGCTTGGGGGCCTTGTAAATCACAAACGCAGCATTGACATCAACGCATCCACATTATGGATGCAAGAGCGTACATCTCCTGGACCAGAGACAAACAGCAAATGCGGGCCTATGTCCGTAACGCCCAACTACTGTGAAGTTGATCTGCCCACGACCAGCTTGGCGTCTGTAAAATGCACCCACCATTCTTCTCCTGCAGGCGTCTGCGTTCAGACAAGGACCCCATTCACATCCGCAACAGCCTGGTCCGAGCTGATGCAAGTTCCGTGCAATGGAGGGGAAATGGGCGAGGTTCAGGACTGACTCATGCAGCTGATTTGGGTACATAGCCGACCTCCCCAGACCCTATGAACGTGCTCCTGCTCCTCAAAGCAGTAGGCACACTCACCAGACAGGCCCACTCCCACAACCTACATCTCACAGTCCAGAAACGGGGAGGCCTACCGCAGCCTCTGCTCGGTGTGGTGAGCTCGTGCGGCACTAACAGCCCACAATCATACATCAATTTAGTTCCATCAGAAAAGCTGGGCTGGCTGGTAGTGGTCTCAAGCCATTAGATTAATATGCAGCTTTTTTGATACAGGGCAGAGCATGGAGGCCAGAGAGTGCTGGGCTGTTGTAGTCTTCTGCAATCGACACGTGTGCATTGTTCGTTTTGTTGTCATTTCTGGTGCTCAGGGTCTTGACGAGATACTTAGTCCAATTTTACCCTTGGGCAGGCAGTGTAGGCTTAAGGGTATAGTACCGTTTTTGACTCGTATCTCCAGAGACACAAATCAGTTTTTTCTGTATCCTTTATTACAAAAATAGTAGGAAAAACATTTCAGCTTATAAAATGTGCTTACGCTATATATTAGGCATCGTGTCCCACAAGACCATATTTAACATTTAGATGGACGTGCCGAGTCACTATTCACATCTTACCTGCGGAAGAAAAAACACAAGAAACACGGCCATTATGAAACAGCATGCAGTGCTACAAAGCACCTTGTTGCGTGTAAGCGATTCTAGCCCCAGTTACCTGAATGGAAGAAATACCTGGTTCCAATTCTAAGTGGATTCTGCAAGATTCAATCCGATCCTACAAAGAGAGCAATGTTTCAACACAAACAGCCAGGGCCCAAAGACGTCTTCTGCACGATATTGCTTTGACAATTCACAGCCGTTCATCAATCTGGTGTTGGATGTAGGCTGCCATTCAGTCACCAAGACTCATCCATCACCCATCTTCCCCTTCCATAAAAGTATCCCTCCCCAAATCCATGTACGTTTCTTAATCTCTGAATTACGTTCAGATTCACCTCATGAAATTCCAAGCATGCTTCCATGAATCTGTGCACCGTTAGCGTTTCTATTTTCTTTGAGGTATCCACATTTTTAAACCCACATCATAGTACCGATGAGAAAAACTTTACTCTATAGGCAGTGATGGTATGTTGCTTTTCATAATGAAATTAATTTAATAAAAATGACCACCTGCCTTTGATCATTATGATCCCAAGCCACCTTCAATAATTCCTCTAATAATACTTACTGTTATTTTCCCGGTGTCCCTCCATCGCATACTTTATTGTTCAGCGAGCTTGTTGTAATCGTTTTCATCATACATCTTAAGCCGAAATTTCAAGTCTTCTTAAGTTCTTCAATAATTTCCTGCAGTCAATTTCCATTGGTGGCTACCAACGCAGAAAACCTGAGATGGTCAACTGATGAATCCTCATCTAGGACTGATTTCTCAAATGCAATGTCCAGAAAATGTCGTTGCTGTGAATATCCTTAGTGAAAGTGCATCTCCTTGCCCAACTCCTCATACAATTCGTAGTTACTTTTCTTCATGCAATTACAGTGGAGCCGAGACTGTCAACTCTAAGTAAAACATGTACTGCAGTACATTTATATATTACTGTAGTTGCTCCGGTAAAAATAACTTAGTCCCTTTGCCAACCCACTGTTTGGAGGCTCTCACACCATCTGTGGAATGGTTGTTTTGACCGGAATTCATTGCCGGGTTGGTGAAGGGGGTGCACGAATGGCATCGCTACTATTTGTGTGGCCGAGGATTCTAACTGCCGATTGCTGGCTTCATCGCAGTGCCAAATGCTCACAGTTGCTGAAGTATCATGTGAATAAGTAAATAATTAAATCTACGAGAATATAAATACCTTCACAACACCTGAGTCGTTGAAGACACAATTGGACTATTTTTAATATTACACTTCAGCCAAATGAAGGCAACTAATTGAAAAGCCCAAGTTGTGGTGTACGGCCACATTTTACCGATGTTGGGAAGGCCAAAGGGTGTGCTTTAACACAAACACATGCAAGGGGATACATGCCAAGGAAGTATGGTCAGCAGCCTGTTGGATGTACTGCCACCCACCTGCACCTTGCATCTGGCTGCTTTGAGTATACTCTAGGCCTGGACAGCATTGTCAGTGCTTCCCATCATGCTACAACACACCTTACATTTTCTACTTGGCATATTTTGTCTCTGCCCACAAGTTTTTTTGCGGAAGGGCATTTGCAGCCAATGCATGAGGCAGCATATGAAAGCAAAGGTAGGTTCCTTCTCTTGTACACGTACAGCCTTTCTCAAGCCACTGCTGGAAGGGGCCCGAGGCACCATAGACTTGCATGGCTCTACTAGCAGTGCTTAGATGCCATAAGAGGATTTTATTTAAGATTCCTACATGTTGAATGTATGCACATTCCGGCCAAAGTAAATTCCTTGTCTGTGCGAACTTTCATGGCGAATAAAATCCTTTCTGATTACGCTTCACCGGCAGCAAATGCACCGGACAAGGCCTCAACTATTTCAGGCAGTAAATGCACCGGACAAGGTCTCAACTACTTCAGGCACAGGCCCAAGTTGATGGCAGCCTCCCTTCAAACAACACCATCTCTATTCCATTAACCTTGAGCACTGGATTATGCCCTCCACATCCTGCAGCCAGCGATGGCCTTCTGGGCTCCATGCGTAGCTCTCCATTGCGCCGTGGTCGAGATGCATTTGGGCGTGCGTCTCTCTCCTCGCCCTCTGTAAGCAGCTAGCATAATCTTCTCATCCTAAAGGTGGAGTCTTCAACTCGCTGAGCTCCTACTACCGTGTGGTAAATATGTTCAGATGTTCATATTGCCAATCACCTCCATGACCTCATTTAGCCTGAAATAGGTGACTTTTTATCCAATCCCATTAACCAGTGATTTTTATTTATACCAAATTCTCGCATGAAAGTAGGCCAAATAACCTCTAGAACTGTGGTGGCCTTTCGACCAGCAGTGGCATACGCAACTGTCGGGTTCTACCGTTACCAAAATCATGGGTGTGCCAGGCAAAGGCTTATTTTAGCAGACAGCAAATTGTTTGGCATCACCTAGTGAGCATTAATTAGTGAAAGTACATATTGTCTTACAGTATGGGAGGCACATTTGCCATTTGTTTGTTAAAAGTATGAACGTGTGTCTTGAGATTTGTGCCGTGGTGAAATCTGTCCTCATGAAGCAATGCAAGGTAAAAATACCTCAAGTTTGTGTTGTGGCGGAGGCCAAATAAGAGCATTTTTATAATATATGCTAAACACGTGTTCCCTCAACAGCGCTTATATTTAGCAAATGGGCATCATGGAAGTGTAATGTCTGATGGTATGGTCAACAAACCCATTTTATTCACAGTACCTTGCGAGAACGCATCTATTGCACATTCAGGGGTGCAATTGTTCATTAGGTTAGCAGTTCACCAGAATAAAGGTGAGCAACCTATATCATGTTGCTTTGCACTACACAACTGCTGAAGCAGTTTAAGAAGCAAGTGTAATGCCTTCTGACTCCCACCTCCCATGTCCCCTAAATAAAGACCTCAATCTAACATTAAAGTATCTTAAATTGTCTTTTATTCGACACTACAATACAAACCAACATGTGCACAGGAGAGAAAAAAAATAACTACATTTTTTTCTGTTTCCAAACAACCGAATAAGTCACAGTTACAGTATCATATGCTAGACAAAAATACTACGCTTTCATACAAAAGATAAAAAGGTATTGAAGTTAACTAAAAACGGCCGTTCATCATCCAGCAAGCTCTGGAATGGTAGAACTTAAAAACAAAGTGTTTTGCTTGTCGTTAACACAAGGGAAAAAACAAATAGGTAACAGCCTTAACAACTATTTTATTATTCATTTTCACCTATCGAAAAAACCATTCCCAAAGGATGAACGCACTAACAATCTCGCGTCTACCGCAGGCGTCTGTGGGCTCCTCTGTTAAAAGCCTCTCTCCTCACTGCCTCGACAAGGTAAGAAGGCTGCCGCCAACACGGGATGAGGAAGAGCATAACCTGCCGCTGTCCTGCCCCACCACCTGTCCCGTTCAGTTCCTCCTTTTTAATACATTGATGCCTGTCAAACACGAACAAGACGGCATTCCTTGTTAACGACTCGTCTAGGTGTACGTCAAAACGTCTCAATGCATTTCTCAACGCACTCAATTCAAATTAAGTGGGGTGTGGTCTTAAAAGTGGCACATGCCGTGATCTGTTCTGTTTGGTTGAAATGCGGCAGATGTGTGCGTGTGTGTGTGGCGTTTTAGAGTGCATGGTGTTGGGGGGGCATTACCTTTGAGAAATCCTGCCCACAATGATCAGTATCTGCCACCACGAACTCCGTAGTTTCCGCCGCCGCCGCCACCGCCAGAGTTATAGCCACCTGTTGGCAAGCATCGCCATTTGTAATGGATTCAGGAGCAGTACATGGCAGTTGCGATTGGAAGGATTCTTCACTAAAGATACCCATTGGCAAGCATCGCAATTAGCAAGGTTTTTCTAAGACACCGGATGGAAAACTGTTACCCGACGATCCACTACCTGTTGGCTAACGCCGCGATTGTGAATTCGACAACAAGGTATGTGCGCTACCCTAACACTTGGTCATTTAACGATGCATCGCTTTGATCAAAAATAGATTCGTACGCCCACCGATGCATGCAGTGAATTGAACTTAAGGATTTAAATGATAGGCACAAGTGAAAAAAGCAGAAATACAACCAAACAAGATGGTAAAAAAAAAAAATGAAGGATTTCATTTTAAAATTGAATCGCTGACAGATGCAGAGTCACGATCCAATTCAATAAAAGCTATTGTAGTAAATGTAGCACAGTAGTTGGCTGCCAAAATTACATAACCCAATTACATACACAAGAGTTGAATTCAATTCTCACATACACAATGACGCGTGTTCTGCGAGCGTAGGCCTTGATGGATCGATGCATCGTCACGCGTCTACATTCATGCCTGTCGCTTGTTCGTGCCACACGTGGCCTCTATTTTCAGCACAGTGGGGCTGCTTTACCTCCTCCGTAGGGGCCCCCACTCCTCTGGTTGAAGTTTCCGCCGCCCTTCATGGGACCGTAGCTCGACTGCTGTTGGTTGTAGTTGCCAAAGTCATTGTACTGGCCGCCGCCTCCATAATTGCCTGGGGTGAGGAATTGCAACGTTATCGTCAAACTAAGGTGAATTATGAAAAACCATTCATAATTGCGAGTTAAAATGTACACGCAGGAAATCTTTACGGGGGGGGAAGTCTCAAGACTTTCAAGGAGGCAGTGGCGTAGCGTCGTTGGCATGGGCCCTGGAGCAAGGAATGAAATGGGGGGCCCCCCCCACCGCCCAAACTTCAGCCCCTTTTCAAAACCTGGCATCTGAGCCCTTGTGCAGCTGCACTGTCTGCGCCCTCGATAGCTACGCCACTGTCAAAGGAGGGTACACACTACTCGAGTTTGCTGAGCCAATGCCTTTCGTGGGTTGTTTTGCATGTGGGAACAAACTGGAGTGCCTGGAGGAAAACCTGCACATGCAAGAGAACACGACTTCAGGGGGCTCCACATTGGTGGAGAAACACACGGAACCACAAGACTGCACACTCTTTAGACGTACGTACCAAGGGATTAGCACTCAAGCCTTCCAATGTCACTAAGCTACTACAAGCAACCTACCACCATACACCTGCAAGTAAGAGTTACAAGTGAGAAGAGACTGATGGACACTCACCGCCTCCATAACCACCACCGCCGCCACCATAGCCACCCCCTCCTCCCCCCCCTCCATTGTAGCCGCCACCATGATTCCCATAGCCTCCGCCGCCGCCACCACCACCAAAGTTCCCTGTGCAAGCACGAGAAAGGGTTAGACATGTAAAGCATCGTATCAATGAGAATGAATTGTTACGTCCATGACACTTGCGTCTTAATTGTGCACATTTACAGATTATGCCAAGTACATATGCTAACATTACTGTCATATCATTGCTAATACCCCAATGGGCTTTTGCTTATAAACAATGCTTACATACTGCTCAAATTGGATTGAATGAAAGAGACTGTGCCCCCTCCAGGACTTCTGACACAATGTGGAAATTAAGCAAACTCACCATTGCCATAGCCATTGTAGCCATCATTTCCATAGCCACCACCCCTGCCACCACCATAGCCACCTGAAATCACACGGAATGTTATATATATTTTCAAACTGCACATTCAACATACTTGTAGATGTTATACTTGTAATGTTTGAATTCCCATATCCAACAGTTCCCTTTATTTTTTTAAGAAACCCACAACCTTGGAAGACTTCTAAGGCAGGCACCACATTGAGAGTGTGGTTAACTTTGATAACATGTATTATTTCCAGGTCTGCTCGGCAGCTGCATAGAATCAAGTAAATTCAGTTGTTGAACAAAGAAACTGATGTCTCAACATAAATAACATTACTCAATTGGGATTAGTCATAGCAATCATTGCCCTCCCTCCACACCCCGTCTAGCAGATGAGGACAGCTACCACTGGGGGTGCCGTTTCAAAATGTTTTAGATGCGATTTCAGTCCCATATAACATGGAAAGCAGGGTTTCCCAAAATCCAGAAATTGAAACCCACCACGCTATGCACTTCCGCGTTTACCAATTTATTCCCCATTAAAATACAAATGAACTCATTCCACGTTGCATAATGATCATTAAACACGTGTACACACACGCATACCGAGATTTCAATCTGATATCGGCTCCCATTAACGCACACAATTGTTTAGTGCTTCACGTGGGACGCTAACAATCATCGGCCACGTGCAGCGTGTAATGATTTTGTATTTGATTGGGGAGTAAAATGGTAAATGCAAAAAGACGTAGCGTGGTGGGTCACGAAGACTGGAGTTTGGGATACCGTGGTATAAAGCATAAAAGGGTTGTCACCTAAAAATTATTTCCATTGCATTTGTAATGTGCTTGAACCGCTTAACTCACCTCCACCTCCGTAGTTTCCACCACCGCCGCCACGGCCAAAGTTTCCACCGCCACCGCCTCCACCACCACCCCGTCCAAACCCACCACGGCCTGTAAACATTGCCACAAATGAGTCGCAGATATCACAACCCCTTCCCCCACTAAAGCAATGTCATTTCATACAACTTATTGTATTATGCTTAGGTAGCCAGGAAATCATCACCAAGTCTCAAAGACTTTTTCAGGAAGGACCTGCCAAGTTTTGCAAGTAGGGGGCAATGATTGCCGCTGCGTGTAATCCCAATGGAGTACAAGTACAGGTATTTAGCCAATAACAGCTACAATGTTTTTTTTATATGGAAGGAAACCAATGCAGAACAGAGGCATAACAACAGCAACCAAATCAAGAATCAAACCCAGGCCCTTCTTACTGCGTGGCACTAGTGTCACCATTGCACCACCCCTGCCACTCACTGATGTGCATGCACAGTAAACTATTTAGGGTAAGGGTGGCCCAGATAAAACTAAAAAAAACGTTTATTAAAAACTCACTTGATTTTCGCTTTACAAAAATGCAGATGTGACAAAGTGGTGGTCGTGTCCTCTGCGTTTGGGTTTGCTCACCTCCACCGCCACCTCTCTGGTTCATCTGCATGGTCTCCATTTCATGGCGCGAGAGTGCTTTTCTGACTTCCAACTTGTGACAGTTGATGGTGTGGAACTTTTGAACTGTCGGATGGATACAAAAACAATGAGAAGGGGGTCAACGTACTTATGCAGCACAGTCATTTAAAATAGAAAACATGAATTGAGTTTTTGCCCTGTTAAGACTTTCAGTTCTATAAATGACATTATGATACATTTAGCCACCCTACAACTGCAACTTACAGTTCAGAACGTAATTGTCTTGTGAGCTTTCATGCACAAAATCAGACAAGTCAACTTTGTACTGCAGCCCCCATGGCTCTTATTACCCTGCCCTTGAGACGACCCTGCCCACCTTAGTGTTCCTACTTTACAAATTGCACAAAATTTAGTTTCGCGCATTTCTTTTAAGAACGCATATGCAAAACATTACGCTTATAATCAGGAAACGTTCCAATTCCTAAGCAACATACACGCGAAACACTGTGTAATGAGGTAACTTATAGTCTGAGATTCCTGTACCATCCTGTAAATTTATTATCCTGCATTTAACATAGGCTTTCACAAGCAATATTAAGGTTTTTGGGTTAGATGGCATAAACACATTTATGTTTACGTAATGCAACCCCAAAAAACCTCTCGTGAACTTGCATGATTACAGGCGATCCCCTCCTATCGGCCTGTCCTGCCATCCCCCACACAATTCTCTGGTGACTTAAGGTACCTCTCCCCGCAAACTTACAGACTATCTGGTCGACGGGGTCGTAGTCGTCGAAAGTGACGAAGGCGAAGCCCCTCTTCTTGCCCGTCTGCTTGTCGGTGACCATGTCAACACTTTCCACGCGCCCGAACTTCGAGAAGTAGTCGCGAAGGTGCGATTCATCGGTGTTGTCCTTGATTCCACCCACAAACAGCTTCTTCACCGTCACTTGGATTCCCGGTCGTGAATCCTGATGAACATAGCCACATTAGAGAGTTGAGGTATTTTTAGAAGCCAAATTCATTACAAAAAATCGATCCAGTTAATTAATCAGCTATTAAAACCAACTACCTCCATCATCAATAATGTTGTATAAAAGAAACATGTTACGCATTTCATTGTTCTTAACATGGTTTATGACCAACGTCAGATATTGTATCCTTTCCCAGTTTTATCCCAATTGTGCTATTGGCGTCATGTTCCGAAACAAAGTATCCATTGGAGTAAAAAATATACACCATGGTGTGAATAGCAACACAAGCACTGACAATGTGTGGTCCCCCAAGGCAGTGCCGGTAAGAAAGAACAAGCCGTTTATTTAACAATCGTGCTGTAAATGAGCCAACAGAAGCTGGAAATACTGTAACATTTATTTGCTTATTCAGAACATGCGTTCCCCCCTCCCCTCCCGCCCAGGATACTCACGTCTCGCGGCACGGCCCTCTTGGCCTCGACGACTCGCCCATCCACCGTGTGTGGCCGCGCCTGCATGGCTGAGTTCACCTCCTCCATCACCGAGTAGGTGATGAAGCCGAAGCCGCGCGAACGCTTCGAGCTGGGGTCCTTCATCACCTGGTGGGGGGAGGGGGGGGACGCGCATCAAGTAGTCTGCCACACAGTGGTTCTCCAGCAATGCATGTACATACGCTGAACTTTTCACACCGTACATAGCTAACCGTGCTAATCCGTGTGGGGACGGACAAGGTGTGGGAGAAGATATACAAGAATACACGGTGACTAGCGTACAACCACCACAAGGCTAGGACTTTAACACGTTCATTTTTGGGAGATTCCCTAACATCCTCTTATATGGACGTAGCCATCAGACATGGCCCACAGAGAATGCCCAGGGCAAAGGCGGGCTTGAACAAGGAAGATTGCACAAAATGGGGTGGGTCAGGCTATAAGCCAAGGAGAGTTAAGAGTTTGCCATGATTGTAGTGAAGCCCCACCTAATAAAATTGGCTTTTAATGACGTTTGTTAAACTGTTAACTCTGGATATTAGTTCGTATATTTAGTGATTTGAAGACTCTGGATTTGCCGAGTCAGATCGTTACGCAAGTCACCATAAGATGACATTTAGAATCCACTAGGAAATGTAAACATTATTTGGGTGCATGCAATTATCACATTACTTAATCATTAATGCTAGTGGTTAACGCTTTCCCTAAATTATGCAACCACTTTTAACTTAACCCAAGTGATAAAAAAAACTAAGCAAATTTGCTTGGCTGCAAATATGGTCATGTCATAAGCTGCACTGAAATCAGTGTTGTGCTTTGCAGTGTTCACACTTGCACAACATATACGGTGTACGTACCACACAGTCCACAATGGTGCCCCATTGCTCGTAGTATTCTCGTAAACTTTCTTCAGTGGTTTCAAAGCTCAGTCCGCCGATAAACAGCTTCCGCATTTGCTCCGGCTCCTGTTATACAATGTAAAGATGGGGAAAGAAAACAGTTAATGCTATTGCATGAAAATGGTGTGGTTTGGCATGCCACTTCTGTTATACAAATGTATTAAGCAATGACGATCCAACACTTGATTTCACCCCGTGTCAAAAGAGACATCGGGGCAAATGCTTTCCATTCTTGACTTTTTTTTAGCCGATCACACCAAGTACATTCCACGGGTACTATTTTGTAATTAATACAGCCAAGCTTCCACAATAGGTAAGCTTAACAATCTCAGCACCACGGGATGAGGGTATGATAATTGGTTTTTTACCCTTCTATCTGGCAACAAAACTGTTGCCAGATAGAAGGGTAAAAAACCAATTATCATATTTTTACTGGCAAATGAGGTTCCCATAGTGGGATGAGGGTATTTTGCAGGAAAGCTAGTGCTTACCGTAATAACCATAATTCAAACATTAAACCACAACTCAAAACTAATGTGGTTAGAGTTTAGATACAATTTGTGGTTTCCCATTACCTAAAAACGTAAGGTGCAACCACAAACATTTATTCCTGCTCTAAAACCTCAATATTAAAAAAATGTCATTTCAGGAAGCCCAAGATGTATGTGGACCACGCGTAAAACACGTGTCGTCTCCTGCAATGTTCAGCCCCTTTGTCAATCTCCTACTGGATGAAGACCCCCCCCCCCTCACTCCATGTCGGGAGTTGTTTGACCATACTTCGCAACGTTAGACAGTGCTGGATCGTGGAGTACTGATTTGATATCACATGTCTGTTCACCTACGATTACCCAACTTCCAAACCATCGCACGCACTATGCTAATATACACTGATGGACTACGCAATTACCACCTCTGTAAAAATTGGATTGGTACGAAACAATGAGCCGCTTCATTCAAAAACAGCCCACGTGTCGTATTTAAGTCATAAAAAAAAGCTTAATTATAAAGTAAAACACGTGGATATGTGCTCGGCTATCGATAAGCCTTAAAAAGGCAGTTGTGGAAATTCCACATTTGTATGGCCGGAGCGAGTCGTTACATAACACTAAATATGATCACACCCACCCTGCGCATGCGGTTTTGTAGACAAATCATATTATTCCAGGAAGCACTTATATTGGCCACATTACATTGGACGAAAGAATGACGTTGAAGGGCGATTTTTTTCACTTTTTTAAATGATTAACCAGTAAAGGTAGGTAATACTCTACAATTAAAAAAGCGTGTCAATTAGGTCAAATATTTTATTCAATTAAACATCAGGCTTGTAAAAGGATTCACACTTTCTAAATTGTATCTATTACAACTCGGGTCAAGATTAAATAAATAAAAATCAACGATTCAATTACTTTATATTTTTGCACATCAATGCAATTCCCAAAAACACACGGAGCTGTAATATCTTAATGCAACCACACAATTCGATTTTTCCCAGTTTGATATTTAGTGGGGTTTTAATTAAGCACAAATTAGGCGTTCACAGCCTAAGAATCTACAACCGTTAGAGGCTGGGCCACAGCGACTTCCTTCCTGCCCTTCAAAATGCTTGGCGCAGTTTGAATGGATAGGTCGATTTGATACCATCGGTTGAGAAATAACAATCGCCACGTTAAACGCTTATAAAACCACGTATACACCTTTCGATTTAAAGCTTTCGTGACTGCAGGGATTCATCTTCTTGGTTCTTTCGGTAAAGTCACGTAGAAGGGAAGTAATAAAACAATAAAAATAAAACATAATACAATAAAATAATTCTCACGACGTTTCGGCTACAACGCAAGCAGCCGTCTTCAGGTGAACTTCCTCTTCACCTGAAGACGGCTGCTTGCGTTGTAGCCGAAACGTCGTGAGAATTATTTTATTACGTTTTATTTTTATTGTTTTATTACTTCCCTTCTACGTGACTTTACCGAAAGAACCAAGAACACGTATACACCATTTGCTAGGCCATGTTGGGCGAATTTTTTTTAGACCAAAGTATCCAGATAATTTGTAGCCTTAACCCGTTGATAAAAAAAAAATCGAACATTCAACACACACACATACTGATGCACCGATATAATACAAAGCTTAATAATAATCGATACTCAATAATCGATTAACCGCCATGTGCTCACCTAAGATGGGCGTCACGGCCTTCCGCAGTAACCCCCACGGCGCGCGGCCATTTTAAACCTCGCCGTTACAAACAACTCACCCGCACACATTTCTCCCTAACAATGGTCGTGTATTACACCGACGGCAAGAGCGGACACATTTTTGTTGTTTTTAAATCTATCGGTTAAAAAGGAACAACCCGAACCCACCACAATTAAAACGAACGAGGTAGCCGCAGAGCACAATGGCCGGCCCGCTTTGAAGCCATTAACGCGACGCAACCTTGCAGCCTGGGAACCCGATTAGAATCCGCGATCATCCGGTCCGTATCGGCGCACGCATCGCGACGAATCGACCGCGTTACGATGGCTTAGGGTGTACTCGGTGATACCCGCGCGATATATTTTGTGTCCTCTCGCACACGAAACCTCACCACCATCTTCGGTGATTGAAGGGAAGAGCGGCGAGCGAAGCGGGCGGACCGGCGGTCGAACTTTCAAGAAGGCGCGGTCACGTGGTGGGCGCTGTCGTCACGCTTATAATGATATGCTAATGAGATACGTTAATCTATTTTTTTTATTCAGCGCAGGTCATAAATTACAGTGAATGTGTTTACACAAAGCTGTGACCTAATAAATTGTAAGTTACTGATGGGTTTGTAATTTTGTTTTGTTTTTAGATTTGTTTTTATCCCATACACGCCCCCCACCCGTCCACCCCGCCCCCCTAACCACCCCCGGCTCTCTTTGTTCAGTTCACGCCTTGCACGCAATGGCCTCCATTTGTCAATCCACTGCTGTATGAAGGGATATAAACTCAAATCAAGATTAAACTCATACCTGTCATACTCTTAGGTTTTTTTCGGTAAAGTCACGTAGGTAAAAATTATAATAAAAATAAATAAGATAAAAAATCTATGCTAATAAAATAAATAAGAAAAATTTTAATAATAGAAATAATAATCTTTTTACCTACGTGACTTTACCGAAGGGATATAAACTCAAATCAAGATTAAACTCATACCTGTCATACTCTTAGGTTTTTTCGGTAAAGTCACGTAGGTAAAAATAATAAAAATAAATAAGAAAAAAAATCTATGCTAATAAAATAAATAATAAAATTTTGAATAATAGAAATAATAATCTTTTTACCTACGTGACTTTACCGAAAAAAACCTAAGAGTATAAATCCTTGCAGTCACGAAAGCTTCAAATCTAGAATTCATACCTGTCAACCCCTTATCGGTGCCCAACCTTATCACAGACCAATTCAGACCGTATTGGTCACCCCCGTGCCCCTTATACATATCAACGTTCATCCCACAAAATACCATCGCAAGGGTGAAACAAACAAATAGATAAACAAAAACATATCCCCGTGTTCAGTTCAGTTCATTTATTAGGTATAGTGCTGTGAGCCATCGGCTCTTGAATCGGGTGCAACCGCAACAAACAAATACATGAACAAGAAAACATCTTAAAGTGACTGTGCAAACAGAAAAATCCAGGAAAAAACAGAAAAGTCTTCCAGAAAAACCACCGCATATCAATGCTGTGTGCAAAAATCCCAGTGGGATGCAAGTCAAACAATAACAACCATAAGACAATTTAGATTAAAGTTATCAGTCTAACTCTGTACTACAACAAACAAATATGGCTAAACCAAAACGTTTTTGAAATCACCAACATAAAGCTGTAAAATCAATGAATCAGTGATCATGGGCTGTATGTACACCGTTTGGACCTGAAAACTCAAATTCCCCCGAACAAGATTACGGGATAAACCGTATAGCACAGAGCATCGACGGATTGTCACTTTGCACTGTCGCTTGTCTAATTCGGCATCGGTTACAAGTGTTGAATGTGTGTACTATGTTGTACTTCTTTCGCGCCCTACGTAGCCAAACCGTGCTCATACCTGTCAACCCATAAGGTTTTACCTGTATTCGTGTACATGGAAATTGAGTTTTCAGGTCCTATACGGCGTACAGCAAAAAAATGTAATGTCTAATTGTTGTGTTTCCCCCTTGTGATGGGACTTTGTAGGAAGAACTTTGAGATTTATAAAGGCACTGGGTAATCAATAAGGTCTGAATTGTTGTGTAATAAGGTAGGGCACTGATAAGGGGTTGGCAGGTATGAATACACACACATAACTATTAGGTAATAAAAAAACTAGATACATTTTTGTGTTTCATCCTTTGTGATGGAACTTTGCAGAATGAACGTTAAGATTTATGAGGGCACGGGGTGACCAATAAGGTCTGAATTGGTCTGTAATAAGGTAGGGCACTGATAAGGGGTTGATATGCATGCGTACTAATCGGAGGTGCGGGGGAAGGAAATTCGTTTCAATTTAGGTGCAAAAGTGCCACAGCTTCAGTGGCTTCCTAATATCGGAAGGAAGAGCGTTCCAGACGGCCATCTGAAAGCGTGCGATACGCGAAGTGACACCACAGAAAGCATCTACTTCGTTAACCGAGGCATTATTGTGCTGTACGTTGTTTTTAGATTATCCTGCAGGTCTGTACAAGAAAAATTTCTAAATACAGTATTCCTGTTATTGAAATACTCAGTGTTGTCACCGAATCCCAGTTACTGTAAACAAATCTTTAAACGGAATAATAAATTATTCCACAAGTCACATGATCTTCACGGTGTGTTTTTTTTTATCATCAAGGAGGAATATACAGGGAACAACGTAGGGTATGTAATCTAAGCAGGTTCTTTTAAAGGTATTTTTGTCTTGGGGTACATGGGGTACTTTATGAAAGTCAATTATTTATGGGGTACTTTATTAATTCAATTATTTATTACTGTTCCAACGTGAAACAGCAATACATTTGGCACATTTGATTCACATGACATGTATTAATATTGGTAGGAACCTCCTGGTTACACCAGCCCACAGGGGATTATTGTGTCCGTTGTGCAGGGAGGGGCTGGGTGGGGAGGGGAGGGGCTGGGTGGGGAGGGGAGGGGCTGGGTGGGGAGGGTGGGGCTGGGTGGGAAGGGTATGGAGGGGCTGGGTGGGGAGGGTGGGGCTTGGTGGGGGTGGGAGGGGTGGGGCTGGGTGGGGAGGGGCTGGTCACCACGTGGTGCCCTTATAAAACTCAACGTTTAACCTACTCACGCCGGCTTGTGCCCGCCCTCACATTCGGGCATATTTGCGGAATACACCACGCCGCCGTTGACCCTGGCCATTGACCGAGCAACCCAACGTTCCTACCAGCTCCCTCCGCAGGAATGTGTTTAGTTGTGTCGGGTGGAGGAGGGTTTACAATGCATTTATACACGACCTCACCGAAATAAATCATGCATCATAATGTGGCCATGAAAGGCTACGTTTAGAGTTCGTAAAGCTTTGCTGTTCCTCCTCAGTTGAAGGAGCGCAAACTTAAGGTGGTTTACGGTAAGGTCCATAGTTTGGGTTGCATGGCCACAGTGGAGCAACTGTGGCTTGTCTTAAATTATTAAATAATACTCTTTGGTTCTTTCGGTAAAGTCACGTCAGTATAAAAATAATAGATCACGACGTTTTGATCGCAACACAAGCAATCGTCATCAGGTGGGACAACCACAGCAAGAAAAAACTGCTGAAGTAGGCGAGAGAGCTGCCGTGGCACGAGGTTATATAGTAGGCCTCGGCAGTAGGGGGGGAGAGAGAAGGGGGGGAAGGAGGCGGGGCAGAAAGTGGACCCCGCAGTAGCACCCGGGTCACTGGAGTAAAGTGGGTTACTGCAGCAGCACTGGAGAGGTCGGCTGCAGGGGGGCAGAGAGAAGGGGGGGGCAGCACAGAGAGAGAAAGAGAAAGACACACAGAGAGTCGGAAATAACAGCTGGCATAGGCAGGTAGGATGGAAACATCACAGTCAGTTAAGACTTTACCTGGTTAATAACGTCCTTCCAATGATTGCTCAGTTAGTACCCATCTTCTCCGTTGAAGTTGTGTCTGTGTTTATATATCTGGATGGCTTCATGAACAAATCTCTGATAATAGCCGGTGGGTTTGCAGAGTACCATCGTCTTGAAAGTCAATTTCGTGTGAGCCCACTGCGTTAAAACAATGATCGGCAACGGCAGAGGTATTGGCCCTGCCGTGTTTCACATCTGCCTTGTGCTCGTGAACGCGGCCCGAGACATGTCGTTTCGTTTCCCCAATGTAACTGCTGCCGCAGCCACAACTCAGTTTGTAAACACCCGGTATTGCATATCAGGAATCACATCCTTTACAGATGGGATAAAATCACGGATTTTGTGTACTGTGTTGAAACGAACCTGGATCTTGTGTTTGTTTAAGATTTTGGAAATATTTTTGGTAACCCCTACTATGTATGGCAAAGTGATGGTATTGGTTGGATCATCAGATGTCTGTCTCCCCTCATCAAAACCCTACACTATAGGGCCCGTTAATTGCCATCCTTTTCCACTTCCATGGTGAATTTTAAAGATGGGTGTATGTAATTAATGTGGTTTAAAAATTGGTTCAGTGCTGGCAGGCCATGTGGCCAGATGACGAACGTTTCCTGCCTAAAGTATTTAAAAATTCACTAACACATGGAATGGATTTTTGTATTTTAGTTACAATAATGTCTAATAGTGGATTGTATTACATTGCTGTTTTTACTTTTTTTTTTTACCATTTCTTGTTTCATTGTATGTAATGGCAGAGATTAGGGATTAATAAAGTACAACCATAACCACAATAATATAAACATAAATCTATGCATTGATTTATATAAAGACAAGTCCAGATATTGTGGCCAAGGTTTAGCAAATTGTTGTTTTTATTTACATAGCATAGCAATTTTTTTACAGCAATATATTGGGGGGGACATTTTGAGCATATTTTAATATGGGGGGGGGGGGATGTGTGCCCCCAAATATATATTATAATTACGGCCTTGTCTGGATGGCATCTGTCTCAAAATTCTCCATGCTAGCAACGAATTGCCACGTGCCGTTAAAGTGACACTAAAACCTTACCAATAGGCCGTGTCCGGTGTTGTCGGGTTTAATGACATGTTTATGTATTTAGACTATCTAACCCAAACAAAAAAACGCCCTCTATAATTCATGGACAATTTTGGTCGCGAAAGCCTACTTAGGTGTTAAAACGGTATTATTATTTATATATATAAATTTAAATTCTAGATTGGAAGCTTTCGTGACTGCAAGGATTCATATTCTGTAAAATCACGTAGGTAAAAACAAAAAAGAATATAAATCATAATAGAAATAAAATAATAAATCACGACGTTTCGGAAAAAAAATCCTCACTTGATACAGTAAATTTAGCTGTGACGGTCCCATCTGATGACGGAGACTTGTGTTGCCTCCGAAACGTCGTGATTTATTATTTTACTTCTATTATCATTTCTATTATTTTTTACTTTTATTTTTACCTACGTGACTTTACCGAAAAAAACTATTTATATGTTTTTATCTTCTTGGTTCTTTCGGTAAAGTCACGTAGAATGGAAATAATAAAATAAAACAATAAAATAATATACTAATAGAATATAATAAAATAATATTTGTTTTATTATGTTTAATTAGTATTTTAATTATCTTATTATTTCCCTTCTACGTGACTTTACCGAAAGAACTAAGAAGATGAATCCCTGCAGTCACGAAAGCTTTAAATCGAAATATGTTTTTAATTGTAATTACAATCCGGGGGGGGGGGGGGGGGGTTGTGTTCGTTCTGGATCCGGTTCCTCAAATCGTAATTACAATTTTAAAAATATTATAAATAGTTTTTTCGGTAAAGTCACGTAGGTAAAAATATAAATGATATAAATAATAGTAGAATTAAAATAATAAATCACGACGTTTCGGAGGCAACACAAGTCTCTGTCATCAGGTGGGACCGTCACAGCTAAATTTACTGGATCAATTGAGGAATTTTTTTCCGAAACGTCGTGATTTATTATTTTATTGCTATTATCATTTCTATTATTTTTTATTTATATTGTTACCTACGTGACTTTACCGAAAAAACATTTATAATGTTTTTAATTGTAATTAAGATTTGAGGAACCGGATCTCGGGGGGGGGGAGGGGTTTGTGTTCGTTCTGGATCCGGTTCCGAACGCACGACGCGAGGGAAACTTCGAGAAGGCGAGCGAGCGAGCGAGCGAGCGGTAATCCACAACAAACCAGAACACACACAAAGACAACGACTTACACAAAGCTCGCACGTCTTCACTCGGTCAATCACAACATATTGTAGCCTCGCAACGCTGCAAGCACGTAACAGTTTGTGCGAATGCCGTCGATGGTGTCTTTTACGGTTTCGAAGCTGTTCGGGCCTTGCTCCTGAGGCTGCGTTTAGGCCGCGGCTGTTTATAATCTCGCTAATTAATTAAATGTACGAGGGCGTTATGTTGTTTGTTGTTTAACTTGTTGTCCGGAGCTGTATATGTTTGTTGTTAATACGCGCTGTTATCAATCGTGAGGTGAAGCGTGTAATGTTTTTGTAACATTTTGACGTGAATGTGCTTACGTCGGATTTAAACAATGGGGGGGGGGGGGGGGGGGGCTCTGCGTGTAAACAACTCGTTAGGAAACCCGTGCATTAAAAATATCGGCCCTAATAATAACAATGATACATTGCTGCAGTGTTAAATAGTCCAGGGTGACCACCGCGAAAAAGTTATCGAGTTTGTGTGCACAGATGCTAAGTGGATTATTAGATTTGTAGCATCGTTAAGAGGTGAAACCGCGGCTTGCGTTGGGGGGAGCTCATCTCAGATCCAGTAGTGGATGGGGCGATTTGTTACTTTGTGCATTGATAATTATGGTTGAATTATACTCTTAGGTTTTTTTCGCTAAAGTCACGTAGGTAAAATAATAATAAAAATAAAATAATAAATAAAAATAACTAAATTGAATCACGACGTTTCGGAAGCAACACAAGCCTCCCGTCATCAGGTGTAACTGCTCCAGTCAAATCACTGTAGAGTGTGAAGTATAGCTATTCAAGACACGTGTCTTTATATAGGGGGCTGGGCAGGGAGGAGCCAATAAGTCGGGGGGGGGGGGGAGGAGATAACCATCTCGGTGCTTGTACATTGCAGTGTACAAGCACCGTACTTGTAGTGCAATTACATGACATTTGTTAATCAATATACTGATGTAAATAACACATTGTACATGTACAGCACGTTGTCAGTCCGCTGCTGGATGGATGATGGCCTCACTAATCCCCAATTGCAACATAATTGCTTTCACATACAGTATATGCCTTAAGTTTCAAGTTTATTTTGTTGAATCAGGTAAAGACTCGAGAAACCAGGATACCTTTTATTTGCAAGATTGACCTGAGGGCATTATTCTGCCGATATGGGGCAATTATTGCTATACATCATTCAATATCAATAAAGAGAACGATGTGTGTGTGTCTGTACAGACAGTCCCCAGGTTGTGGAAGACCCGACCTTACGGAAATGCTCCCTTACGGAAATGCTCCCTTACATCATGTAAAAAAATCAATATGCAGAAGTTTTTGTGCGCAAGTCGTGCGGAGCGGTGAGGTTGCGAATGAATGCCGCGGAGCGAGGTGTAAGGATGGCAGCATCTTCCCCAAGGCGTTGATAGAAGCCGCTCTGCACTCTCAGTCACACTGTTACATTGTTATCCGCTACATCGTCTCGTAACTTTCAATGTAACATCACCCTTCAATGCATTGCAATAATGACTGGAAAGCGACCAAGTGCTAGCAAGAGTGCAGGACTTGCTCGTAGGCGTTAAGTGATTGATTTAGAGCAGAAAATTACAATAACTAAGCAGCGACAAAACTATTTCATCTCACGAGCTTGGTCTCACTACCTCAACAGTGACTACAAATTTGAAGGACAGTGCTTGTATAAAGGAAGATCCCCAATTGCAACATTTCCAAATCTAGAATTAAAACATGTGAAAGGTTGGGCACCTTTAAATCAACTGTGTGATAAGCAGCGATAGATCAGGTGTTGTCTGAGATGGAAAAGTTACGTTGTGGATGGAAGATAAAATTCAACGGCGCGTCCCGCTTCGCCTTTTGGTGATTCAAGTTAAGGCTTAAAAGTCTTTTCGAGGACGTGAAATGGAAGCACGGTGATCCTGACGCTAAATTTGTGGCCAGTCATGGTTGGTTTAATAGATTTAAGCCTCGTTTCATAATGTCAAACTGAGTGCCAGTGCTGATATGTAAGCAACGGAATTATATCCTGCAGTGTTGAAAAAAAAATTCAATGAAGGTGGTTATACGGCAGGGCAAATATTTAACGTCGTGAGATGGGACTTTTTGGGAAAAAAATGCCAGAAAAAACATACATTTCAAATGAGGAAAAGACAAAGCCAGATTTTAAGGCTGCGAAAGATCACCTTTATGCTCCTGCTTGGGGCTAATGCAGCTGCAATCACAGACTGAAACAACTGATCGTGTATCATTTGGAAAATCCCCGTGCCTTTAAAGGCATCAGTAAGGTGACCCTTCCAGTTTATTTCCATTCAAGTCCAAAGGCTTGGGTCACAAAAGCAATATTCGAGGATTGCTTCATCAATTGTTTTACTCCCGAGGTTTAAAAATACTGCAGAGACGAGGGCATCCCATTCAAGATTTTGCTTGTGGTTGATAATTAATGCTCCTGGCCACCCCACATTTAGATGCTAATTCACCCAAATATGAAAGTAGTGTTTCTCCCACCAAACACAAATTCAGTCCTCCAACCGATGGACCCAGGGGGGTGGTCATTGCACATTTGAAAGCCTATCTTTGCAGGACCTTTGCTCAAGCCTTACTAAAACTTCAAATCTAGACATTACTTGTTCGTTTTCGCGCTGTTGTCCCTTTTATATCACTACCTGCATTGTATCGCTGTACATAGGCTCTGCACTTCCTATGATTCTTTAATTTATCGAATATTTAGGTTAACACTACCCATTATTAAACTAATAGAACAGATACGGTGTATGAATACCACGAAATATTTTAATAGCAGTCACTTCCGACTGTTCGTTTACCGTGCGTTAGGCAAGGCCTAGACTTCTACGATTGCTGTTGGCTGAGACCATAAGCAATCGAAGTGTAATTGTTCTAAAGTACATATAGTAAATAACTCATTAAATGAATGTAAAATGAAAGCTAGTAATAGAAACATGGGGAAAAAAGGATAGTCCTAAGCATAGAAAACAATTACATAATGCTACAAAAGGAAAAGAATTAGGTAACGCTTCGAAAAATTCCATTGACTTAATCCTAGTGAAACTCGGGCTCGGTGAAGGCAGTGTTTTGGTGGAGCGAAGGTGACTTGCCTTACGCTTCACTTCGTGGTATTCATCTGCAACCTCTCCGCGCTGCACTGTTTGTGCTTATGTAACTAACGCAAACATTTCCATATATTTACATTTTTTGCATGATTTATGGGAGCATTTCCGTAAAGTCGGATATCTGTACGTCGAGTCTTCTGCAACCCAGGGAATTACTCTCTTGACATTGTGCTATATGTGTAAGTAATACGTTGCAGTACAGTATAGTATATCGTTTTTTATCCAGGAAATCCAGACTGAATCTCAAGACGTTGTGAAGGGTCCGGCAATGAATGTTTATTATTTTATAATGTCCATTGTTAAGGAGTGGTACAGGTTAATAAAGTAATAGTGATCGAGTAATTCAAATGATACAGGAATATTGATGGCATGAGTTAATGTGGTACAGTATATAGCAATAATGCCTATAAATGTCGACAGCTTGGGGAAGCCTTCATCCAGCAGTGGATTGACCATGGCTAATGATGAATTCCTCTTATGTAATAATGCCCATGCATAAATCGTAATCTCGTCAGATCTAGGAAGTAAAGCAGTGGGTAAGTCTGGATGGATTGTCTTTGGATGGATGACCACCATGCACGCCATGTTGTCATAGGTAGCTGTGGGTCTACGTTGCAGTGCAACAAAGTCTGTTGTGCTGTGCTTCTATGCACTCGGCCTTACACCACTCACACTGACCAGGGTAGTGAAGTATGGTAAAACAAACCCGATGACCGACATGGTCTGGTGAGGCCATCATCCAGCAGTGGACTGACAAAGGGCTCTTAGGTTATTTTCTCATATGGTATGTAATGGATTGTCACGTGACCAACTACACTGAAATGTGCCATGTGGTAGAAAGTTCGCACGTGCCATGAGGTTCGATCATTAATACAACGTAACTTGATTTGATATGTAATTCCGTGACTTGTAACCTTTAATTGCTTCTCCAAAACCATTACCAAACTATCGATCATCAGCCCGACTAATTCGTGAACGTAATTTTCAGAAGATGGGGAAGAGCAAGCAAAACAAGAAGCACCTTGAGGAAGAGGAGGCGGAGGAAGAGGAGGCAGAGGAAGAGGTGGTGGGTGGAGGGGTACCGGAAGGAGAGCTGGAGGAGGAGGAGTATGTGGTGGAGAAGGTGCTTGACCGGCGAGTGGTCAAGGGCAAAGTTGAATACCTGCTCAAGTGGAAGGGCTTCTCACAGTAAGAGTGGCATACTGTCTTGCATGGCCAAAAGACAATTAATTAGTTGATAATCCACCCAGCTGGGAATTGAGGATTCAGAATCTCACTACTCGTAGCGAAACATAATAGGGTAACATTTACGTATGCAAACTAGCATGTGCATGTGCCTGACATTCATATTTTAATTGTGTATATATATCTGAAATGTGCTTGGAATTGCACTGAGAGATTAGGAACACATGCATTATAAAATATAGGCAAGTTATAGGCATCATATAGGTTGTTAAGGAACATAAGTGTGCTGGGGCAGGACATATTGCTAGCAGAGATGATGGCATGACCCGGTCATCGAGACTCTGTGAGTGGAGTGGCAGCCAAATAAGAGAGAACACGCTCGAGAGATATTTCGCTGTTGAAATTAAGTGTAATCAACTCGTGCATGCAGGACCGTGAGTGAGGGTGACTTGTGGGAGGCCGCACATCCATCAGCGAATTAATCGTGACTGATGATGATGATTGAACAATTGCCATTCTTCATCGTGGAGTGATATTTGGCAAGAGATCTCTCCACAGTATTTTACTTTAAAAGCTGAAAAAAGTTCAACATTAATAATTTGCAATGGATTTCTTTTGTTTGTGCTTGTGCACCACTTTTAACACAGTCCCTTAATTTCTTAGAATATAAATTTGATGTAAGACTTGTATCATGTGATTTCACTAATGAGTGTTTAGTAGTCAGCAGGTATGTTATAATGTATCAAATCGTTGATTACAATCTAATTCTCCTACACATCCTATGGTAATGTTATGATTAGGCTAATTGAGTGGACTAAAGCGTGCAAACAAGATCCAAATATATCAATACAGAAGAAATGGTAACACTTTTTAATGGATTTGCAAATTGTTGATGGGGGACCAAGTAGTCACATGCCACATTTGTTATTAAGTTTTCAGCAATGCGACTCCGAATTCCAGATCTGATTGTAGGAGCAACCCCACCGATAAAGCTTCTGACCTACTTGCTGTACAGCCAAGGGGTGGGAGGAGGGGGGATTCAAAAATCGCTGACGCCAGCCTGGACGTCCGTGTTGCCACCAGTGACGACAACACTTGGGAGCCAGAGGAGAACCTGGACTGCCCAGAGCTCATCAGCCAATACCTGGAGTCTCAGAAGTCGACGCCAAAACATAGCGGGGCCAGCGAGGAACGGGGGGAAGGGCAGAAGCGCAAGGCCTCATCCCTCAATGGCTCAGATGATGGTCGTTCCAAGAAGAAGAAAGAGGAAAGAAAGGTGAGTTATATTCTGTGTAACAGAACGTTGACTACACAAGGCGCTTTTTGGCTGTGCTGCACACCTTTAATCAATCGCTTTGAAAACAAGAGTTTGGTGGATCACACAAATTCGTGAAACTCCTTCCCTACCTGTTGGGCATGCGTCTCCATATGTGGGGCGTTTGCCAGGGTATGATGGCAGTATAGCAAGTAGATTCATTTTGATCTGTATGGCGTATGGAGTGTTAACCCCTTTGCACCAATGGGTGTTCTCTGAGTGCTTTGAGTTCATCCCACATGTATAAACACGTATTGATAACCAAATACCCCAATATATAATCACGGAACTCGGGAAATTGTTGGCACGGGTTATGGCTACATTTCCACATTAATTTCCTGACCATGCGAAAACTGTGTATTACAAATTTTCGAGATGCAATTTGCAACCAGTGCGCTTCGTAAAAATATACATCCCTATAAGTGGGTAATTAAGGAATCGCCTGCAATTGTCGTCAGGGTTCTGCAGCTTAGTATTTATAATTGTTATTACGCAGCCATGTCCAGTGATTGCATTAGACCCGAGAAGGCTAGGGTGGGGGTTGCTGCCAAATGCCAACTGCAGTCACCATATTGTCATGGGCCTCACTAAAAGTTCACACTCGGGAGTGTGATGCTAGAGGTGTGAAGGCATTCTACTTGGCTGTTGTTAGTAATGTAGTTGCTGAGCAACAAGGGGCAGTCAATAATGTGCCAGTTTGCAGGTGGGCGATGGTTTCATTTCTGGTAATTGTAGTGGGGGATATTCAGAGGGTGTATAACCAAATTAACTAAGAGAAATATAAATTGAATGTTAATATTTCTGAGGACAAACAGGTTGGAAAGTGTGATAGAATCCATGGATACGCACGATTTGTATTGCTTTTTTGGTGAGGAAGCGAGCACTGTCGTAGTCCCATTGAAACCATTGCAGTGGTTCCTGGTGTTTTTTCTAAAAGATGTGTGTGGTGCACTTCTGTATCTCCAAGGCTGACGACAGAATCCGAGGCTTCACTCGGGGCCTGGAGCCGGAGAGAATTATCGGGGCCACAGATTCCAGTGGAGAGCTCATGTTTCTCATGAAGTGGTAAGAGCTGAGATTGTATTCGTTCGACCCAATGTTATTCAACTCTTAAATTCGCTTTTTTTTCAAGGTAGTTCGTCATACTATTTAGTATTTGTTTACACATGGAATTTTTACATTCTTCAAATATAAAAAAAACTATTTCCTGAAACAGTGCATTTTGGTCCTCTGCATATGTATTTTGTACATGCACTTCACTAGAGTTTGGCACTAACGATGGGTGCGATGTGAATGCTGAATCCATCCTATATTCTTGCAGGAGAATTCCATCTGCAATACCGAGCGAATATGACCATATAATGCATTGTGGGGAAGTTTGGTTAATTTTCCTGAGTGCTTTTTTTATCGACAGGAGAGATTCTGACGAGGCGGATCTGGTACCAGCGAAGGAGGCAAACCTTAAATGCCCTCAGGTATACATGGAATTTTCAAATCCACGACTGTCACACATTTACTGGACTTCTTAACTCGCAGAACGTCAACAATATTTGTACTTAGTTTCACGTAAACTATTTATATTTTAGCAAGTAAGGCCCACTAAGTTATATAGCTCTTTTTCAGAAGCGACCTGCCCACAAATGATAGCTCAACGAAGTGGATTATCACGTGGAAATTTATAGCAGCCAAATACTCTAAATGCATGTTTATGAATGTGGAGGGAAAAACCGGAGGACCCGGAGGAAAATCCATGCAATACCGGGGAGACCATGCAAATTCCAAATATACAAGCGTCAGGGTCAATATCAAACCCATGACCTCCTGTCTACTTGGCAAGGGAGTTAACATCTCTCCATCGTGTCATATGCTTATCTGATTTGAATGTGATCATAACCAGTTAATCTGCAAAAGCTGAAAGCTATTTATTTACTTGACGAATGAAGCAAACCTAGTTCCAGGTTCAACTTGACTTCGTCGTCAATGGTAGGATATAAAAAGGTAAAGGTGCAGCCCTACAATTACCTGCATGAACTGTGCGCCCCCCCACCTCCCTCAGGTGGTGATCTCATTTTACGAGGAGCGCCTCACGTGGCACTCCTACCCCGGCGACGAGGAGGACAGGGATCGCAGGGAAGAGACCGCCGAGGTGGCTTTGTGAGCCAAGTGGTCACTCCTGAAAAGCCAGAGACCACCCCTCCCACCCCGTCCAGATCACAGCCCCCCCCCCCCCTTCTCTTCCACACCGCCATTGCCAGGGATTCATTTCAGCTTCGTTTGTCCCGAGTCGACGACCCCAAGGCCGTTTTCTTGTTTTAAGCGACGCTCTTGTTCTCTACACACAAACAAAACAAAAAAAGGAAATTGATGCTACGATTGCTCTAGCTGCACCAAAAAAAATCCGCTTTTTCAGTTCTCTGGAATCTGCAGCGCACGAAGCCGCCAATGTCGTGTGATAAATTAGCATATGTCCAGTCTATTTCCCTAGAGAAGCGACGCATAACGACACCGTGCGGTGTGGTTATAAAAGCCTGCCAGGTGTTGCACTGTACACATTTGGCTACAGAGAAGGTGTTGGGGGTGTCTTGAATATGTTAGGGTTTTTTGCAGTAGTGGAAAAAATGTGTTATTTTTGACTACAATTTTACCAGAACAAGACAGTTTTTTTTTTACCAGCTCTTTTATCCGATAAACTAAAAGGTTTGACATGCACAATGAAATAATTTATAATTCGAATCCATTTTTCAGTCATGCCAATCTCCAAAACGCACTAGATCTTGCGACACATTGTAATTAATTTAGTCTCCATGTGCACAATTGTTTTTGAACTTGACGATTGCATTCAAGCACCCACATATATTTTGTTGCATTCTATGTGGGCATGATATTTATGTCTCTTAGGAATTTCGATGGAAAATGGCAATCGATAGGTGTTGAATGTGTGGTGAGCACTGCAGAATCCACAGCTTAGAGACATTTTTATCCTAGCAATGATGTACCATTGTCTACGGAATATTTTTATTTCGAAAATACGCTTGTGTGTTTCCATCTGATGCAACGGGATATACAAAACTAGACGTGCTTCACTCCTTTCCTCTCACACGCGCAAGGGTGAGAGGGAGGGATGGAGTCCTATCTTTTTTAGCGGAGAGGAAGAAAAAGCTTCTGCGCTTGTGCATCACTCATTCGCGGGTGGAAAGGAAAGAAAAACAAGTTTGGACAGATTCTGTCCTATTCTTTGCAACAAAACAAAACTCGTGCGTCGTGCCATGGGACCACTGCAGAAAACCGAAAACTATTTTAACAGGATTTCTCCTGTTCCGCCAAACAGAAAGAAAGGAAGTGCATCCATTCAGCTCAGTCACAATCGCAATGGATTTAATGTGCAGCCTCTGTTTCCTGAAGTTTTGTTTCATCCAGCTGTACACGTCTTGTTCGTGTGTCTGTATCGTGCTCTTTTCTGGTGTTTCCTGCAAACAACTTAGTAGATACCATCTTTACAATCTAGCATCGCACATTTGCAGTTTTATGACAATTTTCTTTGGCTCTGAGACATAGCTTGATAACACATTTCCTCACTGCTTTTACTCCTGTTGGACTAATTTACCGCCATTGTTTTAACAGTGGAATACCCGCAACATAAGCGCAGAGGGTAACACCCAAACACAACAGCGCAGTTAGACCTGCGAGAACAGAACGTCAGCGTGGGCAGCGTGTCGGGACAGATGAAGAACCCGAGGCTGTCCGAGCAGCGACTAGGCAGCACGTGCAGTGGTACCGCACGCGCGCCTCAGCCGGGAACAGCGGCAGGCAAGAGGAACGGAGGACGGACAACGGCATCAGCAGCGCCGAAATTCATTTTGGAGGAAAAGCTTGACGCCGTGAGAGCGGGCAACGGAGAGAGGCACCGGCACCACCGAGCGAAAGTAAGCCGATGAAATGGCTTGATGTCGCACGAGAGCTGAAAATAGAAGGGGGGGGATGGAGAGAATGGTGCCACCGAGTGAGAAAGGGCTGTTGGATTTGAACGGAGAGGAAGCCAATGTCGAGACGTGCAGTTCAAAGTCGGGGTGACAAATAATGGGCCTGCTTGCCTTGGCCAAGTCACTTCAGCTTTGTCTCCTGTTGTGCGCTGCAAGTTCTTGGTGGTAGGCTTAAACTTGTTACAAAGGAATAGTGATTTTCTTTTTTAAATGGCTAAAACTATACAAATACAATTAAGCATGAATAGAATTTCTTTTGAAAGAATAAAGATCCTAAAATATTCAAATGTCGAAAACGTAACTGCTAAACGATGAACGTACATAGTTCCGCAGATTCCTGCGAGTACGTTTAATATTCTTATTAGGGTCCGTTTTTTGTTCGCCCTACACAATTATATAATTTGACGACACGTTCCTTTTGAGCACGAATTTATTGCAAATCTCCGAGCATTTGGATGTAACTGTAAATTTAGAAATGTCCCCTTTGTGTTGATCCCATGACGGGAGAGTCCCCCATGGCATGTTCGTTTACCATTCCTTGACACGAGGAGTTCAAGGAATGGCAATTTAAAAGAAGCTATGTTTTATAAGCACTTTTAGTGGGTTTGTATATGGGGGAAGACTGTTTTTGTTCGTATCTTATCTGGGTAATTTGTTACCTAAAGCTCTTGATAAAGTTATGCTATTGATGGCAGTCATTTGTACATTTAAAACATTCCTTTTCGCCTTTGGTGATCATGTAAAGCGCATGTCCTTGCAACACATGTTGGATGTTTAAATCTATAATAGCCAAATTTGGTGGCTAAAGAATTCTGTCCAGGTATGCCTAAATTGTGAAGGCATTAACATCCCTGTGCACATACGTTTACCATGAAAATGTTCTCTGGTAATATACATTATGCCACCAATATCTTCACCGCGTAATAATTATTTTCTTAAGAGTGAAATGGTGGCACAGTGGTTGGGCGCACTGTTGTGGACTTGGCGACCTGAGTTTGATTCTCGCCCATGGCTCACATCGTTCGCAAATTATATCTGAACGGTTCCTATGACTAACAGCACGGGGGAGGCCTTCATCAACAGTGAATTGACAAAGGCTATATTAAATTTAATGAAAAATTTAAATTTTCAGATGCTGTTTAATCGCATGAAATTTCCTTTTGCCCTCTTAAACCATACCAATTACAACAACTTGTATGTATGGGTGATTTAGTTATGCATACAAAGTGATTTAATGCTATTGACAATGTGTCCAATGCATGTATAATGTAGAGGATGGGCACGGCCAAAGTGCGGTTTGCAAGCCACGTGTCTCCTGGGCAATTCAAGTCCCATCACGATAGATTCGTGGAAAATTTTGATTTTTTTTTTTCAAACAGGACAAATCTGGTAGCAGAGCCAGACACGAATCCTGCGTTGGGATGCTGCCACAGATTTTCTGAGTTTAAAACGCCACAGCCAAACGGGGCGAGTGAATTTGCCGTGTGACCATTCCCGTGGCGTGTGTCTTGTGGTTCTCGGCCATATGAAGATTTTAGATGCAGCTCAGGATCGGAAAGTTTGGCCACCCCTCCTATTGGAAAAACTTATAAAGAATTGGCATGCAAGACTTGTGCACAAAATTTGGTCAGCTCAGGATAGTGTTCCAATTGGCTTAATGATGAACGTGTTTTACCTATATATGTTCACTACATGTGTGTGCTCATGCATACAGGGAAAGCTAACACATTAATGGGGCATAATTACGCTCGCAGTGATTAGGAACTCGTGTAGCTAGAAGATTATGGTCTTGTGAGAGCCTACGCCTTACGTGGATATGTGGCTTCATCTTATCGTTTCAGTATAAAAAGTAACTATTTTTTGGACATTAAAGGTAATATCTGCACCATATGTATGTTTAACTTCTTTCGCACCGTATGTAGACATACAGTGCGGGGGAAGGACAAACTAAACACAAGCAGTTCTAAAGTAATTCGTTTTCAATTTAGATTTAGAAGTGCATAGCTCCAGTGGCTTTGTAATATCGTAAGGGAAGAGCGTTCCAGATGGTCGCAGAAGCGCATCTGAAAGCATGTGATGTAGTGACCGTCTTTGATGATGATAGGCTGCAATCGTGGCATACGTGACGAAATTGATATTGCTGCGATTTGGCATAAAAATCTAAATACGAACGTAGCCCTTTAGAAATGTGCTCTATTTCAACAATGGAAATTTGTTTATATATGTCGTAGTTATCAGTGTTTTGTTATTGTGTTGTACAAAACTAGGACGTGATGTAAACGTTTTGAATACTCTGCAAAAGTCCCTTTTGAATGCTCTGCAAAAGGAGATGTCGATGCTATAATCGCACAATGAAATCACCATATTTTTTCCCATCATGGGACCTCATGGGCAGAACTTGTACGTTTTGGGTACTTCGCGCGACAAGACATACAGCTTCAGTCCTTTCGGCAGCACATAGGGAACATTAACCTCTATTACGAGGCACATGTTGAGGTCATTCAGAAAAATCTGTGAAACTTGCAGATGGGACCGAGTGTGATTATGGTTTTAGGCTCTGTAACCTCGCCCCGTTCCCACCAGAACCCCACAACCCCATTCTCTACCCATCGCTTTAGATCATTAACCCACCTGCTTTCCAGAACCTAACATCACCTGTCTCCATGACCACTCCCTCAGATCCAACCCCTTTCTAGATCTTTCCAAACCCCCCCCCCACTTATGCCTCGGCCACTATATCACCTCCTCCCCCATGTGGGTTCCAGACCCAGAACCTCTTTAAAATATGAGCCACTCCGCTGTCGGTTCTGCTGATGGTCGCCCGCTTAGCGGCTCGTCAGCTGGCATGTGAACTGGTCGAGATCTGACTGGCCGAGGCATCAGCTGGGCAACGATGAGCAACAGTGCCCATAGCTGCCATCTCTGATGTAGGCCGCGGGCTGCCGGCTTGCATGGCTGACGACTCAACTGTCAGGACAGCCATGGATGTTTTCCAGCGCTGCTCCACTGTCAATGCTGTAGGCCTCAGGCTGGCAATGCATATGGCCGGCAGCTTTGCTGCCAGGAGCATTGGACGGCACCGCTTCGCCATTGACGCTGTAGTCCCCAGGCTGGCGTGGCGAAACATGTGGCTAGCGGCTTCATCGGGGCAGCTGGGAGCATTGACCGGTGCTGCTCTACTGTCAGTGATTTAGACCGCAGGCTGGCAACTCCCATGCCAGGGCAGCCATGGGCGTTGGTCGACGTTACTCTGTTGTCGACGATGCCAGCGGATGGCCGCTTGGCGGCCCAATGGCTGGCTTTGTCCCTGGGCCAGACTCGGCTAGAGACCGCCCTTGATCCATCGACCTTGGGTCCGCCGCTTCTCCACTCGAAAAGGGTAGGGGCAAGCTGTCACTACGTGCCACCATCCGTGACGTTGGTAATGGCACTCGGCGGTCCTCGCCGCCTTTCCAGCACTTATCTTCTGTTTCCATCACCACTCCCTCAGCTCCATCCTATTTCCCAAATCTTTTCCAAAAAACACCCCTGACAACTTCACCGCTCAGACCAGGTCAGCCACAGTCAACTAGTACACCAATTGTTGATTCCAAAACTAGCATTTATGGGTGTTTAAAAAATTGTAAAGAAGATGGTCGAGTTTGATTGTGTAAAGACCTTCAGGTCTTCCAAGTTCATATGAGTTGATGTGTAGAGGAGTGTTGTACCTCACTAGTTATGTGACTTTTCCAAGTTACTGTGCAAATGTTCACGTCGAATCTGACCTTTGAAAGTGTTTTTGTGTTATCACTATTTACCTTTACATCTGTAATAGCTCACATGAAATTCGAAATTCCGATGAAGTGGGCAATAAAACCCATAAGTGTAACTTCCGTGTATGTTCATGTACGCACGTGGTCTGACCACATCACCCCTTGTGTGTGATACCGCCTTAACAGGTTGTCACCATATAACACTTGCACCAACAGGCTGTAGAGAAACTTTGTCGTGTGTGATGACAACATTGGAAAAAAACAGTACGTTATTAAAAAAAAGTATTGTACAATACTTTTATTAAAAGCATGTTTCAATTACAATTTGTTTTAGCTACTCACTAAGCCATGATTACACGTTAAGTCAATTTGAGAATACGATATGGCTTGTAGCCGCATCGACAGCATGGCTGCTGCATGTATAGTAATACCCTGATTTAAGTCTCTCCCGTTAGCGTTGTTTCGCAAGTACGTCGTCGTTTTATTAATACCGCTACCCGATTTGCGTTGCCTCAACCCACACGTCGCTCGCAACATGGTCCGTCCAATTCTTGTGTCTGTCACTTCAGCTTTCGCCTCCGATATTCGTCGTCGCACCTTTCAGGAACATCCCCGATGATTCAACGATTTTACCTTCAACGTGGGAAGTTCAACCTCCATAAGCCCGGTCCCTTCCTCTTTAGGTCCTGCCCCTTGGGCACGTGGTTGGGTTGGGTAGTGACGCCATCGCGAATCGATGACGCGGGCCTTCTCCCCCACACCGCGTGCTTCTCGTTTAATAATCTCGTGACGCGTGGTGAAATTTCGTGAACACGGGAATTTGATTTCGTTCATCGAAAAGTGTCCACGATTTGTAAATTGCGCTCACGTGAAATTTCATAAACCGAACGTTCGTAAATCGAGAGATACCTGTATTGAGACTCGGGCTGACTAAAAGAGCCTTATTTTAGTTGATTTAATCACACGCCATTTACATGTTGCTGAATGCAACACTTGGGGATTTTCCCATTATTTATCAACTCAACACATATTCTTTCGCGACCAATATCCAGAATTGAGTTTTTTTGGTTAGATCGCGTAATTGTAGATGTAGGTTTAATCTCCAACACACTGCTGAGCTAGTAACGAATTTATCACGTTTTGTTTACGTGACAAACTTTACTAATTGGCTGTGTTGGGTGGTGGTGGGTTGAACGGCACATTTATATTTACGGGATCTAACCCAAAGACCTCTCATGGGTTTATCGACTTATCCTAAAGTATATTTGTTTCATAAAGCAGTGTGGCAGTGGAGTGTGCACTGCAAGTTAGACCGCGGCAAGGTAAGGTAAAAACAACGAGCCTACCTTTACCCGACCTTTTACCCTTACCCCATACAAATTACCCGATTACAGGGTAATTACCGGGGTACTACACATAAAAAAGGTTTGTAACAGGTAAATGCTCGGTAGAGCGCTTTATTCGTATAGAATACTCGCGAATCGGGCGTTGAGGCTGTCGACGACATTGTCCTCCATAACCTCGTCTCAGTCGTCTTGGTCGATGACGATCTCATCAACAACCTGATCTTATTGCCTGCCGTCCTCCTCGGACGAACGACAGGCAATAAGATCCTGCACCACTCCGGCCCAGTTAGACGGGACCTTCAGGCAGCCGGCCGCGATCCACGAGCGCAAGCGCATGGACTGGATGAAGAGCGTCGACGACAGCGACTGGCGAACGCATGTGAACTCCCGCCCGGCTCCGCTATTCGCGCCTTCGCAGGGAGTTGACGTCGCCGGCGCTCCCAAGTAGTCGCAGGCCATCTTGTAGTGGGCAGGCAGCAGCTCTTTGCGGGGAGACCACCACTGCATTACGTCAATGAAGGCACTGGCGGTCGTGATGCCCATGCTCAGAAAACGTTCGACTTCATCGCCATCGTCGACGGAGTTGCCGACGTTGTTGAACACGGTGCTGAACAGTGACCCCTCATCCATATGGGCAGCGACTACCGTCGGCGGGATCGCGAGCATGTCCGAGTAGCGATGCTGCAGGACCCTCCATCCAATCGTGCGTGTGCTCTCACGGGAACGCATGCCGCTGCCTCTTTCGATTGCTGTTCGCAGCGCCCCCGGAAATGCCATTGCTGGCATCCTCGACCTCGTCCTCTACCTCAAGAACGTGGCCCGTCTCCATCTTGTCCGACATCGATTATTCCAATTTAAAATGGAGGCCATGGACTGCGCCACGGAGCTTTTAGCGAGAGGTAAACAGGGTATTTACCGGGTAATACTTTGCGCTACCTTCACCCTACCGGGTAATTCTTCCGCGCTACCTTTACCCTACCCTTTACCTTACCCCTTGGCATGGTCGACACCTTTACCCTTTCACTCGGTAAAAATAAATTACCTTACCTTGCCGAGGCCTACTCGAAGTATGAAGTATGGATTCAGCGACCAGAGTTCGATTCCCTGCCATGGCGAGTGATATCTTAACTGGTCATGGAGCTCCTTATTAACCAACCTGCATTGACCAGCGTGATGAAGTATGGTCAAACAACCCCAAGACCGATAGCGTGAATAGGAAGGCCCTTCAGCAGATCACGTGTTGTCATAAGATTTACAGTTGAGGGTCACCTCATAAACCCAGAACAAATAACCCACAACCAAAGTATATATTGTACATTCAAATTACATTATGAACAGGACCCTGCGGGGTGGGCTGGTAGGAACGAACAATTGAATGGCTATAATAAAATGAAATGGCAAAAAATGGCCGCCAATAAGTGGATGCCCCGTGGCCCCGCCCTCCACCCGCGTAACCCCGCCCCGGCCACCCGTGGCCCCGCCCCATCTCGGTGTCCCCGCCCCCAGCTCGTTGCCCCGCCCCTTACCGCCGTAACCCCGCCCCAACCCGTGTAACCCCGCCCTCCACCTCGTCCCCACGCCCCCTGCCACCGTTGCCCCGCCCAGCCCCGTGTAGCCCCGCCCCCTGCCGCTGTAGCCCCGCCAAATACACCCCTCGCGGGAGAGAGATTCCCAAGCCTGGCTCGGCTGGAGAGCCGCCGACGAGGGGGGGGGGGGGGGGGGTAGGGAGTTGTTTTTAATGTAAACGCTTTAAATGTAAATGTTTCTATTAAAAACATCAGGGAATGTAACATTGTTAAACATTAACTCCCTTTCACATACGCGGGGGTACGATAAGAAGGGAGAGTTTGAGGCCTAGGTCTAGGCTTTAGGCCTAGCTGTAGGCCTTAGGCCGCCGTGAGTTAATTATTAATATAAATGTTTTAATTATTTATGTAAAAGCTTTAAATGTAAATGTTGCTATTTGAAAACATCAGGAAATGTAACATTGTTAAACATTAAATCCCTTTCACACACGCGGGGGTACGATACGAAGGGAGAGTTTGAGGCCTAGGTCTAGGCTTTAGGCCTAACTGTAGGCCTTAGGCTGCCGTGAGTTAATTGTTAATATAAATGTTTTAATTATTTATGTAAAAGCTTTAAATGTAAATGTTGCTATTTAAAAACATCAGGGAATGTAACATTGTTAAACATTAACTCCCTTTCACACACGCGGGGGTACGATACGAAGGAAGAGTTTGAGGCCTAGGTCTAGGCTTTAGGCCTAGCTGTAGGCTTTAGGGCGCTGTGAGTTTTTATTTAATTTCAAAGTTTTAATTAAAAGCTATCTCAGGGAATTATAAGGGAATGTTACACGTGTTTAGCCAGGAAAGCCTCATTAATTTAAATGTTTTAATTAAAAGCTATCTGAGGGAATTATAAGGGAATGTTACACTTGTTTAGCCAGGATAGCGTCACTGAGTCTAAAGGTTTTTGTAGGGTCATGCCAAGTGTTTGCAGTAGGGGGCGATGTTGCTACACGGACGGATGGACGGACGGACGGACAAACGGACGGACGATATAATCTATTGGTGTCTGGTCCACTTCGTTCCTACCAGTATAATCATTTAATGTATGTATGTACATCTAAACAGAGGATGCGAAACATAACTGCACAACATTACAAAGCTTAGGTAAAATAGACTAGTACCTGTTGACATCCCCAGCATTTAACAGTGCTGCTATTTTTTGGTTTTGGAAACCAACGCCAGCCGTAATTCTTGCGGAGGTGCTTAACCTGTACCTTCCCCTTCTAGCCCCGCCCACCTTCCCTTCTAGCCCCGCCCACCTCCCTCCCAGTCCCTGCCACATTTAGATAAGCTCCTCCCCCCTCCCCTTAACCAGTATATAAGATATTGTCTCTTGGATTTCTCTTCACTTGATACAATAAATTTGGCTGTGACGGTCCCACCTGAAGACGGAGACTTGTGTTGCCTCGGAAACGTCGTGATTTAATTTAGTTCTTTTCATTTATTATTATTCTTTTTTTTACCTCCGTGACTTTACCGAAAAAACCTAAGAGTAGGTATCCAGTGTTTGTTCGACCATACTTCATCGGCGGGTTGGTCAAGAAGGGACTCATGACACCACGCGTGGACTCCCAGCATCAGACAAACTAACCACAACCACACCGTTTACAATACCATGATTGTGCGAATCCAATACGCCTTTGTCCCTCCACGCAAACACAATGAAATACTATTTTACACATTCCCCCAGCAGCCACACGGCCTTCTGGGAGTACATCATTGCAGCACAAGTATTTCCACAGGCGAACACATTCCTGCGGAGGGAGCTGGTAGGAACGTTGGGTTGCTCGGTCAATGGCCTGCAGGGTCAACGGCGGCGTGGTGTATTCCGCAAATATGCCCGACTGTGAGGGCGGGCACAAGCCGGCGTGAGTAGGTTAAACGTTGAGTTTTATAAGGGCACCACGTGGTGACCAGCCCCTCCCCACCCAGCCCCACCCCTCCCACCCAGCCCCACCATCCCCACCCAGCCCCTCCCCACCCTCCCCTCCCCACCCAGCCCCTCCCCACCCAGCCCCACCCCTCCCACCCCCCACCCAGCCTCTTCCTCCCCACCCTGCCCCTCCCTGCACGACGGACACAATAATCCCCTGTGGGCTGGTGTAACCATGAGGTTCCTACCAATAAAACCCTGGACCTGTTTCAACACTCATTGTCTCATTAGCAGTCAGACTTGCATTTTGTCCATTATTTAAAGTACACATTCCAACGTGAGCTTATTATGTACGCACGCAACATACTACAGTGCACATACCTTTGTGTGCCCAGACACGAGGTCATGGACACGTTTTCTCAACAAATGAACAAAAAAAACATTTATACTTTTTTGGCATATATTTTATCAATAGCTTATGCATGCACACAAAAATGTGATACCCCAGAGATCACGTTAATACATTGACTCCTAGCATTTGTACAGAAGCACACACCATACACAATATGAACACGATTGTATTGGTTATATTCTATTATATTGGTTACAGGACGCGTCCTATCAGCTGATGCAGACATGCACAGCAGTGCTCACGATGCTTTGTGTTCACAGGGATGGCATGAAGCACACACAGCGGGCTCCCAGAGAAACACATGCCGTGATAATGACTGTATTTGACTTACTATTCATATTTAAAGCACGCATCTTTAAGTTAAGCTTTGTGTGTAGACATGTCATCAGCTACCGACACTGACATCCATCAAATGACAGACTGTAGGGGCAAGTTCTGTTGACGAGAACCTATTAATGCCGAAAAAGCACACGAGGGGGTGGTTTGGCAGCACCACGCACGGCCGCCTTTGTCTCCCCAGTGGCGATGTTTACACATCAGCACAGGTACTCATTTGAAGCTGAGTCGACCTAGGGGAGACCCAGGACCGGCTCAGATAATCGTCATCGGTTGTTGGCCGTGAACAGGAATTGAACTCGGGTGGCCGGGTTCGTAGCGCAGCGCGCTAACCGCTATACCACCGCTCCCCACTCACACACACACACCTTTGTTGTGTGTGAGTCAGAGTGTGTGTGTATGTGAGTGTGTGTGTATGTGAGTGTGTGTGTATGTGAGTGTGTGTGTATGTGAGTGTGTATGTGAGTGTGTATGTGAGTGTGTGAGAGTGTGACAGTGTATGTGCGAGTGTATGTGAGTGTGTATGTGAGTGTGTATGTGAGTGTATGTGTTAGTGAGTGTGTGTATGTGAGGGTGTGTGTGAGTGTATGTGTCAGAGTGAGTGTGTGTATGTGAGGGTGTGTGTTAGAGTGAGTGTGTGTATGTGAGAGTGTATGTGAGGGTGTGTGTCAGTGTATGTGAGTGTGTATGTGAGTGTATGTGTCAGAGTGAGTGTGTGTATGTGAGAGTGTATGTGAGTGTGTGTATGTGAGGGTGTGTGTCAGTGTATGTGAGTGCCTGTATGTGCAGACATGACGTCAGCACACTCCCCCGCATTGTGGTGGAGACAACACACACACGCACACTGACACACACACACCGTGACACACATATGCACACAGAGAAAGATCCCCCGTATAGCCTTAACAGACTGTAGGGGCAAGTGCTGTTAGCGAGCACCTATAAAGGCCGGAACGGTACACGAGGGGGTGGGTGGTCAGCACCACGCCCGACCGCCTTTGTCTCCCCAGTGGCGATGTTTACACACCGCACCAGGTACTCATTTGAGGCTGAGTCGACCTAGGGGAGGCCCAGGACCGGTTCAGATAATCGTCAACGGTGGTGGCCGTGGGCGGGAATCGAACCCGGGTCGCCGGGTTCATAGCGCAGCGCGCTAACCGCTACACCACCGCTCCCCTTATGCACACAGAGACACACGCACTGACACACACACAGTGACACACACAGTGACACACAATGACACACACACAGTAACACACACACAGTGACATACACACAGTGACACACACACAGTGACATACACACAGTGACACAAACACACACTGACACACAGTGACAGACACACACACACAGACACACACACACAGTGACACACACACACACACACAGTGACACACACACAGTGACACACACACAATGACACACAGTGACACACACACAGTGACACACACACAGTGACACGCAGTGACACACACACACACAGTGACACACAGTGACACACACACAGTGACAGACACACACACAGTGACACACACACACAGTGACACACTGACACACACAGTAACACACACACACAGTAACACACACACAGTGACACACACACACAGTGACACACACACACAGTGACACACACACACACAGACCAACAGTGACACACAGACACACACACAGTGACACACACACAGTGACAGACACACACACAGTGACACACACACACAGTGACACACTGACACACACAGTAACACACACACACAGTAACACACACACAGTGACACACACACAATGACACACAGTGACACACGCACACAGTGACACACAGTGACACACACACACACACAGTGACACACACACAGTGACACACACACACACAGTGACACACAGTGACACACACACACAGTGACACACACACACACACAGTGACACACACACACAGTGACACACACACAGTAACACACAGTGACACACAGACACACACACAGTGACACACACACACACAGTGACACACAGTGACACACACACACACAGTGACACACACACACACAGTGACACACACAAACACACAGTGACACACACACACACAGTGACACACACACACACAGTGACACACACACACACACAGTGACACACACACACACAGTGACACACACACACACACAGTGACACACAGTGACACACACACACACACAGTGACACACACACACTTAAGGCCGGCGCCATCTTTGCGTCCAACTCGCCCACCGCAGCGGGTGGTGGTTGGAGACTCGAACCGCAGCGGCTCCGACAGCTCCCGACGCGGATCGCTTCGCCCACATCACGACACACACACCGACGTGCAGCAACAACAACTACTACAACAACAACTACCCACAACAACAACAACAAGAGCCGTAACGTCGCTTGGTGCGAGCTAAGCCGGAGTTGATTCTTCTACGGCACGAACGTTGCAGGCGGCCGTGGTGGTGGTGGTGCTGGTGGTGTTAGTGGTGGTGCTGTTGTTGTTGTTGTTGCCTCGTGTTCGCCGAGTGGCGAGAGAAGAAGAAGAAGGAGGAAGGGAGGTAGGCGAACCAAGAACCCGGGCGAGTACCGTCGGCGTCTTTGCAACTTTGTTAAAGAGCCAGAAAGCAACTACAGTACAGTCCATACACCGCCACCATCACACAACACAACCACACAACTACCACCACAACACTACATCACACAACACTACATCATACAACACTACATCACACACCACCACCACCACACAACACCACCATCACACACCACCACCATCACACAACACAACCACCACACAACACCACCATCATACAACACTACATCATACAACACTACATCATACAACACTACATCACACAACACTACATCACACAACACTACATCACACACCACCACCATCACACAACACCACCACCACACAACACTACATCACACACCACTGCCATCACACAAAGATCATCACACACCACCACCACCACCAACAACCACAACCACCACCACCACAGAGCAGTCTCCGAACCAACACAAACGAGGCTGGTAGATAAAGTAGGGCAGCAGTGGAGAGAGAGCGAGAGAGAAGCTCCACAGAGTGCAACCACCACCACAACCACCACCACAACAACCACAACCACCACCACAACCACCACCACTCATCATCACCGCGGTCGATAGCGCAGAGAGCAGCCTGCACCCAGCACGCCAACAACACCACCACCACCACCGTACGGCGCGAAACAAGTCCCAACAACTCCACCACCATCACCACCATCACCACCACCATCATCTATCAGTAGTGTACGATGGTGATCTGCGCCATGGTGGGCTGCAGCAACAGGACGGGCCGTGACCGCAGCGTCTCCTTCTTCAACATCCCGGCCGTGATCCAGCACCACTGCGACAAGACGCGCCTCCTGTCGCAGCAGCGGCGCGCTCTGTGGCTCAGCCGCATCCGCAGGGACGACCTGGGGGAGGACGACGTCAAGGCGCACACACGTGTCTGCAGTGCACACTTCATACACGGTGAGTGTGTGTGTGCACCTAGCCTGGTACCAGAGGAGGTGTGTGCACCTAGCCTGGCACCACAACACGTGTGTGTAGCAGGGACGACCTGGGGGAGGACGACGTCAAGGCGCACACGCGTGTCTGTAGTGTACACTTCATACACGGTGAGTCAGTGTGTGCACCTAGCCTGGTACCAGAGGAGGTGTGTGCACCTAGCCTGGCACCACAACACGTGTGTGTAGCAGGGACGACCTGGGGGAGGACGACGTCAAGGCGCACACACGTGTCTGCAGTGCACACTTCATACACGGTGAGTGTGTGTGTGCACCTAGCCTGGTACAACAACACGTGTGTGCACCTAGCCTGGCACCACAAGAGGTGTGTGGTGGCTCTGTGGCTCAGCCGCATCCGCAGGGACGACCTGGGGGAGGACGACGTCAAGGCGCACACACGTGTCTGCAGTGCACACTTCATACACGGTGAGTGTGTGTGTGCACCTAGCCTGGCACCAGAGGAGGTGTGTGTACCTAGCCTGGCACCACAGGAGGTGTGTGGTGGCGCTGTGGCTCAGCCGCATCCGCAGGGACGACCTGGGGGAGGACGACGTCAAGGCGCACACACGTGTCTGTAGTGCACACTTCATACACGGTGAGTGTGTGTGTGCACCTAGCCTGGTACAACAACACGTGTGTGCACCTAGCCTGGCACCACAGGAGGTGTGTGGTGGCGCTGTGGCTCAGCCGCATCCGCAGGGACGACCTGGGGGAGGACGACGTCAAGGCGCACACGCGTGTCTGCAGTGCACACTTCATACACGGTGAGTGTGTGTGTGCACCTAGCCTGGCACCAGAGGAGGTGTGTGTACCTAGCCTGGCACCACAGGAGGTGTGTGGTGGCGCTGTGGCTCAGCCGCATCCGCAGGGACGACCTGGGGGAGGACGACGTCAAGGCGCACACACGTGTCTGTAGTGCACACTTCATACACGGTGAGTGTGTGTGTGCACCTAGCCTGGCACCAGAGGAGGTGTGTGTACCTAGCCTGGCACCACAGGAGGTGTGTGGTGGCGCTGTGGCTCAGCCGCATCCGCAGGGACGACCTGGGGGAGGACGACGTCAAGGCGCACACACGTGTCTGTAGTGCACACTTCATACACGGTGAGTGTGTGCACCTAGCCTGGCACCAGAGGAGGTGTGTGTACCTAGCCTGGCACCACAGGAGGTGTGTGGTGGCGCTGTGGCTCAGCCGCATCCGCAGGGACGACCTGGGGGAGGACGACGTCAAGGCGCACACACGTGTCTGTAGTGCACACTTCATACACGGTGAGTGTGTGTGTGCACCTAGCCTGGCACCAGAGGAGGTGTGTGTACCTAGCCTGGCACCACAGGAGGTGTGTGGTGGCGCTGTGGCTCAGCCGCATCCGCAGGGACGACCTGGGGGAGGACGACGTCAAGGCGCACACACGTGTCTGTAGTGCACACTTCATACACGGTGAGTGTGTGCACCTAGCCTGGCACCAGAGGAGGTGTGTGTACCTAGCCTGGCACCACAGGAGGTGTGTGGTGGCGCTGTGGCTCAGCCGCATCCGCAGGGACGACCTGGGGGAGGACGACGTCAAGGCGCACACGCGTGTCTGTAGTGCACACTTCATACACGGTGAGTGTGTGCACCTAGCCTGGCACCAGAGGAGGTGTGTGTACCTAGCCTGGCACCACAGGAGGTGTGTGGTGGCGCTGTGGCTCAGCCGCATCCGCAGGGACGACCTGGGGGAGGACGACGTGAAGGCGCACACGCGTGTCTGTAGTGCACACTTCATACACGGTGAGTGTGTGCACCTAGCCTGGTACAACAACACGTGTGTGTAGCAGGGACGACCTGGGGGAGGACGACGTCAAGGCGCACACACGTGTCTGTAGCGCACACTTCATACACGGTGAGTGTGTGCACCTAGCCTGGTACCACAACACGTGTGTGCACCTAGCCTGGTACAACAACACGTGTGTGCACCTAGCCTGGCACCACAGGAGGTGTGTGGTGGCGCTGTGGCTCAGCCGCATCCGCAGGGACGACCTGGGGGAGGACGACGTCAAGGCGCACACGCGTGTCTGTAGTGCACACTTCATACACGGTGAGTCAGTGTGTTTGTGTGCACCTAGCCTGGTACCACAACACGTGTGTGTGTGGTGTAGCAGGGACGACCTGGGGGAGGACAACGTCAAGGCGCACACACGTGTCTGCAGTGCACACTTCATACACGGTGAGTCAGTGTGTGCACCTAGCCTGGTACAACAACACGTGTGTGCACCTAGCCTGGCACCACAACACGTGTGTGTAGCAGGGACGACCTGGGGGAGGACGACGTCAAGGCGCACACACGTGTCTGTAGTGCACACTTCATACACGGTGAGTCAGTGTGTGTGTGTACCTAGCCTGGTACAACACGTGTCTGTAGTGCACACTTCATACACGGTGAGTCAGTGTGTGTGTGTACCTAGCCTGGCACCACAACACGTGTGTACCTAGCCTGGCACCACAACACGTGTGTGTGTGTGGTGTAGCAGGGACGACCAGAGGGAGGACGACGTGAAGGCGCACACGCGTGTCTGTAGTGCACACTTCATACACGGTGAGTCAGTGTGTGTGTGGTGTGTGTGTGTGTACCTAGCCTGGTACCACACGTGTGTGTAGTGCACACTTCATACACGGTGTGTGCACCTAGCCTGGTACAACACGTGTGTGTAGCGCACACTTCATACACGGTGAGTCAGTGCGTGTGCACCTAGCCTGGCACCACAGGAGCCGTGCAGTGGTGCTGCGATGAAGACGCACACCCGCGAATGCAGCGCGGTGTGATATACAGTGAGGAGACAAAGGCGGCCGGGCGTACAGTGCTTGTGACGTCGTAGGCTCACGGAGCGGATCAGTGCGAGGTGGTGTGCGTGTACTGTACGGCGTGGCCCGCTTTGTGCACCTAGCCTGGCACACGCGCCGTGGAGAATGGCGACTGCGGAGCAGGGTGGGTGATGGGTGGAGTGTGCGAGTGATTGAGCACGTGTGTGATGTGTATGTGATGTGTGTGTGGTGTGTGATGTGTGTGATGATGTGTGCGTGTGATGATGTGTGCGTGTGGTGTGTGTAGATGTGTGTGATGGTGTGTGTGATGTGTGTAGAACTGTAGATGTTGTATGTGATATGTGTGTGTGTGATGGTGTGTGTGATGTGGTGTGTGATGTGTGTGATGATGTGTGTGTAGATGTTGTGTGATGTGTGTAGATGTGTGTGAAGTTGCGATGGTGTGTGATGTGTGTAGAACTGTAGATGTTGTATGTGATATGTGTGTGTGTGATGGTGTGTGTGATGTGGTGTGTGATGTGTGTGATGATGTGTGTGTAGATGTTGTGTGATGTGTGTAGATGTGTGTGAAGTTGCGATGGTGTGTGTGATGTGTGTAGAACTGTAGATGTTGTATGTGATATGTGTGTGTGATGGTGTGTGTGATGTGGTGTGTGATGATGTGTGTGTAGATGTTGTGATGTGTGATGGTATGTGTGTAGATGTGTGTGAAGTTGTGATGGTGTGTGTGATGTTGTGTGATATGTGTGTGATGTGTATGTGACGTGTGTGTGCGTAGATGTGTGGTGTGTGTGATTGTGTGTGTGTAGATGTTGTGTGTGATGTGTGTAGATGTGTGTGTGTGATGTGTGGTGATGTGTGATGTGTGTGTGATGTGTGTGTAGATGTGTGATGTGTGTGTGATGTGTGTAGATGTGTGATGTGTGTGTGATGTGTGTGTATTTTGTGTGATGTGTGCGTGTGTGTGTATTTTGTGTGATGTGTGTGTGATGTGTGTGTGATGGTGTGTGATGTGTATGTGTTAGTGTGTGTGATGTATGTGTGTGTTAGTGTGTGTGATGTGTGCGTGTTAGTGTGTGTGATGTGGTGTGTGATGTTGTGTGATGTGTGTGTGACGTGTGTGCGTAGATGTGTGTGTATGTTGTGTGATGTGTGTGATGTGTGTGTTAGTGTGTGTGATGTGGTGTGTGAAGTTGTGTGATGTGTGTGTGACGTGTGTGCGTAGATATGTGTGTATGTTGTGTGATGTGTGTGATATGTGTGTTAGTGTGTGTGATGTGGTGTGTGAAGTTGTGTGATGTGTGTGTGACGTGTGTGCGTAGATATGTGTGTATGTTGTGTGATGTGTGTGATGTGTGTGTTAGTGTGTGTGATGTGGTGTGTGAAGTTGTGTGATGTGTGTGTGACGTGTGTGCGTAGATGTGTGTGTATGTTGTGTGATGTGTGTGATGTGTGTGTTAGTGTGTGTGATGTGGTGTGTGAAGTTGTGTGATGTGTGTGTGACGTGTGTGCGTAGATGTGTGTGTATGTTGTGTGATGTGTGTGATGTGTGTGTTAGTGTGTGTGATGTGGTGTGTGAAGTTGTGTGATGTGTGTGTGACGTGTGTGCGTAGATATGTGTGTATGTTGTGTGATGTGTGTGATGTGTGTGTTAGTGTGTGTGATGTGTGTGTGACGTGTGTGCGTAGATATGTGTGTATGTTGTGTGATGTGTGTGATGTGTGTGTTAGTGTGTGTGATGTGGTGTGTGAAGTTGTGTGATGTGTGTGTGACGTGTGTGCGTAGATGTGTGTGTATGTTGTGTGATGTGTGTGATGTGTGTGTTAGTGTGTGTGATGTGGTGTGTGAAGTTGTGTGATGTGTGTGTGACGTGTGTGCGTAGATGTGTGTGTATGTTGTGTGATGTGTGTGATGTGTGTGTTAGTGTGTGTGATGTGGTGTGTGAAGTTGTGTGATGTGTGTGTGACGTGTGTGCGTAGATGTGTGTGTATGTTGTGTGATGTGTGTGATGTGTGTGTTAGTGTGTGTGATGTGGTGTGTGAAGTTGTGTGATGTGTGTGTGACGTGTGTGCGTAGATGTGTGTGTATGTTGTGTGATGTGTGTGATGTGTGTGTTAGTGTGTGTGATGTGGTGTGTGAAGTTGTGTGATGTGTGTGTGACGTGTGTGCGTAGATGTGTGTGTATGTTGTGTGATGTGTGTGATGTGTGTGTTAGTGTGTGTGATGTGGTGTGTGAAGTTGTGTGATGTGTGTGTGACGTGTGTGCGTAGATATGTGTGTATGTTGTGTGATGTGTGTGATGTGTGTGTTAGTGTGTGTGATGTGGTGTGTGAAGTTGTGTGATGTGTGTGTGACGTGTGTGCGTAGATGTGTGTGTATGTTGTGTGATGTGTGTGATGTGTGTGTTAGTGTGTGTGATGTGGTGTGTGAAGTTGTGTGATGTGTGTGTGACGTGTGTGCGTAGATGTGTGTGTATGTTGTGTGATGTGTGTGATGTGTGTGTTAGTGTGTGTGATGTGTTAGTGTGTGTGATGTGTGCGTGTGATGTGTGTGTTAGTGTGTGTGATGTGGTGTGTGAAGTTGTGTGATGTGTGTGTGACGTGTGTGCGTAGATGTGTGTGTATGTTGTGTGATGTGTGTGATGTGTGTGTTAGTGTGTGTGATGTGGTGTGTGAAGTTGTGTGATGTGTGTGTGACGTGTGTGCGTAGATGTGTGTGTATGTTGTGTGATGTGTGTGATGTGTGTGTTAGTGTGTGTGATGTGGTGTGTGAAGTTGTGTGATGTGTGTGTGACGTGTGTGCGTAGATATGTGTGTATGTTGTGTGATGTGTGTGATGTGTGTGTTAGTGTGTGTGATGTGGTGTGTGAAGTTGTGTGATGTGTGTGTGACGTGTGTGCGTAGATGTGTGTGTATGTTGTGTGATGTGTGTGATGTGTGTGTTAGTGTGTGTGATGTGGTGTGTGAAGTTGTGTGATGTGTGTGTGACGTGTGTGCGTAGATGTGTGTGTATGTTGTGTGATGTGTGTGATGTGTGTGTTAGTGTGTGTGATGTGGTGTGTGAAGTTGTGTGACGTGTGTGTGACGTGTGTGCGTAGATATGTGTGTATGTTGTGTGATGTGGTGTGTGATGTGGTGTGTGATGTGGTGTGTGATGTGGTGTGTGATGTGGTGTGTGATGTGGTGTGTGATGTGGTGTGTAAGTTGTGTGTGTGGCCCGCCGTAGGCCGCAACTTCAGCGCGGTCTTTGTGTGCCGGGCTGTGCCGGGTGGCGTCGCGGTCAGCGCGCTGCGAACCCGACTTCCCGCTCACGGCCAACACCAGTGACGGTCATGGCCCTCCCCTAGGTCCACTCAGCATCTAATCGAGTACCGGGGAGACAAAGGCGGCCGTGCGTGGTTGTTGTCCACCCACCCCCTCGTGTGCCACAGTGCGCAGCCTTCATAAGGTGGCTTCTACTCTCTAACAACAGCACATGCCCCCCACAGTCTGCGAAGGCTGTGTGTGTGTGTATAATAGGCGATGTTTGATGGACGTGAGAGTTTAAATTGATTCTTAAATTCTAGATTTGAAGCTTTCGTGACTGCAAGGATTCATATTCTTAGGTTTTTTTCGGTAAAGTCACGTAGGTAAAACATCAAAATTAATAAAAATAAAATAAAGATCTTAATTTTATTTTATTTTTAACTACGTGACTTTACCGAAAAAACCTAAGAATTTGATTCTTAAAGTCGCGTGAGGAGCTCGGGAAGATCTCTGGACACGGTCCCATCGGCGAGATCATTGCTACACTGTATAGGGATGGATCGATCCACGACGAAACCACCGTACTCGATCCACGGATCGAATCGTGTGTTTTTATATATATATTTTAAAATATGCCCATTTAACATTCACGCTTATCGTGTGGCTCGCGTTGAGAGGTTGACGATACGATCGCGGAGGAACGAACGCGTTGAGATTAAAAAAAACTACAAGAAACGTGTTTATATTTAAGGAATCGATTCGTGTTCGGAATCGATTCCGTGGAATCGATACCGTGGAATCGCGCGTAGGCGGCCAATCGCCCTCTGTACAGTCCGCACGAATATCGGAGGCCTCGCGCGGGTAAGTTCCGCGTGTCTTCGTTAAAACTATAAACAAAGTCGCACTTTGTTATAGTTTACGTCGAGATGTCAACGACCTAAGTTTAAGCTGCACGCGCGTGATAAACTCGGCGTGTGTCTCGTGTGTGTGCTGTACGGAACTGGGCATTGCACAAACGAACCCGGGAGTTGTGTTGCAAGGCAAATTGGGCGATGCTGTCGAGCGAAACAAACCAAAAAAACTAAACAAATCAGTCACGTAGCGTGTCATTAATGCAATTTACTATTAGTGTGTGTGGTAGGGGGGTGAGGTGAGGATTGGTGGCGCAGCGGTTAGCGCACTGCGCCATTACGAACCCCTGGTGTGAGATCCGTGCACAAGGCACGGGGAGAGAAGACGAAACGTCGTGGGTTTGTCCACGGCTAGTGTGGTGAAGTATGGTCAAAACAACGAGATAGACCTCAAGGCGTAGGGAGGAGGTATTCGTGTGTCAATGTCATCGCTTAAGAGCTGTACGTTGCCATGGTTGTGGTAGGAAGGCGCTGAAGCTGTGGCACTTTTAAATCGTCTGGATTGAAAACGATGACTTTGAAGCTTTCGTGAGTGCAGCAATGCATACTCTTTGGCTCTTTCGGTGAAGTCACGTAGGTAGAAAAATAATACAAATACAGCAGTGCGCTTGCTGTATTTTGCTGTGCAATCCGCCGGCTGCATTCTTTTCACCTGAAGCCGATTGCTTGTGTTGCGATCGAAACGTCGTGATTTTTTACTATTTTATTGTTTTTCCATCTACGTGACTTTACCGAAAGACGCAAAGAGTATTGAAAACTATGTTTGTTTAGGACTGCTTTTTGGGTTGTCCTTCCCTCCACGCCACACATCCGATTAGCCACGGTTGGCTGTGTACGGTGCGAAAGAAGTTCAACACACCGTACATAAAGTAGTGGGTAGAGCGAGGAAAGTTGGTGGGGTAGCAGTTGCAAGGAGTCTGAGGTGGCTGAGGGAAATTGAGGCACGAGGAGGCACTGGGAGAGTTAAAGTATTTTTATTTTCATTATCACCATCATCAGTTTAACACGCAGGCTTTCGGGAGCATCATCTGGCTGTCCGCCTGATGATGCTAGTTGTAATTGCTGGCGAAACGTCGTACTCCGATTATAAATCTTGTGGCTTTCCTCTCCAGCACACCGGTGTGCTGTACTAGTAACGAATTGACATGTTCTGTTGACTTGACAAACCTTACTAATTGGTTGTGTCTCCGGTGGTGGCAGGTTTAACGACACATTTATAAGTACACGCTCTAACCCCAAAAAAAACCTATATTATGGACCATCATCATTTCGAGTTGCAAATGGATGCTGGGAGAGCATCCCAGAACGATTCCGCACGCGCGATGTCTCACGATGTTGCTTGTTGTTGTTGTTGTTGTCTTCTTGTTTTGTTCCTCGTTGCAGGCAAGCCGTCGACTCTGTTCGACTTCACGCATCCGGACTGGGCTCCTTCCGTGGCGCTGGGCCACGACACTGAGCCGCAGAGTCAATCGCAGCGTGCCGTCTCCCAAACAGTGAGACTACAGTGAGGGAAAAAAGTATTTGATCCCCTGCTGATTTTGTGCGTTTGCCCACTGACAAAGAAATGATCAGTCTATAATTTTAATGGTAGGTTTACTTTAACAGTGAGAGACAGAATAACAACAACAAAAAATCCAGAAAAACGCATGTCAAAAATGTTATAAATTGATTTGCATTTTAATGAGGGAAATAAGTATTTGACCCCCTCTCAATCAGAAAGATTTCTAGCTCCCAGGTGTCTTTTATACAGGTAACTAGCTGAGATTAGGAGCACACTCTTAAAGGGAGTGCTCCTAATTTCAGCTTGTTATCTGTATAAAAGACACCTGTTCACAGAAGCAATCAATCAATCAGATTCCAAACTCTCCACCATGGCCAAGACTAAAGAGCTCTCCAAGGATGTCAGGGACAAGATTGTAGACCTACACAAGGATGGAATGGGCTACAAAACCATCGCCAAGCAGCTTGGTGAGAAGGTGACAACAGTTGGTGCGATTATTCGCAAATGGAAGAAACACAAAAGAACTGCCAATCTCCCTCGGCCTGGGGCTCCATGCAAGATCTCACCTCGTGGAGTTGAAATGATCATAACAACGGTGAGGAATCAGCCCAGAACTACACGGGAGGATCTTGTCAATGATTTCAAGGCAGCTGGGACCATAGTCACCAAGAAAACAGTTGGTAACACACTACGCCCTGAAGGACTGAAATCCTGCAGCGCCTGTAAGGTCCCCCTGCTCAAGAAAGCACATAAACAGTGAGGGAAAAAGTATTTGATCCCCTGCTAATTTTGTATGTTTGCCCACTGACAAAGAAATTATCAGTCTATAATATTAATGGTAGGTTTATTTGAACAGTGAGAGACAGAATAACAACAACAAAATCCAGAAAAACGCATGTCAAAAATGTTATAAATTGATTTGCATTTTAATGAGAGAAATAAGTATTTGACCCCCTCTCAATCAGAAAGATTTCTGGCTCCCAGGTGTTTTTTTTTACAGGTAATGAGCTGATTAGGAGCACACTCTTAAAGCGAGTGCTCCTAATCTCAGCTTGTTACCTGTATAAAAGACACCTGTTCACAGAAGCAATCAATCAATCAGATTCCAAACTCTCCACCATGGCCAAGACCAAAGAGCTCTCCAGGGATGTCAGGGACAAGATTGTAGACCTACACAAGGCTGGAATGGGCTACAAGACCATCGCCAAGCAGCTTGGTCAGAAGGTCGCAAATAGAAGAAACACAAAAGAACTGCCAATCTCTCTCGGCCTGGATCTCACCTCGTGGAGTTGGAATGATCATGAGAACGGTGAGGAATCATCCCAGAACTACACGGGAGGATATTGTCAATGATCTCAAGGCAGCTGGGACCATAGTCACTAAGAAAACAGTTGGTAAGACACTACGCCGTGAAGGACTGAAATCCTGCAGCGCCCGCAAGGTCCCCCTGCTGAAGAAAGCACATATACATGCCCGTCTGAAGTTTGCCAATGAACATCTTAATGATTCAGAGGACAACTGGGTGAAAGTGTTGTGGTCAGATGAGACTAAAATTGAGCTCTTTGGCATCAACTCAACTCGCCGTGTTTGGAGGAGGAGGAATGCTGCCTATGACCCCAAGAACACCATCCCCTCCGTCAAACATGGAGGTGGAAACATTATGCTTTGGGGGTGTTTTTCTGCTAAGGGGACAGGACAACTTCACCGCATCAAAGGGACGATGGACGGGGCCATGTACCGTCAAATCTTGGGTGAGAACCTCCTTCCCTCAGCCAGGCAATTGAAAATGGGTCGTGGATGGGTATTCCAGCATGACAATGACCCAAAACACACGGCCAAGGCAATAAAGGAGTGGCTCAAGAAGAAGCACATTAAGGTCCTGGAGTGGCCTTGCCAGTCTCCAGACCTTAATCCCATAGAAAATCTGTGGAGGGAGCTGAAGGTTCGAGTTGCCAAACGTCAGCCTCGAAACCTTAATGACTTGGAGAAGATCTGCAAAGAGGAGTGGGACAAAATCCCTCCTGAGATGTGTGCAAACCTGGTGGCCAACTACAAGAAACGTCTGACCTCTGTGATTCCAACAAGGGTTTTGCCACCAAGTACTAAGTCATGTTTTGCAGAGGGGTCAAATACTTATTTCCCTCATTAAATTGCAAATCAATTTATAACATTTTTCACATGCATTTTTCTGGATTTTGTTGTTATTCTGTCTCACTGTTCATATAAACCTACCATTAATATTATAGACTGATAATTTCTTTGTCAGTGGGCAAATGTACAAAATCAGCAGGGGATCAAATACTTTTTTCCCTCCCTGTACTTGTTTAGTTATTTTTCAAAGCTTTAAAGTTTCTGGCCACGAGATGGCAATAGAGCAAATGTTATCCTTGAATCCATCTGCGTGGAGTTTTGAATTTTACCCACTCGTATGCTTGGGTTTTTTTCCTTTCCCCCGGGTATGCCATCTCCCAAACAGTGAGGCTACTTGTTTTATTTTTGAAGCTCTGAAGTTGCTGGCCGCGAGATGGCAATACAGCAAATGTTATTATTCAATCCATCTGCGTGGAGCTTTGAGTTTTACTCACTCATATGCTTGGGTTTTTAATTGTTTTCTTCCTTCCCCCGGGTACGCCGTCACCCGAGCAGTGAGACTACTTTCATTTTTTCAAAGCTCTAAAGTTGCTGGTCAGGAGATGGCAATAGAGCAGATGTTATTCTTAAATACATCTGCGTGGGGTTTTGGGTGTTAGCCACTCATATGTGTGGATGCTCTGGTTTCAACACTCCTTGGCTAAATGTCGCTAAGTGGCAGGACCCACCTTAACAGTCTTGAGAGTCAGGTGAGGCTTTTTTGGACAGTGGGCTTTATTTATCCTTCTGTCCCTGACCAAATCACTTGGAATACACGTGGTCTTGTCAGATCTCCGATCCTGAGCAGGATTGAGCCTGGATAGTGCTTGGATGGGCGACCACAATGCACACAAACAGGTCATAGGAAAGTAGAGGGCAGTACAGAACTAAACGATTTACTCTTAAAATTCCATTGTTTTGTACCCCTATGCTATATCAAACTATAAACTATTTTTTTCAGAAGCAACCTGACCAGAAATGATAGCTCAACGAAGTGACTTATATGGACATTTAGAGCAGCTAAATACTTTGAACTCATCTTCTTGGTTCTTTCGGTAAAGTCACGTAGAATGGAAATAATAAAATAATAAAAATAAAACACAATACGTGACTTTACCAAAAGAACCAAGAAGATGAATCCCTGCAGTCACGAAAGCTTTAAATCAAAACTTTTAACTCATGTTGATTCTAAATGTGGAGGGAAAAACCAGACAACCTGGAGAAAAATCCACGCAACCACTGGGAGAAAGAGAGAAACATACAAACTCCAAATATGCAGGCATCAGGGTTGGCATTGAACCCACGACCTCCTGCATACCAGCCGAGGGAGATAACATCTCGCCATACATGTGTGCTCCCTACCTTAGTTCGGACAGTGGTGGTCAGATATCCCTCGTAGCCTGCAAGGTGTGGGGAGGTCCTCATCCAGCAGTGGAGAGACAAAACGGCTCTGTACACATACACATACTTTATAAGGAGAAACACGTGTTGGAGAGCATTACAGAATCCCTTTCATCTTCTTGGTTCTTTCGGTAAAGTCACGTAGAATGGAAATAATAAAATAATAAAAATAAAACATAATAAAATAAGTCTCATGACGTTTCGGCCACAACGGTGTCTTCTCGACAGACCTGTTCTCCACCTGAGGACGGCTGCTTGCGTTGTGGCCGAAACGTCGTGAGAATTATTTTATTAGGTTTTATTTTTATTATTTTATTATTTCCATTCTACGTGACTTTACCGAAAGAACCAAGAAGATGAATCCCTGCAGTCACGAAAGCTTTAAATCGAAATAGAATCCCTTTCATTTGCATGATTTTCCCCCTCCTTGTTCTCTGCTGCTGTGTCCCGGTGAGAAGATGGGGAAGAGCAAGCAGAACGTGAAGTTCTACGGGGAGGGAGCCGCGGGAGGTGGAGGGGGCGCAGGGGGTCTGGTGGAGGAGTACGTGGTGGAGAAGGTGCTTGACCGGCGAGTGGTCAAGGGCAAAGTTGAATACCTGCTCAAGTGGAAGGGCTTCTCACAGTAAGCATACCATCGTAGTTTTTTATTGTGTGACTAGGTTGTGTTGTAGTGGGCATAATAACAGCGTCGTCATCATTTAATATTGATACCTCCCCTCCCACGAACTTCTTTCGCACCGTATGTAGCCATCCGTGCTAATCGGAGGTGTGAGAGTGACCGAGCACTTACAGGTCACTCATGCAAATGAGACTATCTTTGTCCCTTGAGTCTCTGACCTAGTTTATATGACTAAACTTCAACAAACTTGAACCTGCACTGCTCATACCCTGGGTTTGAATTTGTGGAGCACATTCATTTACGAAATTCAGTCGAATGCTGTATTTTTTAAATTTCGTTTTCAAATGGAAATTGAATAATGTTAGATTTTGAGCAATGTGGTCTGTTGTAGTCACCTGACTACCATGGTGGAGGGTGGGAAGGGAAGAGGGCATGATATCAGGAGAGGAATGCTATGATAGCAGCAACATCAACAACACCACCTACCCTGAGCATATAGTGATGGAGACTAAGAGTTGGAGTGAGACAGACATAGTGAGTGACACAGAGGTGGGAGAGGGTGAAAGAAGGAGACTAGAAAATTATAGGATGGCAGAGGGAGTAACAGGGCATGGAAACAACATGAGACAGTGGGACAAGGGGAAATAACGAAACAGAGGGAGATGGAGACGGGGAGAGAGACGGACAAGGATGGAATGCGATGGAAGAGACAAACGGGGAGACGCAGGAAGACATAGTGAAATGAAGAGATATTGAGAGATAGAGACAAAGGGAGATGTAGAGATAGACATTTTATAAGTCATCCTGGCGTTTTTCTCTGACGTTGCGTAGTGCACTCCTCATCGCTGGAGTTCCAAATGGAAATGGCACCGTCTCATGAAAACATGCCACCCATATCACAATTGGAATATTATGGCGCGGGTGGTAATTTTTTTCCCAACATAATAGGGAGTAAAGGATCGATTTGAATAACTGAATGAATGAACGAATGGATCGTTAAGTCCGCTTTAGGACTGAGCTGTATTAAGTGTAATGTGTGCCTTGCTAAATGCAAGCAGTGGCGATAATACGTGGGAACCCGAGGACCACCTGGACTGCCCGGAGCTCATCAACCACTACCTGGATTCGCTGAAGCTCAAGCCGAGAGATGGTGGTGGCTTTGGAGGAGGAGGAGTAGCAGGAGGCAGCGAGGAGCGGGTGGAGGCGTACAAACGCAAGCCGGCGGTGGCCTTCAACGGCTCGGAGGACGGACGAGCCAAGAAGAAGAAGGATGACAAGGTGAGGGCCGGTGATGATCATGTTCGTATGTTGAACTTGTTTCGCATCGTATGTATAGCCAACCTTGCCAATCGGAGGTGCGGGATTAGCCATAAATACTACGCTCCGTCTATTTCTCAGTGGGCGTTAAATATCCCGTGATGTCGTTCAGAAAAGAGTACGCCACGCATGCAAGGCATCACAGTAAAAATTTGCCAGATTAAAAAAAAATAACAGATTCCTTGTCATCACATAATTATTAGCACGTTTGGTGTTCGCGTTCTTATATGCTCAGGGCTGTCACGAAGGTGTTTCACAGCCATAGTCTGCAGTAGTTTCGCAGTAGGGGAGGACTATTACTCCGTGTTCTCCCAACTTGTTAGGGTAAAGCCACAGAGTACGTACGATTATCATGGTTGGCTATGTACGGCGCGAAAGAAGTCCTACATAATACATCGCAACATGGCCACCTACTGGCAGACTATCCTCGTCTGTGAAGATAGCGCCTTCGTGATCGCCTTGCGCCTTGAGAATGTCACGAATACGAAACGTGCAAAAATATTATCACGATCATAATAATTGCGAGTCTCGTTCCTTTTTCTTGTCTTCGCACGCACGTGGCTGCGTGTGTTTCTAAGGCGGATGAGAGGATCCGAGGCTTTGCGGGAGGACTGGAGGCAGAGCGGATAGTGGGAGCCACGGACTGCAGCGGAGAACTCATGTTTCTGATGAAGTGGTGAGAGAGACGACTTTGTAATCTTTGGTTCTTTCGGTAAAGTCACGTAGATAGAAAAATAGCTAATAGATCACGACGTTTCGATGGCAACACAAGCCATCGTCTTCAGGTGAAACAATACAGCAGGCGGACTGCTGAGGCAGGAGGAAATGTAGCGAGAGAGCTACTGAAACCAGAGGTTATATATGTTTGTGGTGGGTACAACCCAAGGGTAAGTGGGCGGGGCTAGGGATGGAATTTGTAAGTAAATGTAAGGCTAGCAAACGTAAGGCTAGTAAACGTCAGCTAATGAAATGTACAGAGGGAACAAGGTGATAGAGAGAAAAAAGATATCAAACTTAGCAAACTTAGAAATGTAATGCAACTCAGAGAGTCGGCCAACACAACAGTTAACACTACACCTGGTTGTTCAACGTCCTTCCAAAGATTGCTCAATTTTGCATCCATCTTCTCGGTTGAAGTAATGTCTGAGTTGTGTGGAAATCCTCCCTGTAGATGTGGTTCAATCTTGATTTGAAGCTTTCGTGACTGCAGGAATTAATACTCTTTGGTACCGAAAGAACCAAAGATGGAATGCGCATTATACATTTGAATTATTAGGTTTAAAATCATCTTAAATTGGCATCTGTCATCTGTGACTATTCCCTGCATACATAGGGAAAGCACGTAATTATTGTTTAAACAGCGGCATGGAAGTATCAAACAAGTAAATCAAAATCTAGCAAAAAAGTTTTAGTGGCATTTCTTTACACTTGTTGCTTTTTTGTTCCTGTTTACAGGAAGGGTTTGGAAGAGACTGATTTGGTGCCGGCAAAAGAAGCTAACGTGAAATGTCCTCAGGTGAGAATACACGTGCGGACGGATGAGTGTGTACAGAATACACGTGCGGACAGACGCATGTGTACAGAATACACTTGCTGACGGACGCCTGTATCCAGGCATGTGGCGTTGTCCTTTCCATGGGCAGTCACTCGTGGTATTTGTAAATTTGCATAGCAGGGGCCAGGCTTCGTCGAGGGGGAACAGTGTAATGTCTATTTGAGCACACGTTTATTTATTCATCATGAGCCACGATCAGTGTTCCTGAATGAAAGCTTATTTTTTATATTATTATTCGTAGTACAATATGAAGCCTTTACCAGTCCATCTGGGTGCCGCAGTGGAGAGATGTTAACTACCTCGCCTGGTATACAGGAGGTCGTCACTTCGATCCCGACCCAGACGCTTGTCAATCTCCACCCAGAGTATTTGGCTGGTATTAATTTCCACGTGGTAAACCACTTAATTTGGGCTACCATTTGTGACCAGTTTGCGTCTGAATTTAAACTATATAGCTCAGTGGGCCTTACCTGGTAAAAAAAAAAAATTTAGTTCATAGTTTTTATCTGGAGGAAACTGGTATTACTGTAGAGCCCTCACAAAGTGGTAATTGTTGTATTGACTGATGAATGGAGACTGATGATGATGGCTTGAGTTGATCTGAAATTAGATTGACTCCAAAACCTGATTGTGAAATGGGTTAGGGTTGCACGGATTGGTCCCCTCGCTTCCCTATTTGGCTGAATACCGGATATATATATTTTGCATTTGTATTTGGCTCAGAAACAGTAAAAAGAATATGGAAGCTGAATTTTAAATTAAATCATAAACAACATTAACCACGAACACATGGCGAGGGAGAGCGATGGAGTGCAGCAAAGTTAGAAAAGACATACAGAGAGACACCCAGGTTACTTTTCGGCTTCAAATTCAGGTTCTCAGTAAACCAGAATAACAGAGGGCAAATTATTGCACCCCTATAAACCGACACTTAACCACAGAATCACCCAGTCTAAACATTTCAAGATATATGACAAAACCCCAAGCAACAGACTAATCATCGCTGATTTTTTTCTTCAGGTGGTGATCAAGTTTTACGAAGAGCGTGTTACATGGCACATGTACCCCGTGGATGAGGAGGACAAGGAAGAGTCGGCTGATGCCGCCGTTTGACGAGAAAAAGCGAAGGGTTTTGGGGAGGTGCGGGACATTGACGCCTGACCGTTTTGGATTTCTCCTTCTTCGGAGATATGCCACGTTACGTTGGGACGAGATCACGAAAGCTTACTCCGGGGTCAGCCATGATGAGTGGGGTGCTGCGGTGGCGAGATGTTAACTACCTTGCCTGGTATGCAGGAGGTCGTGGGTTCGATCCCGACGCCTGCTGCATATTAGGAGTTTGCATGTTCTCCCCATGGTTCTTTGGCTCTTCCGTTTTTTTCCTCCACATTTGGAAACAACATGCATTGTAGAGTATTTGGCTGATATAAATTTCCACTTCGTTGAGCGATCATTTGTAGCCAGGTCACTTCTGAAAAGAGCTATATTGCTCAGTGGGCCTGACTTGGTAAAATATAAAATACTATACGAATGTCAGATTGTTGTGGTAGCTCTGGGCTTCCGCATTTTGGGGCTTTAAAAGAACGGAATGGTCGCCAACCCAGCGTTAATTTACAGATAGTTTTAACTGAATTTAAGTTTTTACTGTAAGTTCCAAAACAAAGTTAGTGATTTTTTTTAAGAAAAAGAAAGTGTTATTTTTTACTGCTTTCCAATCCAGCGTGAAACGTTTATAAGATGCTGGTCTCAAAAGATGCGTTGGATGACATAAGCGATGTCATGGTGTTCCGTGGTTTGCTGACCCCGTTAGTTACTTAATGATTCACTGCGCCCCTCCCCTTTGCCCCCGCTCAGCGATGTGATAAATGATCAGAATTTGTCGTCGTGATTCAATTTAAGAAGGTATTTATTTTCTCGTTTTTACCACCAGTATTTCTTATTTTTTCTATCTTTATTCATTTGGCTCCACTGTTGTAAATGTAGCAACTTGCAATGCCCATAAATTGTGTAGCATTGACTCTTCGCATGGACAATGAGTTGTGCACATCAAAGGAAAAACATTCAATTGGCAAATCGGTGTTGTCACTCACGGAGCTTTGAGACTGTATAAATGAGACAGAAGAAGGAAGCTCATGCAGCACACGTGTCTTCTGTGGTGTTTTGCAATCAGCCTTTGTCCTAAGGTAGTTTTTAATTATCCATTATAGCCCTCTGATCAGTGTACCCTGGTTTTTTTCTGGTACAAGTCCCTGGATGCATCACAACATTTAAATAAAATTTTCATTCATGTTGGATGATTTACATGACAGTGATCCCATATTACAGACGGATGAACAAATGGATATAACTAATAGATTCATGCTTTCAAACAATTTTGGACGATTTTTTCCATGAGTCGGAAAGCGTAAATACGAATAAGTAAAAAAAAAACGTTTACGAAACGGTAAAAAACAAGACCAAAGGGAACTGCTTCTTGAATCGAATTGTGACTGAATAATTTGAACTCATTGAACTTTGCAAGGTGTGGGGGGGGAGGAATGTTCAATTGTTCCATGCCTGTTAGCGTGTTTTTTGTTAAGTTAATTTGTTACGTTAAATCTTGACTTAAAGCTTTCGTGGCTGCAGGAAGTAATATTCTTTGGGTCTTTCGGTAAAGTCGCGTAGATAGGTTCAGATTAATGCAAATAAAATAAACAAAACTACGACGTTTTGATCGCAACACAAGCGGTCGTCATCAGACAGGGAGAAAGACGCAAAGAATTTGTTACGTTTGTTAGGTATTCGTAATTTAGAAACGCAGAGGCTGAGAATTAGCTAATTCACTTTGTTATTTGATGCGACTGTTTTTTTATCATTCCAGAATATGCCCCCTTTGACCACAGTGCGTTTTTGTCTGCTTTTAATTTGCTCGGCAGTTAATCCCTGGAGAGTTTGTATAGATATGTAACGATTCGTAGAATAAAACACGTTTAAAGGTCGATACGTGTGTAAAATCGGAGGCGTTCGAATCGATTTTCTATCCGGTGCATATGTTATAATGTTTGTTTTATTTCATTTAAGATGTAGGCATGAGACAAGCAACGAGATGGTGCACATGACACAATACAAGTGTAACACACACAATCGGCCAGAGAGGGATGAGACTGATGATAATACTGGTTACACCAGCCCACAGGGGATTATTCTGTCCGTCCGTCGTGTATCCAAAAATGGGAGGGGTGGGGCTGGGTGGAGAGGGGCTGGGTGGAAGGGGCTGGGTGGGGAGGGTGGGGGGTGGGGCTGGGTGGGGAGGGGCTGGTCACCCCGTGATGCCCTTATAATACTCAACGTTTAACCTACTCACGTCGGCTTGTGCCCGCCCTCACAGTCGGGCATATTTGTGGAATACACTACGCCGTCGTTGACCCTGGCCATTGACCGAGCAACCCAACGTTCCTACCAGCTCCCTCCGCAGGGATGTGTTATACACGATACAGAGTGGAGTGGTGGCGCAGTGGTTAACGCACTGCGCTGTGGATGTTGGCCCCTTCCAGTCAATTCCGATCCATGGCGAGTGATGGTTCTCTCCACCAATCCACACCATGTTGGCCATGGACAGGGGTTGGGCAAACAATAATAACAAGAGCCACTAATTTTAGATTTGAAGTTGTCGTGACTACAAGGATCCGTACTCTTTGGTTTTTTCGGTAAAGTCACTTAGGTAAAAAATGTAAATAAATTAAATTAAATCACGCCGTTTCAGAAGCAACACAAGCAACCGTCATCAGGTGTTGACTGTTCCAGAAAATATCAGATGATGATTGCTTGTGTTGCAGTCGAAACGTGAGAATTTTTATTGTTTTATATTTATATTATTTAATTATTTCCCTTCTACGTGACTTTACCGAAAGAACCAAGAATATGAATCCCTGCAGTCACGAAAGCTTTAAATCAAAATTTCATAAAACTAATTTCATTATCAAAATATCTCAAAGTTCTGAACATATACGTGCGGGTAGGACCTCATCCAGCGGTGAATAGACCTGCCACGTGGATCGATATTCATCCACTTGGGGGGGGGGGGGGGCCTTCACTCAGCAGTGTACAGACGTAAGCATGTGGGTGAGGGGGGGGGGCATTCACATTCATCCATTCACATTCATCCATTCACATTCATCCAGACAAGGTGTGTAGTGCAGAACCTTTCATCCAGCAGTGGATTTGCATATGAAATGCAAACCTATACATACTCGAGAGCGTTATGGCGAGGGACGCAGTACGTAAAACTGGATTGGGTATCAATAGGTTGAGTAGGTTTTTGCTCAGGCCTCGGCAACCTGCGCCTATAGAAACCGCGTGGGGCTGTTTAAGGACTGCTGCTGCTTTGTGACGATATTCATTGGGGGATCACGAACGGTGCATTGCGGTTCTTGAAATATCGAAGGTTTGTTTCGACCGAATTCGAAAGTAACAACGGATCTTGTTATATTGGGCGTCGACCCCTGGCTTAGCGAAATTACGTAAAGCAGGTGGGCGTAAATCGAGGTGTTACTATGAAACATCTATACTTAGGGCGGTTATCTGCCACGGCTAACCTCGGTTGCAAGTGATACCTCGACTTGGCTGTTCCCCCTGCACCAACCCACACTGACCGACGGAATCAAACAACACTCAGGAACTGCCATTGGGCTATTTTCTTAACCCACGTGTGTATGTTGAACTTCTTTTACACCGTACGTAACCCACGTGTGTTTTACTTATTTTACACCGTATGCAACCCACGTGTATATGTTGAACTTCTTTTACACCGTACGTTAAGTTTGACCATACTTCACCACACTGGGGCAGTGCAGGTTGGCTTAAAGCGAACCCGACTTAAATAACGTGTGTTCGTTAAACTCGGTTGACCTGAAGTTCCAACGCTTGAATCTGATAAATATAATGGAGGGAAATACCTGTTCTATTTTGAACCAGGTAACTTTGTGTGAACAGTACGTCTAGTTTGTTTAAGGTGTCGCCTTAGGCAGCCTGATGCGTGTGGGTTGCAAAGACAAAGATCGCCCGTATAGCCTGTAACAGACTGTTGGGGCAAGTGCTGTTGAGTGAGCAGCACCCTATGAAGAGGCCGGCACGGCACACGAGGATTGTTGACTGGCCAGCACCACGCCCGGCCGCCTTTGTCTCCCCGAGTCGCGATGTTTACACACCGCACCAGGTTGTCACTTTGAGGCTGAGTCGACCTAGGGGAGGCCCAGGACCGGCGCACATAATCGTCACTGGGCGTTTGCCGTGAGCACATTCACATTCATCCAGACAAGGTGTGTGATGGAGAAGCTTAACATCCAGCAGTGGATTTGCATAAGAGTCGTAAATACACAAACACATACACAATCTCTACAGCAACGTAAAGAATGTGGAGGGGGGGGGAGAGGGGGGAGGGGGTTCAATTCCTTTGACGACGCGAAAGGAATCTCTCCCACCCATCCCACACTTGGGGAGCGGTGGCGCAGCGGTTAGCGCGCTGCGCTACAAACCCGGCTCACGGCCACCCAACACCACCAGTGACGATTATCTGAACCGGTCCTGGGCCTCCCCCCTAGGTCGACTCGGCCTTAAAAGTTTCACCCGGTGCGATATGCAAGCGTCGCCGCTGGGGAGACAAAGGCGGCCGGGCGTGGTGTTGGCCACCCCACCCGGTCGTGTGCCGTTCCCGGCCTTCGTAAGTGCTACTCGCCAATAGCACTTGCCCCAAGTCTGTTAAGACTACACGGGGGAGCTTTGCCTTTGGTACACGTGGTGGTGGTGGTGGGGCGGGGAGCGGTGGCGCAGTGGTTAGCGCACCAATCATCACCCGGGGTAACTTCCGCCTTCGAAGGCGGCCCCTCGCAGCTCAACAGCGACTTGCCCCCAGCGTTCTGCGAAGGCTACCCGGGGGAGCTTTACCTTTGGTTGGCAGCGGAGAGCTTTGGGTGGGCCGCGTGACATCACCCCCCCCCCCCCGGGTATTTATGGAGTCTCCACCCCCCCCTGACATTTCCACCACCACCATCATCATCACCACCACCACCAAGGCTCTCTGCCGGGGAGGGAGTCCGGTGGCACTTTTATTTAAATTCGCAGTTTCCTAGAACTCCGTGGTACACTCACCGCTGTCGTCTCCTGCTGTAGCACACACGGACACACACACAGATACACACGGACACGTGGGGACACAGACACACGGACACACAGACACGGACACACACACAGACACGGCCACACAAAGACACGGCTACACACACATAGACACGTGGACACAAAGATACACGGACACACACAGACACGTGGACACACAGACACGGATACACACAGACACGGATACACACAGACATACACACACACACGGCCACACGGACACACACACAGACACACGTGTGTCTGTGTGTGTGGCTGGTGTCCAACCCTTGTGTAGATTAGAGATTAGAGCGTAGGGTTGGCAATTTGCGTTTGGGTTATCTTTGATTATTAGAATTCGATAAAGACGGCGAAGACGCCTTTGGGAGCGCCGATCTACCAAGTTGGTTAACCACCACTGCCACGAACCACGCGACTTTTACACAGAGGTAAGTTTAGAGTTCAGGATAAGTTGTTTTTACCAAGTTCTGTGTTGTTTAGTGGCTACACTGTTACACCACTGTGTTACGAGTGAATTAAGTGTTGCGTTTGTATGGCGGTAAAGTATTTACAATAAAATAGATAACATTAGAGATACATTGGGCCCTTTGGCCGGTTATATCAACGATGTTGAATGATTCTGACAAACCCAAATCGTCCATCAATATGATCACCGTTACATTGCTTTTATGGCTTTATTTTGGTGATTTCGAAAAGTTTTTTTGGTTTGGCAATGTTTGTTTGTAGTACGGAGTTAGACTGATGGCTTTAATCTAAGTTGTCTTGTGGATTTTGTTGTTGTTTGACTTGCATCCCACTGGGATTTTTGCACACAGCGTTGGTGTACGGTGCTTTTCTGCAATATTTAGCAGTTTTTTCCTGGATTTTTCTGTTTGCAAACGTTAAAAAGTCACTTTAAGATGTTTTCTGGTTCATGTTTTTTGTTTGTTGCGGTTGCACCCGATTCAAGAGCCGAATAGCTCACAGAGCTATATACCAAATAAATGAAACTAAACTTCATCATCATCATCACGGGCAGATGGCCCCCACTGCTTTCAGAATCACGTCAACAAATAGTTTCCACTTCTCGTGTCGTGCCCAATGTGCTCGAGTTTAGTGCCCACATCTCTCTGGCGATGTTGTCCTGAGGTCTTACTTCCATTGATCCGAACAACAACAACCACAACAACTTTAAATGTTCCTGTTGTATTCCGTCCTACGTGTGTGCCCAGTTTCCTTCTCAGATCTGCTATTAAACCAGTATATATGTCAGAAATGGTAAAGCTTGTATAATATATTAAGATAATTCAATACATTTGTAATGACCCAAAGGTGATGTTCCAAGTGGCTTTACCGAAAGAACCAAAGAGTATATGGATTCTTGCAGTCACGAAAGCTTCAAATCAAGATTGTATTGTCCCTGTTTTGGTCTGACTTAATTCATGGTAGAGAGTGCCACGTTACATTTGTTACACTACAGATGTAACTTAATACACACTCTGGCAGCCTTCGCCAACTCGCACTGACCAGCGTGGTGAAGTATGGTCAAATAAGCCAGAGCACGTGGCATTGAAAAGCCCTTTCTGACTGACACTGGTTATAACGTGTAGAGTTTCAGTGTTATAATTATTATAAACGTTTCAGCGGTGTAGTTGTATCACTTTAGTTAATGAGGTTACATTGGCAGTCGTGTTATCAAGAAGTTCCATTTTTATAAATATTTAAAGTCGCATTAGTGTCGTTTAGAGTAAGTATTGTTTAGAAAGTCGTAGTTTTGGTCTTTATCTGAAGTAGCCCAGAGTGCATGGTCTTGCTATTAAGTTGAGTTTGTAATAGATATTTGTGTTGTTTAATCCATTGGTGGAGTAACAAAGGGTTGTGCCTGAAACGTCGTGATTTAATTTAGTTGTTTTCATTTATTTTATGTTTTACCTACGTGACTTTACCGAAAAAACCAAAGAGTTTGCGTTCTAAGTGTCCGTTCTAAAGGCATTGTGTGGTACTGCAGTACCAATATAAACTAATGTGGCATTATTATTGGATTATAAGAAAGTTTGTTCTGTTAAATGGTTTGCCTAGGAGCTGTGTAGTTTGATTTAAATCTTCGGAATGAGTTGAAAGAAAAGAAAGTTCCCGCTAATTTTCGCACAATGGAATGGGAAACAATAGATTGAATCTTCAAAAGGACTTTGGGATATTCATTGTCGATTAATCTTTGCTTGTCTTGGGAAATCCACTGCTGGATGAGGCTTTTGTTGCTTATATAAAGTACATTTGGCTGGGTGTCTGCTTTTACATGAGTCAAGGCTGTTTTACGACACATTTGTTGCGTATAATAGCGAAACATGGTGCAACATTTGTTAACAATTAATGGACTGTTACACAAGGGAAGTTGTAATTTGGTGTTTCTTTTACAATTTAAAAAAAGGTTGTTAAAGGCACGTGTGTACGTTGTACTGTGCAATTCGTATGAAATATTGTAAGACATAAAATATGCAGTCTTTGAAAGTAATGTTTTTTTTTAAATCTCAAGAACCGTGATTTGACTACGTTAAAATACTCGTGTTCAATATTTAATATCGTGTTTAAAAGTCAATTCGCTCGGTCCTGTACACATTATTTCCAGTGTATTTTTAATGTAGGCGAATATTTAGCGAGTCTAAATTGAACACATAACTAGTGGATATTTCCTCTAGGTATAATTTGGAATGATAGGGTATAGTTCAAAATCGTTTAAGCATTTTTACAACATTTTCGCTCAAGCAGCGTGGATGATTGTTCACATCTAAATGTCCCCCACCAAATCTCGCGAGACTACTGTCCAACGCACCATACAGCGGCATCGCAAATCTCGCGATAGTTTGTAAGAGGTGGGTGGAAGAGACTAAAGATTATTTTAATTTACAAATATTTTTAAAATATTTAAAATTATCTCGATAATGGTCATTTTGTAGTTTCTTAAGGCCCGTCCTTAAATAACGTAATTTTTTTTTTAAACGCGTTAGAAGTGGTGGGGGGGGGGGGGATATTCGCAATCCGAGGCCTGCCGCTGTGGGTAGGCGCCCCGTGTTTCCACATTAACATCGTTTAATTTAAACATACTTGTTAATTGTAATACGCGTGTGATTACTGTGTTGTAAAACTACCCACCTACATTTGTATTGTAATCTTTAGCCTTCAAATGCGAGTTGTGATTGCTTTGTTGATGTCGTCAATGCCTCGCTGCTGTTGTGTTCTTTGTGTCCTGAGGTTCCCGTCCGTTTCTTAAAATAACAAAATAAATATTAAATCACTATTAAATCACTATTACATTACTATTACATCCTGGTGATGTCCTATCGAGGTTATCGGATACGTGAATTATCTTTCGACCGAGTTCATTGATAAGCGACGATGTCCCTTTAATTAAACAAGTCGTGGTCACATTGAGAATAAATGTTTTTTCAATTTAACAAAATATAAGATTATAGTAATACAGCTGACAAGTGTAGATGATAATTTACCCCCCCCCCCCACTTTATTTAATAAAGAATGCAGTTATAACGATATGGCATTGCACGTTTTCGATTGTCCCATTAATATCGACCACCAGATGTTCATTATTTAAACCCATTGTTATCACAAGATACTCATTATTTAAACCCATTGCTATCACAGATACTCATTATTTAAACTCATTGCTATCACAGATACTCATTATTTAAACCCATTGCTATCACAGATACTCATTATTTAAACCCATTGCTATCACCAGATGTTCATTATTTAAACCCATTGCTATCACCAGATGTTCATTATTTAAACCCATTGCTATCACCAGATGTTCATTATTTAAACCCATTGCTATCACCAGATGTTCATTATTTAAACCCATTGCTATCACCAGATGTTCATTATTTAAACCCATTGCTATCACCAGATGTTCATTATTTAAACCCATTGCTATCACCAGATGTTCATTATTTAAACCTATTGCTATCACCAGATCTCCTTTAACCAAAATAAGCCCTCGTTTGTAAAATGGCCTCAAAGATTCCCACGTGCACGTTCTGTTACTGTCCGTCGCATGCGGTATTCCCTTTATTAAAACCCAAGTTAAATTGCGGGGGGGGTGGGGGTGATCGTGTAATTGTTTTATTTACATATTGTTTGGGAAGGTGTTATTTAATCAATGTGCCATTTGATTGTTTGACCATCTCAGAGTCGCGTTAAGTTAAGGGGGCTCCATGGGTGGCCAGAATCTCGCCTGGTATGCAGGAGGTCGTCGTTTCGAGCCCGACCCTGACACACGATGCCTGTTGTATTTTCGGGCCCCCGGTTTTTCTCTCCGCATTTTAGAATAAACGTGCGATCATAGAGTATTTCTGGGTGCTATGCCATCGTACACATGATGACAATTATCACCCGCCAGTTTGCTTCTGAAAAATCGCTAAATAGGTTGGTGGGTTTTGTCTGGTGAAATGAAAAAAATTTGTTTAGTTTAACATTTACAGGACCATACTATGCAGTTTTTAAAAATGTAATTCATGTCCCTTTAATGTTTGTCAACGCTTGTTGATATTGTTTCCCTTGGTGTATTTTAACCAGATACACGTGAGTTTATATCTACCTCTCTATATTTATATTGTGATTTGAAGCTTTCGTGACTGCAGGAATCCATACTCTTTGGTTCTTTCGGTAAAGTCATGTAGGTATAAAATAAATCGCACATTTTATTTTGTACACCTACGTGACTTTACCGAAAGAACCAAATAAAATAAAACGTGTGCTTTATTTTATTTTGGAACCAAAGAGTATTTCTATTGTGTTTTTTTATGTAGTTCAACATGGTCACGTATATTATAGCTTCACCATTTATCTTAAGCGTGTGTTGCGAGTGCGTTGATTTTGAATGATACTGAAGCATACGTTGGCCTGTTTGCCACGAGAGAGTGTGGCAATATCTCCGGTATCATTTCACCAGCTGAAATGCCATTCAGATTATCATTGATCAGGTTTTAATCGCGTGAAAGCTCACTGGGAATATTTACCTCCAATTGGTCTTGTTTTAATGTCATTGAAGACGGCTGTTTCCATCATGTGATTGGGGAAAACTGTTATCTTCATAATGTTTGGGGATATATACAGATAATACAATAGATAATACATTACCAATCGTAATTTAATGGACAGACGTTTAACAATAGGCTTGTTCCAGAATGTAATATCTGGTGCCTGTTTTACACCGACACAAAATTAAATATTGTCTAAGGCGTTAATATTTGGGCATGATGGGTAGTGAATGAATTACTGAGTCGTGTAATGCAGCATCAGGTGAGTCGTGAAGGTTTCTTAAAACGATACTTAAATTGTACACGCCACGGTGGCGAGATGTTAACTCCCTCCCGTGGTATGCAGGAGGACGTGGGTTTGATCTCAAACCTGATGATGATGCGTGTATATTAGTAGTTTGCATGTTCTTGCCGTGGATTTTTATCCGTGTCAATCCGGTTTCTCCTTCCACTTTTCTAAACCCTGCGTTTAGAGTGATTTGGCGGCTATAAATTTCGACGTGCTAAGCCACCACTTTGAGCTATCGTTTGTGGCCAGGTCGCTTCTGAAAACGAGCTACATAGCTTGGTGGGCCTTACCTGGTAAAATATAAAATATATAGGTTAGCTTAGTACATGTTGAAGCAAGACACGGGAATCACCGACGCCACAAGGTTAATCTCTTTTCTAGAATGTTGATCTTTAATTCGGATAAGTTTCCACTGAATATGCACATTTTAATTAAATCCATTAAATGGTAGGCTGAATTCACGTACTGTAGTTTACACTTCAGTGGCACATTTTAGTTAATTCAATTGTTAATTTGGCTCACAATCATTGGTTTATCAAAGCGTATTTTTATTATGTGGAGCGTTGAAAGTCGAAACGTTTACTTTTCCCACCAGTGGTGAGTGAAGGCCCCTTGGAGAATCCACACTTTGCCCTTCCACATTCCATGCCATGTGGCTCACCCCTGTGCAACCTTTAAACTATTAGTCAGAGAAAAGCCACAACCAAAGCTTCACTGTTTACCCGATTTCATGGTAAATCTCATGCTATGAAAAAAAGATCTTGGAACTGTGATGAAAAAATGTATGGTTGCTGAATTGTGTCGTGGTTTTATTCCACCATTAAAATAAAGAACTTAAGTGCACTGCACTGCTTTATTTTGTACGAGTAAAACTCTTTAATGGCCCATTATTTAATGCCTAAAATACATCTTTAAACTGCCTGGCAAGACCGTTTACAATGAAACTACATGAAGTTGTGTTTTCCTTTTTGTTTTATGTCACCCCAAGTGTGTGTCAAGAAAAATAGCCCCGAGCAAAGCTTATAATCTTACCGCAATTCGTTGGAGGCATAAAATGTAGTTTCACCGCTCTTTTTAATAATTGCCAAATAAACTGAGGAATAAATTTGACTTCATCTGTGCTTTTTTCCAAAACAAAAAAAACTTCGAGGCAGTCAAAGACCAACTACGCTTATCCAAATATTTTCATCCTCCCCCTCGTTGCTTATCAGTGTCAAGAGTGGTCCAGTGAGATAGTTCTGCTTTCCAAGGGCCAAGTCACGAGTCTCTGCGTGAGTCAAGTCGGCTAAAGGTCGTGAGTGTGTAGTTCTCAGAATCGTTAAACAAATGTAGGTATTTCCAAGTACACGATGGATTGTCACCAACTGGAATGTGAAATTGCGTGCCGCTTTATTGATCCTGACAATGTTATTGCCGTGTTGTTTCTGCCCACAGGGCGTTTTTTGTTACTTCAAACGAAGAAGCGCAATGGAAGAAAGCAGCGCAGAGACCGTCAGGAACTTCCCTGCTCTGTGCAGAATGCAGCAGGTAAGAGTATCGGGGTACATCTTCTTGGTTCTTTCGGTAAAGTCACGTAGAAGGGCTCTTCCACCTCCAACCCAGCTTAAATATACACTGCCAAGCCTGGTGGTGTTCATTCAGACGCTCTCTTTCCGACAGACCTGTTCTTCTGTTTTATTTTTATTAGTTTATTATTTCCCTTCTACGTGACTTTACCGAAAGAACCAAGAAGACGCTGTCTTTCCGACAGACCCAGATGCTGTCTTTCCGACAGACCTGTTCTTCACCCGAGGACGGCTGCTTGCGTTGTGGCCGAAACGTCGTGAGAATTATTTTATTGGTTTATTTTTATTATTTTATTATTACCCTTCTACGTGACTTTACCGACAGAATCAAGAAGATGAGTCCCTGCAGTCACGAAAGCGTTAAATCGAAAAGTATCGGGGTAGTCGAATCTAGACTTTCCCACCTTCACCGACCCACATTGACTAGCGATGGTGAAGTAGAGTCGTATAACCCCACCGCATGACCTGCATGGGAAGTGTCATTTCTCTTTCGAGTTAATTGACAACAGCAGGGCGATGATGCGGAATGTCAGCGTGGCATTTTCTGTAAGGGCCATGTGTCTTGAGCGAGAACCATCTTGATAAGTTAATACATTTCACCGGTTGCTGTAGGTTGACTGGCCTCTTGCGTGCGAGTGTGTGCGTGTGTTGGTCCGTGGTGCGTCATTATATGCCCCGGCATGTCATGGTTAGGTCGGAATAAGAGGGTGTTTGGATGGATGCATGATTTAATTTCGTTTCTCCAAGCTCACGAAACATGTATTGAATGTCATTGTGTAAGAATAGTTCATGCATGTTTTGTAAGGGTTTCTCACTTGACTCCTTAAGGCCTCTACAGGGTGGTCCAGGTGTTTTGTGACCCCCCCCCCTCCAGTTAATTGACCCCTAACATGGTTTTTCGTTGTATATTCATTCCTGTTTTAAATAAAGCTTGCTTTAAAAAATATCTAAATGTTTAGAGGATTTAAATGGGAGTCACGATACATCTGGACCACCCTGTACATTCACTGCAGTGTTAAAACATAATTGATAATCGTTTCTTGTGTTCAATTGCGACCCAGTCCAATAAATACGCCCATGAACGGCACACGATGCCACAGTCGCAGTCACCAGGGTTTGATTCCCAGCCATGTATCTGAATCTATTCTGGGTCTACACTTGCTCTACTAATTTTCAGTGAATGGCCACTTTTGCCGATAATGCATCGGTGCGAGGGGCTGCCAAACCGCCTGCAAAAGGGGCGTTTTAACATTCGAGGGCCGCACTAAAGGCCACCAGGGGCTGCCTGTGTCCCGTAGGCCTTGCAATGAAGAATACTCCTCTGCTCGTCCTTTAAATGCAATGTGTAGACCCAAACATATTGGTAGGCAAAAGCAACTGGGTTTTGGGACTGGTCACACCATCTTCTTTGAGTGCCATTTCGGGCTTAATAGTTGCTGGATAACAGCGCTTGCCGTATGTCTGTATGTAGTGTGTGAACTTATTTCGCTCCGTACGTAGCCAACCGTGCTAATCGGAGCGCGTTTGGCTACGTAAGGCTCCTACTATATATTTTTAATTTACCAGCCGAGGGCCCCCACTGAGCTGCTGTATAGCTCTTTTTCAGAAACGACCTGGCCACGAGTGATAGCTCAACGAAGTGGCTTGTCGCGTGGAAATTTCTAGCAGCCAAATTTCTCTTAAACGCTTGATGTTGATTCTCTAAATGGGGGGCGGAGAGGCGGGCGGGTGGGGGGGGGTCGATCTTTGCGTGTGGTTTTTTTGGGCCACACACCAGCTCTTGGCGTGTGTTGACCTTTTTTTTTATAACAGGTGCCCGCTAACGACACTTGCCCTGCAGGCTATTAGGCTCAACAGGGGGTTGGCGGGAGTCGTGGTTGCAGCTCTTCTTTGTGGCCAAGCATTTTGTTGTGTTTCCCCGTTTAAAGGCTCAAATTGGTTTGGCATCACAAATAAAAGAATGGCCAAAAAATACAAAACCACAGTGGTGGCGTGTAGCACATGCAAAGTTGGCTCATTTGCAGTTTTAATATTGTATGCGTGGTGGTGGGGATGGGAGATGCAGGGCTTCTGCGCATGTGGTAATTGGGTAGTTGGGCTCATTTGTAAAGGTGCCACGTGCATTTGTTTATTACGGCTCGGCTGTTTTTATGTTTAGTGCGTTGCGTGCATTTTCATTGTGGCCTTTAAAAAAAGAAACTTGTGTTTTTAAAGAATTGATGTCGTTTTAATGGCGAGTTGAGTGGGGCTCATGCCGAGTTGGCTTGCATCTCACGCGGTCAGCCCTGTTAAGTCTGGGTCAGGCAGTTGGCGACCAACCATTGGTTTTGAAGTGGGCATTAAAGACCCTGTATTGATGTTTACGAGAGTAGGAGATATCTTGTCTGTGTTTTTTGTATTTTAATTGTCGGCACGGACGTTGTCTGTGACACGAAAAAACGACTACAGAGCTATATCATGGGACCTTTTTGCCAGAATCAAAGTATGAATAAATAAGAATAGGTTCAGGCAATACAATAGGTGTAAAGATGGTCAAACACCAAATAGAAACCTTTTGCAAGGAACCAAGCCGGAATTAACCACACATACTAACGAACATGTTCTGTTAATATATGCTTTGTCTTTGAAACTGATTGGTGTCGGCAAAGTACACGTGGTTCATGCAGACTTGATTGCTTGCAAAAGGTAACTATTTGGTGTTTAACATTTTTTAACACCCGTTGTCTTGGCAGAGAAAGGGTTAAACTTATCCTTATTTTTTCATTATTATAGAGCTCTTTGTATGCGGTACAACTCTATGCGTTCCACACATAACACTCCATAAAAAATGTAAATGTCCTTTCAAACAACCCTTTGTTAACGTGCTGTTGGGTGAAGGCCCTCTTCCCATGCTGCGTCGATTGTGGGGGTTGTTTTTTTCTGCTTGGTGAGGATTAGTGAAATATATTTACACTAATTGATTTTCGGCCGAGAATGGCACGTCATACACAGTCTACCACACGGAGAATAAGTTAAAATCAATGTGTACTGAACTTGTTATGATGTTTGTTCCTTGGGGGTGAATAATCCGTCATCGGTGCAAGTAACACGCATTCGACAAAATGTATTTTTTTTAAAGAAAAAGCTGTTACGAGAGATCAACTTGACTTGCTTTCGTCATTTCTAAAGCTGAACTTCCTGTGTTTGTGGTACAAACCACAGTAATGTAACAGGAGGCTGCATGCCGCGTGTATGAGCTCTGTGCCCCACACTGTATACAAATAATAGATAAGGAATGTGGTATTTTTCCTACTCTGGACAGGCGGGGGGGGGACAGCATTCGTGATTTAATCTCGAAAACTCGTGCTGTGACATTTTTACTATCATATGTGACTTACAGTAAGGGTCCATGTGCTTTGGGCTTTAATATGCCAGTCTGCAAAGCTGTGACCCAATTGGACAATGTTTAATGCCTTGTGTATGCACACTTCACGGTTTGTGCTCCCTCTAGTTAAAGAAAGGCTGAATTTGTTTGTGATGCTGCGTTGGCAGTGGGTGGCCGCATGAGGACAAACAAAACACTTTATACATTCGTCAATAACGCTGTCATTGAATATTTAATAATGATTTAAACTTGTACCGTGCACAGTTTTTGCTCGCTCTTCGACAGAGAATTCATAATAGAGTTTTTTTAGTTAGATTGCGTGATTGTAAATGTGTCTCTAAACCCGCCACCACCAACCGGCATGGCCAATTAGTAAGGTTTGTCAAGTCAACGAAACGTGCCAATTCGTTACTAGTTCAGCACACCGGTGTGCTGGAGAGTTAAACCCACAACATTTACAATTCGAGTACGACGTTTCGCTGGTGAATCCAACCAGCTTCATCAGGCGATTCGCTCGAATTGTGAGAAGTCCTTCTTCAGAGGCGCGTCGAACCACAGGCAAGCGGGGGACTGCAGCTGCCAGATGGTGAGCCGGTGTCAAATTTCCGCCCAAGCTTTGCCGTCCTCTATATTTAAGGTGCTCATCATCGTCATCACGATTCGTGGGCAGATAGCCCGCGGGTGTCCAAGACACATTTCGTCATTTGTATCCACTTTCCTCTGTCTTGTACCACCAATGTGCTTGAGTCATGGGCCCGTCTCTCTGGCACCATTCTGTGACATGGGTGATAACAAGTAAACCCGTAAAAACAAAGTTTTTCACTATAAATCCTTTATATGCGTGGCGGCTAGAGTCCTCTCGTCCTCTGGCTTGAGATGGCTGCCACCTATGGGTCAGATGATTGCCTGCCAGTATTAAGCAATTGGTAATTAAATATTTAATTTGTTTTCCCTAAACAGTGTAAAATTTTGGAAAAAAAATTTCACGAACATTAATTGTCTCGCACAACGAGTCTGTGTGCAAAATGTCAGCTCGATTGGATCACGGGAAGTGGGTTAAAAAACGACCAAAAGATTTGCACGGTCGTAAGCAAGCAAGCAAGCGAACTTAATATAAAGGATTTAAAAACCCGATTTTTCCAGCGGCAGGCATCGGGTTTTTTCTTTAATACAATTAAACCCGATTTTGGGGAATTAAAACCTGGTTTAATTAATACAAACTCTGATTCAAGGCTTAGGCTGCTTCCTCGTCGGTGCTGCTATCGTACTCGGGGGGGCCGTCGGGCACGGTGTAGTCGTAGAATGCGGCGGGCAGGTTGGTCTTGATGAACACGAGCTTCTCCTCCACAATCGTGGGCGCCAGTGAGTTCTTCCGCTTGGAATGGATGAAGCCCATCGCTGAGAAGTTGGCGAAGTGCGGTTCTGCAATTAGAACCAATTAAAGCGGATTTCTCCCAATCTCAGACGATCGGGTTTAATATAAAAAAGACAATTAAACCCGATTGTAAAAAAAAACGACTGTGCCACCCTTGTTCTGTGATGTCGTCGTCTCGCCATTCTCTCTGTGAGGTCCTCCTCTGTTTCCGGTTCCTTCCATTGTTCTTACTTTTACGTTGGTCACTCCTTATGAGTAAGGTGTTATTGGCCAATTATTTTTGTTACGTGTCTAAGGTATCCAGAGCACATGGAGAAACCCACGTGTGTGTGTATGTGGGGAGCAGTAGTGTAGTGGTTAGCGCGCTGCGCTACGAACCCGGCGGCCCGAGTTCGATTCCCGGCTCACGGCCACCCAACATTGCCAGTGACGATTATCTGAACCGGTCCTGGCCTCCCCCTAGTTCGACTCGGCCTCAAAAGTTTAACCCGGTGCGGTGTGTAAACGTCGCCACTGGGGAGACAAAGGCGGCCGGGCGTGGTGCTGGCCACCCACCCGGTCGTGTGCTGTTCCCGGCCTTCGTAGGTGCTGCTCGCCAACAGCACTTGCCCCAACAGTCTGTTAAGGCTACGCGGGGGATCTTTGTCTTTGTGTATGTATAATAGGCGATGTTTTGATCGATGGAAATGTGGCACACGAAGGACCATTGCCCCAAAACGTCGCCTATCCAATGTTGCGTTTTCCCCACAGGGTTATTTGTGAATGCGAGTGTTTTTTTTTAACATACGCCATCGTGTCAATACACAGGCGTAACTCTCAAACGCAATTCTGGGCTGATGTGTACACGCAGTCCGGTGATCTTATTCTGAATTTGTCGCTAACGTGAGTTAACATGCGAGCATTTCTTTTTACAAAGGCAGACATTTCTTTTTACAAACTAACGCTTTCCCCAATTGCGTCTCGTCTGGTTTTCAAAAAGTCGCCAAGCACAATAACCTGGAAGGAAGAAGTGTGCAATACTGTGCGTGGGGGAAAGTCCCGAATGTGTTTCTCCAAGTGGGGGAAAAACGCGCTCCGAATTGGCAGCTGTTTCATACCACCCACCAATGTTAAGATATCTCGGCACGTGACGAAACGAGTTTTTTTTCATACATACACTAGGGTGAGCGTCTATTCTTTCTGCTCGGGCACCCAAGGGGGGGGTGGTGACCGACGAATCTGGAATTCCCCTGTTTGATTCGGCTTGCAGTCTTACTGAAATGTGTAAAACCCCTCGCTCCGTGCTGGTCTAGTCGGCTTGTATAGCTCTTGCGCGAGCACAGAGCAACGATTGCCTCCCGTTGTCTTGAGTGCGGATTTGCCGTCTGGTTCTATACGTGTTTTTTTTTCATAGTTGGCGTTGTTTAAAATCTTAAACGAGTTGATATTCGTGAAGGAGCAGCGATGAGCTGTGGTGACCGCAGGCGCGCGTTCAACTTGGCGTTTTGGCTTGAGAGGAAGGTTTGTGCAAGATGGACACGATGATGGCTTGTGTTAAGTTGTGTGTTTTTCTTGGGAGTTTTGTGCTCCGTTGTAGTTCAACAGCTTAGAACGCAACGTATTGTCTGTTTATTGCTCGCTTGTCCTTCCTTCCGTCGTTTGTGTGTCCTTTTGTTTATTGCTGGTCCATCTGTCTTGTCAGACACTATTGATGTCTTTCTGTCCCACTCCTTTGGACGACCTTTTACCTACTTATGTGTGTTCCTTGTGAGCGGTGATGGAATAGTTTGTACGCTGCGCTACGAACCCGGCGACCTGAGTCCGATTCCCGTTCACGGTCAACACCCAGTGACGATTATCTGAACCGGTCCTGGGCCTCGCCTAAGTCGACTCAGCCTCCAAAGAGTACCTGGTTGCGGTGTGTAAAACGTCGCCACTGGGGAGACAAAGGCGGTCGGGCGTGGTGCTGACCACCCATCCCCCCTCGTGTGCCACAGTGCCGGCCTTCATAGGTGCTGCTCGCTAACAGCACTTGCCCTCACAGTCTGTTGAGGCTACACAGACGGAGGGGATCTTTGTCTTCATTGTGTGATTGGCCCCTTTTAGTCGGCCATCTGTCGTAGCTAATTAATTATTTAAATACGAGGTGAGATGCCCGTTGTGAGCTACAACATTTGTGCTTCTTTTGTCACGGAGAGCTGGAGTATCCTGATTGGTTGTTTATAAGTTGCAAGCAAACAGTATTGAAATCTGGTCTGTTGAAGTTGATATAATTTTTTTAAAATGAGAGTTAATTTAATATCTGTGCTGGTGACTCGCCCAGATGTATATTTTTGAACTTCTTTCGCACCGTACGTAGCCAACCGTGCTAATCGGAGCCACCATGATTTAAAAAAATTAACCCGTAAAAACAAAGTTTTTCACTAAATCCTTTATGTGTGGCGGCTAGAGTCCTCTCGTCCTCTGGCTTGAGATGGCTGCCACCTATGGGTCAGATGATTGCCTGCCACCATTAAGCAATTGGTAATTAAATATATATTTTTCCTAAAATGTTGAAAATTTTGGAAAAAAATTTCACGAAAATAAATTGTCACGCACAACGAGTCTGTGTGCAAAATGTCAGCTCGATTGGATAAAGGGAAGTGGGTTAAAAAACGACCGAAAGATTTGCACGGTCGTAAGCAAGCAAGCAAGTGAACTTAATATAAAGGATTTAAAAAAAGATCGCTCTCCGTCAGCAGTTGATGTTGTCTCGAATGGATTGTTTTTTCTTCTCAAAATCACGTGAGCCATGATCTGTACGTTGAAAAATGAAGGCCTCTCTAAGCCGTGCTGTGTCTCTCATGGGTCTTGTGATGTTCTTCTGCACGCGAGCTTATTTTTATTGCTCAGTCCCTGCAATTTGATGTTGTTTCTAGTGGGTTCCACGACTAGAAATTCTAGCTCTTCATACTGTGCTAATACTAAATAATCCAGGTCTCGTTTTTGCAGTCAAGATTTTGGACATTGTGGGGGCTGTCTCACTGGTTTTAAATGAAGGACCTCAATCTTGAGTGATTACATTTCTGTCGTTGCATGATTACTCATTTCTAACATTGCACTGGTTGGCTACGTTGGCTGCGAAATAATTTTAACATGCATACGATTAAAAAAAATTTATTCGAGCTTAAGGTGCTGGCTTGGAATGAACTCTTGTGTACGTTGTCACAGGATCTTTAAAATAAATGTTAAATCCAATGCTTCGGTAGTTCCATGAAAACATTTGTGGCTGGGAATCGCACTGGCTGTTAGACTTAGTCATGTGCACGATATTCCATCGTCAGCCTTGATCTATCCACTGCTGGATGGAAGATTCTCCAAGCAATTGCCATCTCTTGTGGTCTCGCGTTGTAATAATAAACCTAGCGCAAGCATCGGAGTTGCTTTCATTTGCTCGTTATTACAAGTGTATCTTACGAGTAATGCATATTGTTAAACATGGTCCGCATGCGGCATGTGTGTAACGCTCTCAGTAGACTTGCCTTATGGTAAGTCTATTTTATTGTTTCCCTTCTACGTGACTTTACCGAAAGAACCATAAATATGAATCCCTGCAGTCACGAAAGCTTTAAATCAAAATGTAGACTGCATTGTTGAAGTCGAGCAGGGTGCCAGAGTTTAGTGTCGCGTCTTCACAATGCTCATTAACATAATTGTCCTCACCTGATGCGAGGAATGTCGGGAATTTGTTTGTTTTCTATTCCAGTGCCAGGTGTCCAGAAAAATGCAGACCTTGCAGGAATTTGAGTTTTGTTTTAAATGGGCGAATTCGGTCTAGTTCTCAGAAGGTTAATTTCGGTTCGGAATCCCCCAGGCTAGATAAATATTCAGATTGTGAAAAGAGTAATTATTCTAAAGGTTCTGATATATCTATACGAAGTAATGTGAGCTCTTTGTTTAACCCAGAAAACCCTCACGGAGTCTTGAGCCACTTCTCTCCCCTCCCCGCACAATGTACGCCTCGGTTTAGAGAAAGATGATGGCCATTCGGAAGGAGAATATCACTTTTCCCTCGGTGACATGACAGAATTGTGGATCCTGTGTTTGAAAATGGACCTAATTTTATTTCGGCCTTTGTCACTGACTATTTGCAAACATTTTAGAGAATGTCTTTTTTCCATGTTAGGGTTGTCATAATATTTTCTTTCACCAGGTAAGGCCCTCTGAGCCATATAGCTCTTTTTCAGAAGTGACCTGACCACAAATGATAGCTCCAACGGAGTGACCGATCAAGTGGAAATGTATAGCAGCCAAATACTCTAAATGTATATTTCTAAATGTGGAGGAAAAACCGGAGGACCCGGAGAAAAATCCACGTGATCACGGGGAGGGAGCCATGCAAACTCCAAATATACGGGCGTTAGGGTCAGGATCGAACCCACGACCTCGCGTATACCAGGCGAGGTAGTTAACATCTCGCTACCGTGGTGTCCCCGAAATAGATGGTGTCACGCTATCAGCATGCGCACTCTTGTCCAGGGATCAGAATTCACCGGTTCAAACCAATTTTGACCATTCGATGTAAAACTTTTACAACCTGAAATAATTTCTCTCGCTGCGTTTAGAAGAAGTACTTTTTCTTGTCGGCAGCATCGGATTCCATTTCCGCACTTGGTACGTGTTCGGAGCGTTATAACTCCAAGAGTGGTGGCATTTATGCCTCCATTCTTCGTTCTGTCAAATATGTGATGGACGGCGTTATGATCTGTGCGTTTTGTTTTTGAAAACCAATCATTGTTTGGATGTTGTGTGTTTTTTTTCTCTCCAGGAGTTCATAACGATTCGAGTCCAGGAGCCTTTCCTGCACAACAGGGATTCATGGCGACCGTACATCAGCTACGAGATCTTCCTTCACGTAAGGCAGCTTCATTGTTTCGCCGGTAAACAATAGAGGGATTATAATCCAGCAGCTGATGGAGCAAACATTTATTTATTTTAATACGTGTAATGTTTTTTACTGAGATACGCACACACACAAGTCCGGTTTAACGTGCCGGGGATGTCGGGGAAGGTGGGGGGAGGGACAGAAAAACCGGCGCTTGCACAGATCTAAGGCTGGGGAAGAAAAAAACTACTCGGTGTCCTATCCAGATTAGGGGGTCCTCTGGTGGGGGGTGGGGGGGTAGATAATAACCAACATTCGAGGGCAGTGGTTCTTCTTAACCTGGGGTGCACGCACGCCTTGGGGGTGCGAGATACAAATGATCGAAGTTAACCAAAAAAAACCTCTCTTATGGAAAATACAGTACAACTACTTTGTTTCATCAAACCCTACGTTTTTATTGACGTAATTTTTTTTTTTACGATTGAGAACCAAAGTGGTGGAGGCTGCAGTCAAGGTGAAGAACCACTGTTCTAGGGGTAGATCGGGTGTGGGAGGGCGGTGACGAAGGGACACACGACAAATCACGTGACATAAATGCTGCTTTATGAGATGGGGTTACAACTTCTCCATTCGGGGCCCATCCACTCTCAACTCACAAAGGGGAAAAGTGGCGGGGGGGGGGGATGGAGCATTTTGAATGACTGCCATGATAACGAGCGTGATGGTCGTGCAGTACGATACAACTCGACGTGGATTTACACATTGCCTAAATGAAACGGGATCTCGGTTTTTACATTAGGTGTGGTGTGAGTCTTGTGGGCTTTACTTTTTTGTTGGGGTTTGAGTTGCCTTGGTCTAATGGTTCCTTCCTGTTGGTTTTGTCGTTCGTAGCCAAACCGTGAAAATACGTCGCTGAAATGGATGAAAAATATAACTATCTGCATTGTTGTACACTAAAAAGACTTAATTTCTCGCTGAATATTTTCCATGTCGCTGGTCGGCTGGAAGTGGCCACATGATGATGACTAGTGGGTCAATCCATATAGCGTGAGCTGTACTCTGGATGTGGTGTGCCGAGCGTGGAAATATTTTCTGGCTCGTTTGACCCAGGACATACATATCGAGCCGAGATTAAGCCCTTGTAGGAATATAACAATTGATTTTTTTACTTTATTGTTAAGATGATGATGGTGATGATACGGGCATCAAGTCAACGCATGTAACAATCGATTAGATAAACTTATAATGTTACCCTCAGGTCTAATGGAACAAATAAGACGGGAAATTGGATGGAGACCGACAATTTCAAATGACAAAATGACAATTGTCTCCTAAAATTGTGAATTGTCTGGAACCTCGATTGCGAATTCCCTTTTGTCCTGACGATCACAAATAATCATCTGGAATTGTAATTTTTTATTTTATTTTGTGCTGACGGTCAGTCATCCCAACGATGAAATAAAATCATCCAGCATTGTCATCACGAATGGATCCTCCTCCATACCCTTGTGTGTAGAATTTACAACAACTGTGGGGATTAATATTATGGTTCCACCTGAAGACGGAAGCTTGTGTTGCCTCCGAAACGTCGTGGTTTAATTGAGTTGTTTTCATTTCTTTTATTTTTTACCTACGTGACTTTACCGAAAAAACCAAAGAGTATGAATCCTTGCAGTCACGAAAGCTTTAAATCAAAATGTAACTGCGGGGATATTATAAACGAAAGCCTCAAATGTAGAATTCATATTCTTGGTTCTTTCGGTAAAGTCACGTAGAAGGGAAATAAAAATATAAAACAATAAAACAAAAAAACTTTACCGAAAGAACCAAGAATATGAATCCCTGCAGTCACGAAAGCTTTAAATCAAAATGTAACTGCGGGGATATTATAAACTTAACTGGTCCGGGCGAATCGGCGGTCGAGCGAGCGGCTTTGCGCACACTATCGGAAGGTTGCGTCTAGAAATCGTGATTGGGTTTGGTCTCGGCCCATCATCATGCCAGGTTTGGTTAAATAGAGTACAACTTAATAGCAAACTCAATAGTAATTGTTGTCTGGATACACTCGCCCCTGAGCGTAGCAACGTGGACTTTCCATCACTGGCTTTAGGGCTGTAAACGGGAGATGATCACCGCCTCAATGCTCATTTGAGCCGGAAATCCACAATTTTTTGGTTAATACTTTGTCAATCAATTGCATTCGAATCGTTAAAAAAAACCTCGCGCTCACGCACACGGCCATGCACCTGTCATTAACGGAATATATATCATGCTGGATGTAATTACCAGCGAAACGTCGTACTCAAATGGAAAATGTTGTGGATTTAATCTCCCACAATTGGCTGTGTTTGGTGGCGGAGAGTTTTGACACATTTATGCTTACGCGATCTCACCCAAAAGCCTTTATTATGAATAATATTGGTCGCGAAAGCCTACGTTATTCATAATCAACGTTTTTGGGTTTAGATCGCGTTTATTTATAAATGTGTCGTAACCCTCCACCACCCGACACGGCAGAATTCTGGCGAATTGCCCGATGATGCTGGTTGCAATTACCAGCGAAACGTCGTACTCAAATTGTAAATGTTGTGGCTTCAACACACTGGTGGGCTAAAGCAGTGAACTATTTGTCTTTGTCAACGTGACACATTTTTACTGATTGGCCGTGTCGGGTGGTGGAGGGTTACGACACATTTATAAATAAACGCGATCTAAACCCAAAAACGTTGATTATGAATAACATTGGTCGCGAAAGCCTACGTGTTAAACCGAAAGTCTACGTGTTAGACTGAAAACCCACACCATTTACAATTCAAGCAGTGATGTTTTGCTGGCGATTAAAACAACCAGCTTCATCAGGTGACGGCCAGAATTGTGGAGAAGTACTACCTGCAACGTTTAAAAAACACAGCGCAAAACAAATGCGATACGGAAACCCGTGGAACGCGGCGATTGTGGGTTTTTACACTCCAACACTCCGGTGTGCTGAACTAGTAACTAATTAATAATTCAAATTTAGAATGCGCATTCCATTCTAGGATTCCAAAGTGCAACGCATGAAAAGCAGGAAACAAAAACAGAACCAGGGCAACCAACCAAACTAAAGAGGGAAGGCCACTTTAAAGACAAACTTGACTATAGGTGGCTGTGTCGGGTTTAACGTTGTGGCCGAAACGTCGAGAGAATTGTATTTTATGTTGTATTTTTATTATTTCATTATTTCCCTTCTACGTGACTTTACCGAAAGAACTAAGAAGATGAATCCCTGCAGTCACGGAAAGCTTTAAATCGAAAAATAAGACGCATTTATATTTACGCAATCTAACCCAAAAAACGTTCATTGTGGATTATATTGGGTGTGAAATCCCTACTACTGCGTGTTAAACAGACTTCGTCCCTATTTTTGCTGCGTGCAGACGAACAGCATCAGCTTCACCCGCAAGACGTCGCGCGTGAGGAGGCGCTTCAGCGAGTTTGTGTGGCTTCGCCAGAAGATGATGAAGAACGCGTCCATGATGTAAGCGATGCGACTGTCGTGATGTTACGGTACATCCCTCCTTGGAAGCCACAGTAATTGCTGGGTGATGGTGGGGGGGGGGAGGTCCTAACGGGAGGCATATTTCGGCATACTCTGAAGTATTAAATAATGCTTCGTGAAGTAATTTTCGTTTTTTTTATCAGAATGCGTTGGTTTTCGTAGACGATATCGTGAGTTGTGAAAGATTTTTTTGAGTTGGGCCACTTAATGAATGAATCTGGTCAAATTTGTTGTCGCAAAACCCCTCAACGCCCGACGTCAGCCAATGGTCAGGGTGTGCAAGCGTTCTAACGTGTTCACGGGTCACCCGAAACAACTTTCGCATCCAAGTTTAATTGACGTTTGATAAAGTCACAATGCTTGACAACTATTTAACGGCAACAAAAACAGAAATCTCTCCTGGAATACGGATTAATCGGAGTCGCTTACTATCGAGGTGAAAGACTGAGGTTCACTGGATGTGTAATAACTGCGGGATTTTTTTATGTCGTGGTTGAAGTATGTCTTTCGTTTGTTTGTTTGTGAATTAAATGAGAAAAATTACATTAACCAGAGGACACATTACACAACATGTGATGTACGGGGCAAGGGATTATTGCCAAGTTCCATACAACATATGAGCACGGCGTGTATTCACAGCTTTATAATTGCTTGTGCACGCACACAAACGTTGTTTTTGGGTCGGAGAACTTCTGTTTTGTATTTTTTTTGTTCTTTCCTTCGGTTTGTTTTCGGGTAGAGACTCTGCCTCGCGCTCAACTCTGCACCACTAGGGTTAAAGCGTTTTGAGAGATTTAACTGTGCGTAGCTAGTGGTGTGATGTAGTGATGGGGCTATGGGGCGGGGGGGAGAAGTGGTGGGGGGGGTTGGAGTGGGGGTATTGGGGGGTGGGGAGGCCAGTGGATTGACCATGGCCGATGATGATTGTTAGTACTGTTCACTTGCAGGAGATCATTACGACGTGATGTTTTGTTTGACAATGTCCCGATCGTTTTCACTTTTTTATCTTTCGCATCAGAACTGTGCCGCGTCTCCCCCCGAAGGACCTGTTCTTCAACTGCTGGTGCGATGACGAGATCGAGGAGCGGAGGAAGGGCCTCCAGACTTTCCTCAACAAGTGAGTGTCGTCTGCGTGGTCATGCTTTGTCAGCTGCTTGATGATTGTTGGTGGGGGGGGGGGGGGGGGCGGTTCCGCCAAAACGGATCTCAGGTCACCGACTAGACCAGGGGTCGGCAACCTGCCGCTCTGGAGCGAGTGTGGTGGCTCTTTGGGCTGCCCCCCCCCCCCCTGCTGTTCTTTTGGGCTGCCCCCTTGCTGCTCTTTGGCTTCCCCCCCTTGTGACTCTTTGGCTGCCCCTCCCCCTTGTGAATCTTTGCGCTCGCCTCTTTCAGCTCTTTGGCTGCCCCATCCCCCTTGCGAATCTTTGGCTGTCCCATTGCGACTCTTTGGCTGCTCCCCCCTTGTGGCTCTTTGGCTGCCCCCCCCTTCCCTTGCGGCTCTTTGGCTGCCCCCCCCTTCCCTTGCGGCTCTTAGGATGCCCTCCTTGCGGGTAGCCGTTTAACAACAAACAAAAAACCCGTAGATGTCGAACGTAATTTTACGTGAAGACTTGATGATTAAATATGGCAGGGGAATGGGTTCCTATGGAATGTCTTGGTTCCAACAAAATGTACAACAGCCGAACTGTAATGTTAAATAATAACTAAGGGAGGTAAAAATTATATAGACGGTTTATTCCATCACCTATTTTGTTTATTTCGTTCAGAATGCATTCGTCATCTGCTGTACGCCTACTGCTGTGTTTGGGTACGTGTACAAGTAGCTCTGCTTGTGATGCAAACTATTTTGGCCAAGGACAAACACAACAAAAAATGTCTCTTCTTCTTCTTCGAAAGGTTGTCGACCCATGACCTAGAATCTACCTTCTCCTGCTTATGCATTCCGAGAACTTTTATTTGTATCAACATTTGACCGGGGAATGTGATCATAGATGCCTATCCATGCAGAGTTGTGGTACAAGTACGGAAGGTCCCATGTGAATATGTACCGTGCTCATGGTCCTGTTGTTTAGTTGTTAATATATATTCTTGATTGCTCACTCGGCACCGGGTTTTTAACAACGCCTCCAAATCATCGGCGTGTTACTCTCGTGATGACGTGCTCCGAATCCTACACAAACGCGTTACGTTTTTGCTCGCAATCCAATGGTGGCGGTGGGTTGGCGAACCGCGTTGCGTTGTCTGGCAAACTTGAGTTCGATGCCAGAGTGTGCAGGTGCTGGGTCGATTATGACTACCACATTGCAGGGTCATGACAGATTTACTGCTTTGGTTAGTGGGAGAGCGCGGGTGTCTTCATCAATATGTAGTGTTGTAAAGGATGGACTTCTAAACTTCTTTATGGCACACACTGTTGATTGTCTTAATACACAGTCCCTATCACACAAAGGGGTATATGGACCCCTCACCCGTTACCTTGAGGAGGTACAGCCTCCGGACCTTGTACAGCTCCACACTCACACTTTGCTCCTGTTCTAAGGAGGTACAGCCTCCGGACCTTGCAGGTTATCTAATCTCCCTGCTATCCCAGTGTCCTCTGGCTGGACCTAGGGGATCTCTCCCCGACCACTGGTTACACTGAGCCCTAGCCCGGATAAGGGCTGGAGGGCTTGGTCCAGGGTCCTAGATGTCTTCGGCCGACTTGGGTCTTCGTGTAGCAGAACTGGCCAAGAGCTCTCAGCGCTCTGGCTTTTATACCTGTTCGTGGCCGGGTTGTCCAATCCGTGGCCACCTTGTGGAACCCTCCGATTGGTCCTTCCCAATCTGGCGTCTGGATCCTACCTCACCCCATTTGACCCTAACCGTTGGATTGAGCGGGAAAACCTTGTTTACGATCCGCTCTCTCACAGCTTGCGAACAGCGAGTAGTTATCACCACTACAAATACATGATGACGATGATTTAAATGAGTCGCTGTCCATTCCCACCACCCTAATAGGTTAATGCCTGGGGTGGACTTTGCCTTGTAGAATGAGGATGGTTTAGTTGTATTTGTTTGTTTTTGGCTGATTTGTTTACCTTTACTTTACTTTGCACTCCTAGAGTGTCTTGGTATTATTGTTTGCTGTTGTAACGTTCTTACCCGCCGCCACTGCTGGACATCTTTGAACAAAAATATTTTCTAGCTCATCGGATTCCTCCGGTATAAACACTGATTCTGATTCGCTAACACCCCCCCCCCACCCCGTCCCCTGTCGCAGGGTGGTGGAGATCGCCCCTCTGCTGGCCGACAGCCTGCTCCACCTGTTCCTGCAGAGCGCGCTGAGCCGCCAGGAGATGGAGGGGTGCGCCATGGGCCGGACGCCGTACTCGGTGTCGCAGGCGGTACGCTTCCGGTGCGGCGTCCCCGGCCATGACGGAGACGACGGCGAAGGCGGCGCCACGGTGGCCATCGTGCCCCTCAAGAAGTGGCAGGTCCTCGAGTACGGGGACTGGTTCGTCATCGAGGAGCTCGAGCCATTCGAGTTCCCGCCGAGCCACCCGCTCGAGGTGGTGGAGGAGGAGGAGGAGGAGCAGGAGGAGGAGAAGAAGCAGCAGGAGAGAAGGAGGTGGAGGAGGAGGAGGAGGAGAGGGACGAAGCGATAGAAGACGATGACGAGGATGATGAAGATGGCACTGCAGTGCCCATTGTTAAGAAGCGTTCGACGCAGAAGGACAGAAGGTAATAATGGTGACGACGACGACGATGCTTGTTCTTTCAGCCAATTCGGTTGGAGCACTCTTTCAACACGACTTGCAATCGTAGGGTTGCGAGTTCAAATCCCAGTTGTGTGTCGACTAAGATTATTATAATTTTATGTTTATTAATTCACTGCTCGAGGAAGCCCTAACCCACGCCGCGTCGGCCACGGGTGCTTGTTTGACCGCACTTCACCTGCTGCGAGCGATTTATCTGAATTGGTGCTCTCCCCCCCACCCGTTCTTTTAACGACTTGCACTGAACCGGCATGGTAAAGTATGGTCAAACAAGCCCCCCACATAACCGACGATGTGGCTTGGGGGGAGGTCTTCATCTAGCAGCGGATTAACGAAGGCCTCGTGAATTGTTACAAGTCGCGGTGGCGAGATGAATCACATTATCACGTGAAGCGTCACGTGTGAGGTCGTAGGAACTAAGTGACAAGAGAATGTGGAAGGGGAAGTAGTGTGCATGCTGATAGTGTGACACCATCTGTTTCGGGGTGCCACGGTGGCGAGATGTTAACTAGCTCACCTGGTGTACAGGAGGTTGTGAGTTTGATCCTGACCTGACGCCTGTATATTTGAAGTTTGCGGTGTCTCTCCCCGTGGTCGCGTGGATTTTTCTCCGGGTCCTGCGGTTTTTTTCTCCTCCACGTTTAGAATCGACGTGCGTTTTAGATGATTTGGCTACTGCTAGAAAATTTGCAGACGATAAAGCGACCTCGTTGAGCTATCATTTGTTACCAGGTCGCTTCTGAAAAATGGGCTACATAGCTCATTGAGCCTTGTCTGGTAAAAGAAAGAATATCTTCTTGGTTCTTTCGGTAAAGTCACGTAGAAGGGAAATAATAAAATAATAAAAATAAAACATAATAAAATAATTCTCACGTTTCGGCCACAACGTAAGCAGCCGTCCCTCAGGTGAAGAACAGGTCTGTCGGAAAGACAGTCTGAATGCGTTGTGGCTGAAACGTCGTGAGAATTATTTTATTATGTTTTATTTTTATTATTTTATTATTTCCCTTCTACGTAACTTTACCGAAAGAACCAGGAAGATGAATCCCTGCAGTCACGAAAGCTTTAAATCGAAAAGAAAGAATAGTTGGGCTCCGTTTGTGATTGTTGTGTCCGGCCTTGTCTGTCCGTCTCAGCGCCAGCAGCTGCTCCAGCGGCGTCTCCGTGGACAGCGTCTCCAGCAGCTGCAGCCCTCCGGCCTTGCCGGGCGGCGGGGAAGCCACGACGAGACGGGTGGCGCTCGGGCTACAGCCACGGGAGGAAAACGTCGGTGGCGACGGCGATGGTGGGGACGACGACATCGCTGGCGACGTTGGCAGTGATGTTGGCGACGTTGGCGACAGCAGCGATGGGGGAGACGTTGCCGATGTTGGCGATGGTGGCGACGATAATGCCGGCGACGATGGTGAAGTTGGCGAGGTTGGTAAAAGCGATGGTGGAAACGGTGACATGGGCAATGTTGGCAACAGCGATGGCGGCGACAACGACAACAACAACGGTGGCGGCAGTGGAAATGGCGACATTGGCGATGGTGGTGAGGTTAGCAACGTTGGCGACAACAGCGGCGACAACGATGGTGATGCCGATGGGTCGGAGCCAGCGGAGAGTTCTCCTGGAAACCGTGACCACGGTGAATCGGTCGACACGAGCGACAGCGCGGTGTCCGGGAACGCCGCCTCGCTGCCTTGAGGAGTGCGACTGTGTCCACGGGAGAGAATCCGGGCCCTTGCTCTGCTACTCCTGTGCTTGTTGTTGTAGTCCTGTTGTTGTTGTGCTGTTCCTGCTGCTATTGTGCTTTTTTCTAGGGCTGCCACGATGTACGTTGCCATTTAGCGTCCGCGAACAATCTGGTTCGCAGGGTGTCGTTGCATCGCGATTGTCGCTGCACGTGATGGTTTTTTTTCTTCTTAAATGTTTTCGTGACGAAATATTTACGGAACAAAAAAAACCCCAAAATGATTAAATTTGGAAATAAACGCGGTGTCATTTTCCCCCCTCAAAAACAAGTTTCCAAAGTAGCTCCTGGTATGGAGAATTGGCTTTATCGCTTTCGCAGTTACTCAGATTAAATCGTGCGATTGACAGCATGCGTATTAGATTGTAAAGTTGTAATCGTTTAAATCACTTGTCACAACCGCTTTCATTATTGCGCCCGTAATGTTACCAAACTTCTCAAGAGTGCAATTTTTTTTTGCCTAGTCCCTGGGGCAGGCTTGTATTACGTAAACTGCAGATGACTATACTTTAATTCATCTTTTTTTTTCCCCACTGGAAGCACAGCAATGCAAAAAAACCACAATCAAAAATTCAATCTCCAAAGTTATGGGAATCCGATATCGAAATCGCATCGTGAAATTTGATCTCGTATCGTGAGAAAATATAACTATATAGCGGCAAGCCCTAGTTGTGTTACCCCGGGGTCTATTTAACAGGGACTGAGTGAATTGGGAGGGGGGGGGGGAGATCAAAACCGCCGCGCCGGTTACGATGTTGAAGAAGCCGCATGAGGTTGCATCGCTGTCAAAAAAAACCCGCTGTGGACTAAGTACGTTTTTGAGTCGGGATGCGTGTCGGTGTCCGCATGGCTTGCCGCTCACACAGCCAACGCCGTCCCCGTACGCGTATCTCGCGCACCTCCGATTCGCGCGGGTGGCGGATAGAAGTTTCAACGTACGCACAAGGGAGGGTTTGTTTTTGTGAATTTTAGCTGCATGCTGTTTTACTTACGATGTTTTTTAATGTTGTTCTTGATCGTTATAATGTTTGGTGCTGGAGACTACGCCGCAACCGTGAGCAATGCAAGTCCGAGATGAATGTTTACACTTGAAAAAACACACTGTTCCTATTGGCGTGAAGTGATGTTAACAAAAAAAAATAAGGATTGGTGATTTCAATTTGTTGTTTTTTAAATTAAAATTGAAAACGATGAAGATTTGTTTCATTTCAGACACCGATGCTACGCTTGAATAGGTCGTGTTTTTTTTTTCTCGCGTAAACCTCACCCAATGCGTACGTTCTGTTTAAAGCGAGCGAGCATGATTGACATAATCATCGCACGGTTACCGTTTTTGAAGTAAGATTTCAACAGCTTGGTCTTACATGTTTACACTTCTGTTTTTTCCCCCTTAATGTATGCGTGACCTCGTGTAAAGTGTCTAACTTAATATAAATTAGTTGTTTTTCATAGCTTGAAGATACCGTTGTAACTTTGCTGTAGATAATAGTTTGTGATTGTGATAGTGTACTAACGTCATTAGCTGTAGTTTTGGTTTTACCACTTAAGTTTTAGGAAGTAGAATACATTTATACCCTGCCGGGGGTAACTTGGCAGCATTATATTATTGCAAAAAAAGGGAAATAACTGTTGCAACAAAGCAATGCAAGTCTCTTTGTAATAGTTTGGTTAATGGACCGTTGTTAAACCGATGTGAAATGCAAATGTTTTTTTTCCCCTACACAAATACTTTGTAAAAATTGTCTCGAGTACCGTCAAGGTGTGCCAATGCCCTGCTCGAGTATTCTCAGAATGTCTTTCTCTTCGCGCCATTTCGTGTTTCGATCGCTGCTCGGCCACCGCGTCGCGTAGCGCTACACGACGGGCTCATCGGCTGCTCCGCCACGTGCGCTGGACTTCCAATCCCAGAGAGGAGGTGGGGGGGGGGTGGCTCGTTTTTATCCGATGGGTTCCACCGCAGTGTGTCGGCAGGTTGCCGTGTTGGTGGGTGTTCAAGTGTGGGTGCGCTGTACTCGCACCGCTTTCCAAAGTTGTCTGCGCAGTGTGGAGAAGTAGGCCAAGTATCCTCTACAAGGGGGTCTCTAGAGCTCACTCCAGTGGGCGAGGCCCTTCTGCAGGCAATAGCTTGTACAAACAAATCCATTGCTCTTCTTGGTTCTTTCGGTAAAGTCACGTAGATGGGAAATAATAAAATAATAAAAATAAAACAATCAAATAATTCTTACGACGTTTCGGCCACAACGCAAGCAGCCGTCCTCAGGTGAAGAACAGGTCTGTCGGAAAGACAGCGTCTGAATGCATTCCGACAGACCTGTTCTTCACCTGAGGATGGCTGCATGCGTTGTGGCCGAAACGTCGTGAGAATTATTTTATTATGTTTTATTTTTATTCTTTTATTATTTCCCTTCTACGTGACTTTACCGAAAGAACCAAGAAGATGAATCCTTGCAGTCACGAAAGCTTTAAATCGAAATCCATTGCTGCTACCTTTTATACCCAACAAAGTAAAATCGTGTTGCACTGCGAGTCGCAGCCCCCAGCCCCCCCCCACCCCCAGGTCTCGCAATCGAACTCTGATTTCCTGCCGTTTTAGATTTTTAAGCGTCGAACATTGAACGTCACGGAAAACTTGACGCAAGAAAGAATCTACCTCTTTGACCCCGGATGGTGGGAGGTTTTTACACAGCGTGGAAACGTGCGTTGCCAAATGACACACACGGTGTGCAAGCAGATGGTCTTGTCTCCCCACGTACAGGGGCGGTCCGTGTCTTGCCTTCTTTTCCCTTCGCTCAAGAGTTGATACATTTGCGCTGTTCAGGTTCAGTTGTTGAAGCAGATTGTGGTGCGGTTTGCGATGTTCATTCGGATCGTGCCTCCTCCTGTCCCTGTGATTTGCATCACAAGCGAAGTGCCTGAGCGTTCATATTTAACAAAAAAAGTGTGGCGTTCATATTGAGTACAGGTGCTATGGTGTGTGTGTGTGGGGGGGGGGGTATAACTGATGTTAGGGAATCAAGTGCTGTATGCCAACTTCGTTATACACTGTTGCGTCGACTGTCACAACAACAACAACGCTGAGGTTTCATTCGCATGTTTTGTTAATCCGGTGGTGTATGTTGTGATCCACCCGTTCACTTCGTTCAATATTGTGTTGGCCAAATAAAGGCAAACTCAGGTTTTCAATTTGAATTGGTTCCGTGGTTTTTTTGTCGCGTTGTATTTTCGTGTGCGTATTGTCGCGATGGCATTTGGAGGCGCGGACATTGGCGGTGTGCGAGTTGGTGCAGAGGTTTCGAGCAACGAGCAGTGGGGGACGGCTGTGAGACATCCTGGGTTCGAATCTATGCAGCCGCCAATGAATAAAGCAGTGTCTCCAAGTGTCGTGAATTGATGGTCTGAGCCAAGTTACCAATGCCTACACACGAATGAAAAGCACCACCATTTAAATTGTATTTTGGGCTTGATTTATCGAAATTTACACTTTATAATAATGAAAATCTCCGTTTGACTCGTGACGAACCTTGCTCAGGTGGCAGAGCGGGTGGGAAAGTGCCTTTTTAAATCCTTTATATTAAGTTCGCTTGCTTGCGTGCTTGCTTGCTTGCTTAGGACCGTGCAAATCTTTCGGTCGTTTTTTAACCCACTTCCCGTGATCCAATCGAGCTGACATTTTGCACACAAACTCGTTGTGCGTGACAATGCATTTTCCTGAAAAAAAATCCAAATTTTTACACTGTTTAGGGAAATTTTGTTTAAATATTTAATTACCAATTGCTTAATGGTGGCAGGCAATCATCTGACCCATAAGGTGGCAGCCATCTCAAGCCAGAGGACGAGAGGACTCTAGCCGCCCCGATGCCACGCATATAAAGGATTTTTGGTGAAAAACTTTGTTTTTACGGGTTAATTTTTTTTACTGTGCGTACCAGCGGTCCCTGGAAGGGATCTCGGAGGTAGCTCTGTAATCTCTACTTCCGTGGGCCGGTCTCTGAACACCGAACGATTGAAATGCTCTTGCGAGAGATGGGGGTCGTACTTTGTCGAAAGGCATGACGCTGATAACACAATAGGGATACAATTGGGGGATTCATTATTTTTAAGGTCACATTGAAAACACGTTCCTTCGGAGTGGGCAGGTAGGAACTTGGTTGGACAGCGCATTCGTGCACGACAGACAAATATGCACGACAGACAAATAATCCCTGATGGGCAGTGTGGAACCTACTCTTAGTTCTTTCGGTAAAGTCGCGTAAGTAAAAAATGTAATTAAAATTTATTAAAAAAATGAAAACAATAAAATGACGTTTCGGAGGCAACACAAGCTTCCGTCTTCAGGTGAAACTGTCACAGCAAAATATCTGTATCAAGACAATACTTGGAGTTGAGTAGTTTGGAAATATTCCGAGAAGGTTTACAATCGCAGAGAAAACCAGAACGGATGGAGCAACAGTCTATCGTCCTATAGCTTCAGATGCCCCTAAGTGTGCAGTCGTGTGTGTGTGTATATGTGCACGAATTGACAACTCGTTAGGATTACTCTGCCACGGTGTAGATCAAGAAGGCAATG